TTCATTCCAGCGTACAGCACATAACAGACACACAAGCATATACACGGTAAAGTGTAAACAGCACTCCAGTAGTCAACTTTGTAGCATCTTGTCCCGCGTCAGCCCAGCGAGTCGGTTGTTGCCAATCAAACATGACTTAACGCTCAATCCACTGTACACTTGTACTGGCGCATTAAAGGATTCGCTATCAAGCCATCTCGTGGCCCTTTGTCTATGTGAATTGCAAACCAACAGAAAACCGTTATTTCATGGATTTTGTTGTTAACTGCAAGCGGACGCTTATATAAATTTGCCAGCAAGTGATACATATAAACCTTGCAGTTTAAATCCAACAACAATGGCCGCTGACCACGCCCCGCACGTCCTCACCCCGCTCCGCCACAAATCGGACCTGAGGAGTTGCGGCCCCACAACGGCCGCAACAGCGACGATAATCCCGCGACGGGGATCCATCCGTGTTGCTATCGCAGACTAGCAAAGCCCTCGGACTGCTTCAACGAAACGGACACACCCGATCCGCTGCCGCCCACCCGCAACAAAGCCTTTCAATTCCAACGTCAGGGCACCAACTCCTCGCTGGACGTACCGCGGAGCCCGCACTCCATTGCCGGCAGTCTCGATGACCCGACCAAAGGTCAAGTCTGCAGCGATGCTGTAAGAAGTATATTTCCGTTTAATTGCCCATTTTATACTGATTATGGTCATGGGGCGTACATTCTCATGGGGACACTCCTGTATGTGTATATTATCGGGCCGGAGGAGGAGCAGTTCGAGAAGGACCGGCTGACCACACCCTTTGTTATTGATGATGTGATGAATTATCTAAAAGTTCATGTACTGGCCTATTCTAATGTCACGGAGCGGAATGTGGATAATTTTCAGAATTTTTTGTATTATCGTATCCAGCAGGCCGGAGTGTATGAGAATAAGCGGGATTTTTCGGCCGTATCCGGTATTTTGCATTCGGTGTCCGTTATTAGTGGAATCGGTGAGTGACAATGTGTGCTGCTGGTGCCAGACTAGCAGGAGAAAAAGGCGAGCACGAAATGACTTAATCCGTAGGATGACACTTGCTTGTTGACAATACAAACAAATCGATGGACCGTAAGGCAATGTTGACTGATTGGAAAACGGTCACTGTCAGTTGCGTTCAATGCGGGAAAAAATACGAGAGTGACGTCTTCCCAGGGCATAAAATGGTGTATTTATAGGTGTTTATAGCGCTAGGTGCACTGATATATAATTTTCTGGAAATTATCCAGTCGGTTTATGCAGTGATGCAAATGGGTCAAAGAACCGGCATACAAAGTGATCATTATGTTTAATTAAAGTTAATATAATGACTATTGACTACAGTACACGTTCATATACTCTTAACGTGTGGTTGTTAAAAAGAATGGACATAAGTCAACAAATTTTGATTTCTGTAATCTAGTGTTTGAGAGAAGCCATAGAAGTATTTGCGTTCCACAGTTGTAACTGCACAACCAGTCTATGTAGTGTTTAAGACGGTTTTATGTCAGTGTTTGAATGACTTCCGTCTTACACGATAATTTGCTTCTTATCCTAAGATACTTTAGTTTTATGCTATGTTTACCTTCTTGTTTAAAAAAAATTATTCGATAGTTTTTTTATAAGTAATTGTAATTTGTTAAGAACTATCTTGATTTCTGGATTTTGCTGCGTTACGGTGGCTATTGGTATCATTTCGACAAGGTAATTTTCATACCTTATTCACCGCAGAAGCCTGCTCAGGGCTTACTTGTGCGCCAGCTGACAGTATTTATCCCAAGCTAAATAGTGCTCGGTTTCACACAGCCGATCGATTAAACACATAATCGCACAAAAAAACTCCAACTGATTAATATTAATCTAAATGTCAAATAGCTGAACAAACTCTTGTAACGCGAACCGTCGAGAAAATTTCCGCCATCCAGTTGAACTACCCTGGAAGCGCAGTGAAGTTGAAGCGTCAGCGTTGCTCACACATAAATGTGCACGGGGCAATATACATCTAATGTCCTCTGTTTAATCTAAAGCATATATATGGAGCATTTCCGGTGTTGGACGCCTTGGGCGAGCGCCGTTGCGCAGCCCGTGTCCCGACCCGGTAATGAGGATGAATAAGCTGTGGCGATAACGTCGAATTAGCCACCACCCTGTCATCGTTAACGCAGTGCCTCGCATTCCCACGCTGCTACCACGGCCTCAACCGCGCGGTTTTGTTGAGCAATACAGAATCGCGGTGGTATAGTTCGATTAACACGGGGATCGGTTGGGTCCGGTGTCTGCAGTATGCGGTGCACACAGGATCCTGCATATTGCATAGAAAGGACAATGTGGCATAATATTTTTGACAGGGGATGATTGTACTGGCAGTGAATCCAGTTAATTGAAATAGCTCCAACAAGTCAGATTAATATGAATAGCGTGACTGGCATGACGCACGGACACACCGCGCGATCAGCTGCTGCTTAGAAGAAAGCCCTGGGACGGGCCGGAGGATGCCGGGTTTAAGCAGTTTCTAACGGTTGACGATCGCCGGGCTCGACATTTCAAAGAAATTCCATATTCTCATAAGTGTTGTTATTAATGCTAGCAGCGGCCTGTCGGTTTTTTTCTCAAAATTTTCATGTAATTATGTTTATTTCCTCTGTTAAAAAGTTTTGAACCGTGGCGCCATGTAATTGCTAATCATGACAGTGCGTCCACAACACCTTAAGCAATTGGACCAATTCAAAATGCATTATATTTTTGGCACTATCATACCCTGTTAACGCTAAAGTATGCCTTAAATACAGGACTAGTAAAATTACCTTACTTCCAAAACATTACAGCTGCATAAAGGAATTCTGACTGAGATGCAATGCAGCAAATGCGAAGTATTCCTCATGATTGTGCTCTAAATATTACGGCATGACCTCATAATCGTAGTAAGTGATTTCCATGGCTCGACTCTTTAGCAAGCACTTTGCCAAAAATTTGCTTAGATAGCTTCGTGTGTTGTTCTGTCCTTGCGGACTGACTAAAAAATGATAAACGGTAATTTTTTAAAAAGCTGAATTAAAGCTTGCTTAAATTTTTATCCAGCAGCTTCCAAGACAAACAACACGCAAGGTTATACTTGTCCGTATACGAAGATTTCTCCTTGCAGCCAAAATCCAGTAGTATTGTTAAAATATTGTTAAGTACAAAATTTCTGAGCGATGTCCGTCGCGGCAAAATGCGCTACTGAAAGGACATGTACGTTTTTTATTTTCGTAGTTTTGTGCAAAATTATTACATCGGTTTTCCAGTCGAATTAGTCTAAACTGATTTTGTACCTGCAGGAAGAACAGCACTTTGTAGTTCTACCGTTCCAAAACCCGAAGTTCGGCTTTTAAGTTTCTCAGATTTCGAGTGCGTTTGCCTAAAAGGCTAAAACTAAAAAACTGACAACCGCATAATTATGCTCTTATAGAAGTGGTGATAGAGCTGGTATTAAGTTTCAGACGTTAAACGTTAAACGTTCCAGGTTATTTTCATTGCGCTTTATCTAGTCAATCAGCTTTATATGGCGTGCGCCATGCTGGTTAACGGGACATTTGGCATTTCACAGAAAAATCGATAAAAAACTGCTGTCTAACTGAAATAATAATAGAAGTTTGGGAATTCAATATTCTTGGAGTTTCTGTATTTATTCATCAGTCTGTCTCCGCTGCGGCGTCATCGGCATTGAGGGAATTTACCGAGCCCAGGTATTCCGGAAGATGGCGACAAGTTCACGTCCTGTTTTTCAGAATCAGCTATTTATCTTAGAGACTAGGGATTTGTCTAACAAATTTACTGGTTATGCTGCTCAAGTGGAAACCCGATTAATTCACACGGGGGATGAAAACCACATCCAGCATCAGCTTGTCAGACAAACAAATTATTCTTCTGTAAACACATAACACTGAGTGTGTAAACCGGAAGTCTTGCGGGGTTCCATTGCTGCTCCGAAATTTATTCACGCTAAACAAAACCATTAAAAATCAGCAAATATGTATTTTATGTTTTTGCATTTGGAAAAGAAATAAAAGCGCCATAATGTATATCTTTTTCAGTGCGTAGTGTGGTGAATATTTTAGCCGGAAATAGTACGTAAATATGGTACACAGTTCAGAACATAAATGGATTTTTATTATCTTAGAGGCACTAGGTCAGCCCATTTACATATCTTACTAATGATAAGGTATTTTTATTTAGTTACAAGCTTGCAATAACGCTAATAAAACCTGGTGTGTTACAAAGTTTTACCATCATCGGCAATTTGTCATTGATTTTTCCCGCAGAAAACGCGAGGGGTGTTACGGCAGTGCCGTGCAACAACGCGTGCATTAGTCTAATTTAATTGTGTGGACCCAGTTGAATTAAGTAATCGAGGCGTGTTGGCCACGATGGTCACGGTTTGATCAGTGCTGGTGTTTTCTCTACAGGCATTGGAAATCCTCCAAGGACACAAATTGGTAAAGCAGTTACATTTCCCTATTGCTTCTTTGGAGTGCCTCTCTTTCTCCTGTTTCTATACGTGATTGGCGACGATGTGGGCAAACTCATTGCTGTCCTGTATCATCAGGCCGTGTGCTGCAGTATGTGCCGGCACCGCGACAAGACCGTTATGGCGCGCCAGTTTGCCGGCGGAGCGGAGTCGCTGAATGAAAGTTACCGGCGAATTCAGGTATAAGAAAACCGTGTTCATGAGTGTAATGTATAAAATTAAAAAACACCAAAAATAATTAATTGTAACACTGCCATAGCGCTACATATTTTTTCTACAGGTATTTATCCTGCTACAACTTACCAGCGTTCGAAGTACCGCTAACGCTTATTTATAACTGACTGCACGAAAATTCTTCGTAAATGAATGTGGCGCAAACTGTAACGTTTCCGGAATTCGAAAAATCCATATTCACAAAATTAGCGTACTGGATATTGTGCTGTGCAGCATTCGTGCAAGTACACAGTGCACATCGAAGTGTAAATATAGGGCTGCCATTATGTGATTGCAGGCGTGCGTACCTGTGTCGCTGATGTTGGTAATTATCGCTTTTTACGTACTGCTGGCTGTGCTGATCTTCGGCCTATGGGAGAACTGGGATGCCGTCAACTCTATTTATTTCTGCGTGATGACCCTAATGACCGTGGGGCTGGTCGATGAGATCCCGGGCGATAAGCCGGATCGTTATGCGGTCGGCTTTAATCCGACGGCGGCGCTCAGCAATACCACGCATATCCGCCGCAGTTTAGTTATTGTCTACATCATCTGCGGCTGGCTGCTCATCTCGGCCTGCTTCCATGCCGTCGCCTCCAGGATTTCTCTCCATAAGAAGAAGAAACATTTCAAACTCACCCCCACCAAAGCCGCAATACATCCCTGATATTTCGCCATAATGCCCAGTCCAACCCAAATTTTTAATGCCCTTTAGGTAATACGATGGTATTCCATTAACTTCATTAAATTGTAAAAATAATAATTGTCGCGGTTGTAACTGTGGTAATACTGAATTTGAGCTAATTACAAAACAAATGCTTTTAATAAAGAACAAAGCAAATATTTTTTGTTTTTATTTTTAAGGTCACTGCTGTGCTAATACGAATGCCCCCTTGTGAACAACTGATCATCCACGAAGTCGCATAATGTCCAACTTCGTAAGCACTGGCTGGTGTTAGCTGGCAATTTTCCCGCACCTGACGCTAACGACCGCGGATTAGTCTCAAACCGCGCTTTGCTGCACAGGAGCGCGCCCCGGTATCTGTGTGAATTTCCCCATTTAGCAAATCCGGCGGAAAAAAGAAACCAGGTCACTAAAGCTATGCGTGGTAAAGGTTACAGTTGCCGGCTGGATGGAAAGCTGTATGTCTTTCTTTATATCCATTATCCCGCGCGGTGGTCAGTTGTAAATGAATCAATGATCTAAATTTGATTGCAATTTTATTGCTTGCCATTATCCAGCCATGCATGCATACACAACATGACGGTTTATTGAAATATCGGCTTTACGTTAAATCATTGCCAGTCTGCAGTGACGGACAAACGTTCGCTCTGTAAGCGCCATCACTAAAATAAATCTTCAGATATGATGCGCTGAGTCATGAAGTGGTCAGTACATCGGAATCGCTAAATTATTGTCAAGTCAATTCCTTTAAGGTCACTACAGTACAATTATAACAAGATAATTAATTCAACCAGCGAATATTTTTAAATTGATTTTATCTTTTGATCGATGATAACATTTTTAGATTTCCCACGAGCTCGGACGAAATTATAATAGTTACCGTAATTATTACATTTGTGGCACCCCCCGCAATAAGCGCACCTCCCCGAAATCTGCGCACTTGTTCCATGGTATTCGAAATGTTTGCCGCCCAGTGCGGAAAATTCGATAATTACGGTAGTTGCGAATGTTCATTAGTTTTTTACCACGGGCAGCAAAATAGAAGATGTGATCTTACTATATATATAGTAGTTAATGCACTTAACTATAATTCCATCACATCAACACATCACTATAGCTATAGTTGTTGTGAGTGATCTGAGTAAGTTCTTTGCGTTTGGGCGCTAGCATTAATGAGATTTTCAGCTTTACACAATTTTTTATTCTTTGATATCTTCTCGCGAAATACGAAAACACACATTTACACGAATATTGGCCAAAGGTCGACAGTACGCACAGAAAAACAGACCACTCTAGTATGACACCATGATATGCAAAAATAAATACAACTAAAATGACCAACCCCCCGGCATATTAACGCTTCCGCTTTGTGCCTTTCCCTATCCGATTCCTCCGGTGCACCCGGCACTTGCAGTCCGGTCGGTGCCGGGTTCCTCCGCGCGGCCCCAGTCCCGGTACCAAGCATCCGCACGTTCCATAGAAGCCTCCCCGGTCCCTCTGGAACCGGGTCATGCTGGCGGATGAATGGTATTTCACTGTCGGCTTTTGGCATTTTCGTGACCGGGACCGGGACCGGGACCGGAATCCGCTGTCCCGTCCAGCACACCGAGAGGACTTTTGCGGCATTGTTAACAAGATACTTTGTTACCGAAAACGGATAGAAGAAAGAATTTAAGAGAACTGAAATAAGCGATCAAATGAAAAATTTTCAGTTGTTTTCTTACACTGCTAATTCAAAAGGGCACCTTCCCTGAGTTTTACGAACGCAGCAAAAACTGCCAGGCAACGTCATAATTATTATTGAGATCAGTGTAAAACACTTTGCCCTCAATTCCGTACTTGGATAGAGGTCTTACTAAAGAAGTTTAGCGCACTTTCCACCGGAAGCACCAGTTATAAACTGCACACTTCCTTCCCATACAAACTCTCCCACTGGACTACATTGTTGGCGGCGTTGGCCAAAACCATCCTTGGACGTACTTTTTATATCGATCGTTAACGTATTCATCGCTTTGGAAAAGTCCTGGAAAGTTGTCTAGCTCTACATTTAGCGGTATCGGCGTGCCTGAATGTCGTGATAATAAAGCGTAACATTATGCAATAAGGCGTCTCGTAATGTGGTAAATGTTGATCAGCCATATGTTGTGGCTGGATCAGGTGAATATCGTGTTTATGTAGGTAGAGTTTCAGTAAAACTTGGTAAAGAGCACATCTTGCGTTGTTCCTGTAATCTTTGTTCCTATATAAAGTTTATACATACAGCTATCGGTTTATTTGGGCCAAACAATAAACTCCTGAACTAGGAAACTGACGGAATGTACGTTGGCATGCAATTGGGACAGGAACGGCATTGTGTGAACAGTGCCAATAATGTACCAGTAATGAATTGCAACAGGTGCTAACAACGGCAATTCCATTTTTCCAAATATGCGAGAACATTTCCAACTGGAATTCATATCAAACAGTCAAGTAAATATTTTTATTTTCTTGCATCACCTATTAGAAAGCGGCCTCGCTGCGCTTCGATCGATTTAATCACCAATTTACGGATTTACGATTATACAAAACCTTCAGAATGCATATATGAAAACAAAGTTTGTACTAGATCTAGTAAAACGTTTGCAAATTAACAAAAAAAGAGCAGCACTAATACAGCTATGATTATGATAGCAAAGCGTGACACTGTTGCCGTTGCACGACCAACTAATCGGCATTTTAACGCACTGAACTTGTTAGGTAGTCCCATCATATGTTTTTCCCATTCGGCTTCCATCACTTGTCCATCGAAATAGTTAATCGGCTCACTGTATGGGTACTCATAGCCGGGTTTGCATTCGCATTTGTATCCTCCCATTTCGAAGCGTCTGCCCATGATTGGAACACACTGAAAAATACATTCTTAACGGTATATAATAATATGTCAGGTAGCTTTATAAATTAACCATAAGCACATAATATGTTATTTTGTTGCCACGTACGTAAGATGATGTGTGATCGCAACGGTGGCTATTTCTAAAAGCGTTTGGGGTATTCAACGGAGCGTCGCATTGGTTTAAGTCGATTTCCGATAACGGCATCGTAACCGCAACGACACCTCTGTTTAAACAAAACTCTATTATCATCAACAGTAAATTATCATCCCCTTTTTTTTATTATTTACGAACTGGAATTCCACAGCATCTCGGATGCCGTCCAATCCAAAAAAAGGGACGACATAGGTTATGACCCATTCTTTAATGTGTCCATGACAGCTGTAATACGGTGCACTCCAGTGGCCGTCACCAAGTATCGGCGCAAGATACTGCTCGGGATAACGGTCGTACTTTATACTGTATTTCCCTTTAATTAAAAGGTGCAATTATTAGACTACTGATTACAGACAACATATTCTGAACCACGTAAGTGCTTTGCACACAGTACATTTTACGTAATTGGTTTACGAGCAAGTACAGCCATTGGTAAACATCCTTACATTAGTAATCGCACTGAAATTAATATTTATCTTTATGTGCGTTTTTATATAAGCTTTTGCTTTAATATTTGGGAGTGTTGGTTGCAAGAAAACATTTTGCTTTAATATTTGGGAGTGTTGGTTGCAAGAAAACATTAAGTATACGGAAGGATTCAAATAAGATAAGTACGTGCAACTGTTACAGGTCGGCTTGTCAACGAACCGGTACGATCGCCTCTAATCCGCATCCTGGTGGCAAATTTAGTTAGCTGTGAAGCCGGGCTAGCTTTCCATCTTTCCTTAACGGCCTTGAACCATTCCTGGTTAAGGTAAAACCGATCTTTATTCGCGTGTAAAGCAGCCTGGTCCGCGGCAAAAAATGCCCGGGCGTTTCGAGACGTGCGTTCGGCCGTCGGTCCAAAATGCACGCGACCCGGAAACTTGCTGTTTTCGTAATAAATTCCGCTACTCAAAATGCGCATATCGCCCATAACGTTTGCCAATACCTGTGAGTACGTTAAACGGGTAGTCACATAAATGTTTATTTAGAAAGTACCAAGACATACTGGCTTGGACGCAAACTTAGCAATCCAGTACTTATTCATTTGCTACACAATCCTTTACCTCGGAAAATAACTGATGTTCATTTAGCGGTAAATCAGCCGTGCGTTCAAAAAACAACTCTCTCGGATCAACAATCTGGTTGTAAACGCTGATAAAATGCGCCAATCGCAGTGCTGTCCGAGCCTGATTTTCCAGCTGGTTCTCCTTTCCATAAGCGACATTGCCTTGTAATTTTAGATGCTCCGGACGGAAGTGCCGACAGTTTTCAGGGTTAATTAAGCGCATAGCGCGCAGTGTATTCAACAGCACACGATTAGAGATAATATGGGAATGCCGCACAAGCATATTGGGTAACCGTAAGGGCAAGAGTAATGGTACACCGCATTGAGCCGGATTGGGTGATTGCGGACAAAATGAGGGAGTAGCCGAGCGGACATTTCGGTGAATAATGGGATCCACAATAGATAAATTTATCGGTGACATCGGAAATCCTAAACAATAAAAGCCCGTTACAGACCATGCAGAGCAACTAGACAATCAAAGAACCGTGGAAAAATCATTGAAAACACCATGCACATGATGTACACAGTAATAAAATGATAAAATAAAATGTACCGTATACACAAACGAGCGATCTGGTACAAATTACTGTTATTCCATTTTAATAAGCATGAACTTAATTTGCCCGTTTTAGCTCTGTGCCACAATAAACTTCGTCTGTACTCGTAGTGCATCTAATGTTGGAATCCAAGTTGGAGATGCTTCCACTGATGGACATGTGATTATGTGTATCAGTTGCTCTTAGTGCATGCAGTTGACTGCATGCTCTTAGTTTTACTTGCCTGCAAAATTCATAATACCATGATAGACGTGCGTATTAAAAGCCTGCCATGTGGGCAGATAATCAAAGGGCACCGCGGTTGTGCCGGCCAGCGTGACCACCGGCAGTCCATCCGGACCGTAAACAATGCGTCGACCGTCAGGTCCCAAAGGCTGGCCGAAAGCGTCGTAGAACTGGGATCGGTTGGATGTGAACGGATAAAGAGGCCATCGGTATCCTTCGGGACTGGATAGCGGATCTAATCCAAACAGGTAAGAGTAGGGCCGTTCCCCACCAAGAGGCCCCAAGTAACCACTGGGGCGTCGGTGTAAATAAATGTCAGATGAAGTCGCATGTTCGGTAACCACACGGATGTCTGCAACAAAAATGGTTGCATAGATTTTGGTATAAATACACGAGTACGACAACGGGTATTTCATGATGACATTTGACTTCTAGTTCTGATATGTACATGTTTGAAACCTGCAGTATATTGGTGAAAACAGGCACAATTATAACAAATGCAAAATTTGTCGATCTACAGGAGCAGATAAATATATGTTTGGGTAGCTGATAACGGTTTTATAATAAAGCAAATTTATGTGCACTTACATGTTCTGTTAATTGTGTGATATGTGATAAGTATCAAAATATTTATTATGGTTATCAAAATATTATTATAGTACAGGATTTTTAAAGGCAGACTATACTTTACAGATACGAAAAAGCTTTCGTTACATACTCCCAATTTTTTCGCATTCGAACTTGGCCAAATAGTCGACTTCAATAGCTCTTTCGATAATTTCTCCTTGAAAGGGACCAATTTGCCAGAATGGCAGCCGATAACCTGGCCGGCACCGGCAAGCATATCCGCCGCGTTTTAGACCATAACCCTGGAGTGGCTCGCACTTCAAAGATCAGAGTGTTATGCAAATACCAACATGAAAAACACGGAAACACGCTTACCTACTTCTGTTGTGCGTTTCCTACAACGATCAGTACCGGCATACCAGTTGGGCAGTGGATTTCCTTCGCTAACGGGACAAGGATTCATATCAATTTTTAACAGATCCGTCTCTATTACAACGGCACCAACGTACCTAAAAAATATTAAACCACTTAAAATTAAATTAAATTAAATATTATTTGATGTATGAAAAGTTTACGTTGTAGGGTTTACGTACGTATACGGTACACAGCTGTTATAGTTCACTCATTGAACTTTTGCATTTACACGCACGCATGATAGAATCTTCTTGTAAACTGGGAGTATCTAACAGTTATTAAAGAGAAATTTGTTTATTACTTGTGCCGTTGTAAATGCCGCCAGGAAGTATGCCTGGGATGAAGGTCAAGTACCGGTGAAACGGCCGCAATTAGCCATTTATTAGTCCTGCCGCAATCGAAGTAAGGCGCTGTCCATTTCACTGGACCGGGGTCCGCTTGTGGCTCGGGTGGACCAAAAAATTCGATGTTTTGTTCCGTTCCGTTGGCGAATTTTATGTTAACTGTGTACGTGACTTTGGCATAATCGGCTGCAGCGGCATCCGGTAACCAAGAAGTATACCAGTCGTTCGTACGGTACAACGTGTGCGTATAGTTTGCAGGCGAATTCGTCACGACTCCTTATGTAATGCAAAGGCGCGTTAAACGGTATTCATGATGAATGTTCATTGCAATATTGCATTTATTTAAACAGTAAAAGTCAATGCAGGGTTTTAAAGTAGAAAATTAACTATACTTTACAGAAAATTATGAAATAACATGCTGTACTTGAAATCCTGTGTATATTAAACACTGGACGAGATTTGAATCGCAGTTGCAATATTATTATGGTACATTAGACTGTGTGGTCCAGCAAATGGCGTCGCTAATTCAATTACCCAAGTCCTCAACATTGGTCATCAGCAGCGTCGAGTAGCGATGTGGATTAATGGGATCATTAAAATTATCCCCACGAACCGCTCGCGGTGCAAACAACGGGAACGTCTTATTGAAGTAATCCCGGTACCAGTTAGGATAGCTGCAGTTTACATCGAAGTACACCGCGCTGGCGTTGATCGCCCGATTGGCGGCCACATCGGCCAAATGGGACACATAAAAGTACATCAATCCCGGCTCATCCGGGTCATCCGCATAACGAAACAGGAAACTGTAGAAGAATGCCCGGTTGAGCGCCATATTGTGCACATGCACCAGATTTGTCCGGTTGGGGAATAAAGGATTAATATACAAATCTTTGATATTCGGCAGGTGGGATATTACTTCCCGCGGCATAAACAGTTCATGCCGCGGCCGGCTGGCACAGTTTAGTCCGGTAATGGAGCGGAAGCGGGTAAGAATTTCGTGAAAGCGGTCACTGTGTTGGTGCTCAAATTGCGCCCATACCGATATAGCCAGAAAGAAATACAGCAGTGCCACACTCATTCTGGTAACCACAAACTGAGTTACCATTTGGGACCATCGAGATCCAGCTGAATAGTCATTAGTAAAAGATTAATGCAGGAGCGTGAGCACGTATGGCGACAGTAAGATGTTAGTAAAATATACGTCCGAAAGTTCCCAATCCAATACGCTGACAAACTGTTAAATTTGAGCAAATAAAATTTGCATAGCTACTTCATGGATCAAGTACAACAAATTTCACGAGTATGTACTTCACGTGTGTGCATACCTCAATGAATAGTATTATGTAACAACGACTGGTTTCGAAGTTGATACCAGATTATTTTATCACCGAAAATTATTGCTGTGAGCTTTGTATGTACGGACTGCACTTACTGCATGACAACAATTTTGAAAGAAAATGAAAAAAAGGTTATTTAGCTAAATGTTCGTGTTTGATTACAGAATACAACATGATTTTTGGGACACGTTCGAAAAAAGGCCTGGCATATTAGCGCCTGCCTTTTCGCTGAATGCTACTTGTGCATCAAATGGGCACAGCGGCAGTGCTGCCAGTGCCTGAGTACCGTCGGAACAGGAAGGCTCTCCTGTACTGCTCTGGGAAGAACCGGTATCGGAAGTGGAGCCAGTCGCACTGCTAGTCAGCGCGGCCGCGGTAGAGCCTGATGCAGTGCTGTTGGACGCTGCAGTACTTGTGTAGTGACCTCCTGCCGGTGGTAACTGGTAACCACAGGGAATGCTGGACCCCGTCGTCAGCGTAGCGTAGCTCGTTGGAAGTGTGATGTGATGACGGTTGCATTCCATATCCATATACCCCATAATTTTTTCGAGCACCGTACACCCGTGGCTGGCTAGGCGGTAAATTCGAATACGATTGTTGGACAAAATACGGAGGAATTTGCCGGTTTGGCATTGCTAGCGCTTGAGTATACGGTTGTCTGCAGTTACAAGCGACATGGGTGACCTAATCGTTGTAGACTAATGCGGATCTAGAATTGACGGGAAACACTGCACTTACCGGTATGGGTGCATCGGTCCGTAGCGTCGGGCTTCGAATACTGAAGGCTGGTTGTAAAGCACAGGCTGGGAAGCTTGGGGAGTTGAGTGTGGTGCGGGAACTGGCGTGTGGTGTGGGCCTGGATACGGCGGAGCTGGATAAACCGTACGCGACGGATGTGCCACCGGCGCGTTGCGATTTATGGTTTCATCATAATTCGGTCTGCTGCAAAAGCGGGAAATTTTCTAAACTATCAAGGTATGCAATGTACGGCACGGACAAATACATAATTAAAATGACGCTGTTCAGTGTATATATTGTAACAGAAACGCTTTTGTGGGTGTATAACATCGGCATGTGAGAAATAGTCACCTGATGTTATTCATGTTATAACGCAGAATATTTAGATCGTTCTGTATCGGGTGGTTCAACGGTAACCGAAAATCTGGTGATGGATTGCTCACCGAGCTGCAACAAAGGAAATTCACAAATGAATTAATTTCTGTGTACGTGCTGATAAAAACGCGCGTTTGATATTTTGTTAATTTTAATACGAGTACAGTACACTGAAAGTGCCCGAACACCATAATTACTTATGAATATATATTACGTTAAAAAATGCACAAATTCTGTCGTCTCTTTATTTTAAACACCACCTGTACGCAATCGGCATGGCAGTTCCTAGATTTTGAGAGGAATAAGATGATCCTCCTGGAGCACATGGACAACACTGCGACGGTGGTCGATTTTCATTCGAGACGAGCCGGTTCTGCATGGCGGCGTATACGTACGAGTCCGGATTTTGCAAAAGGTCATATTCGGGCTGATAATGTCCGTCTGGCCCATGAGCGACTGTCGATGGCGAAAGTTCCAGCTCATAGGGTGGCTGGGGCCGATTTCTTGCGTTGTTTTGTGCTCGAAAGCTGCTAAGACCGTATTCATTTATCTGACGCTTGGTTATTCGGTTGGAAACAAGTCTGGATCCAAAATAATACGGGATGTAAGCGTACAGTCCACTAGCAGAGGGAAAGAAATTCGATTCAACAAGACCACTTAATGGTGATGCGACTTTCAAAATTATCTACGGAAAGATATATAATGAGTGCATAAGGAAAGGCAACCAGCCGGAACCAGTTCGGGATTAGATTCCTGCATTTACAAATTCCAGTACTGTATAATACTCTGGTAACTAACTGTCGTGTGATCACTATTCTCAAAAATTATAATTCAGAAAGCAAAGACTGTAGCATAAGGGCTCACCAACACAAGTGCCAGATATTCGCCTGTGGTGGGACAAAACATCTTATAGAAACTGAAATTTTTGAAAGGAATACATTCACTCTACTGCCACTTATTTGCAGTCAACTTTAATTGTAACAATGCGCACACATTTAATGATTCAGTACATTAGGCCATCGATTTAAGTAGGTAAAACCATATAACTATAGTATTTTACAGAACTCCTTGCAAGTTGCTACAATGGCGATGTGAACTGATTGTGACACAACGGCATACGAATACTTCGTCCGAAAAATTTTGACTGAAGTTAAATCATTACGACAACCACATCGTAACGCGATTGAAGATTGTGTTTGATATGTGTGGTAACACATAAATATACAAAAAAACTACATACTCTGAGGCTGTTGGGTAATTATTGATGGCATATAACGTCCAGGAGCGTCGGGCCGGCTTTAACGATTACAGCGGCGCCAATTCACTATGCTTATGGAATACAAAGTCCCAAATACAGTATTAATTGTACATCTGTACATCTGTGGTTTGCGCATATTAAACGTAGAACCGTCGCTAGAACGTAAACAAATTAGTCAACACTGAGCAAGAAGCAGATACAAAACAACCGATTTAATCTGAACTACCGTACAAATAAATTGTAGCTGCGATGTACCAGTACACACGTACTGTACAATGCAGCACTACTCATCATCACGGGCGAAGTGACCAGTTCCGGAAGTTCAACCAGGAAATTCCTCGCGCCACTCCAACCAATTCAGGAATTCCCTAGCAAGATAATAATTACGATATAACGTACGAGGTACGTCATCCGGTCATTTCGGAAACTTTATCAAAGCATCCTCACCATATCTTCTGCATCGCAGGTCTGATCGATCTTGCGGACACAAATCCGTGTATTAGTAACTATCGACACATACATCTTCACTAATTGCGTCATAAACAGAGGAAATTCTAGAAATACAGTTGGTATCGGATTTTCTTAGCTTTGGTCTTCTATAAAAAGCTCCGGCTTTCAGAAGTCAAATCATAAAACTTCTTTACACATTTGCCACTTCTCAACCCTTTATGTCACTGAGTTACACACTTGTTGGTTATTCTGATATACATGTACATACATAGTTAGTGTACAAAATTGTGCGGGGGCGAAGATATATACTTACGAGTGACGACAAACAATAATGAATTCCTTTCTTTCCTCTGTAGTTGCGGCTCTCCTGCTTTCGGTACGGAAACCATTGATCTGCTTTCTGTTACTTTATTTTGAGGGAAAGAAGATACGGCAGTGATTATAATACTTTCAATTGTTGTACAGGTTATTGGTAACGAAGCATGTCGGCTGCAAGGCGAAGGCTGTGCCGATCACATTCCGTGTTGCGGCGGCTTGAAATGTGACAATGGTGGAAATGTTTTCGGATTCTGTAAAGTGTCGGTGCCTCCTTATACGGGAGGCGGCTCCGTCAATCCTCCGCCGAACCCTCCAGCTCCGTCGCCCAGTGGAGGTACGTTATTAATATTTTTCGTATACTTAATAAGAAGTATTCAGTCGCATTTATGTAATAAGCCGTACTGTTGTATTAATAAAGCCTTTTTATGATTACTTCGTATGCAACAGGTGGTCAGCCTGCTTCGGGTTATTTAATCAGCAAAGACGAATTCCGCGAAGCCGTAACAATTAACGGCTACGGCGCTCCCTCGGATGAACAGTACGAGAACATCAACAAAGGCGCCGTCAACGGAAAGGTCACCACGAAACGGGAACTGGCCATGTTCCTGGCCAACATCCTCCACGAATCCGACGGTCTGAAAGCCAAAGAAGAGTATTCACCCATCATTTCCACGGACCCCGCCTACCCCGGGAAGAACTATCACGGACGCGGCTACATCCAGCTGAGCCATATCTACAACTATCGTGATGCGTCATTTGCACTTTATGGCGATGATCGACTGGCCAGGAATCCCGAGCAAGTGGCCACCAACGACAAGATTGCCTGGGATACGACCTTTTGGTTCTGGGGCAACCGGGTGCACGACAAAGCCGGTGTGGCGGAAGGCAAGTTCGGCGTGACCACCCGGGCGATTAACGGTGGATATGAGTGTGATGGGGCGTATCAGCACAAGGCCAGACGCCGGTTTGCAATGTACACCAAGATCCTCAACATCTTTGTGCCCGGAGAAACGCCGATCGAGAGCGGTTGTTACAACTAACTTCACCGCATCGCGGCAATCTCATGAAAACTGTGATCCTGCAGTATTTACTCAGTCATTGCGTCTTTCCCCCTAAAATCTGTCGCCAAAATCTGCAGATCAAGGATCGACTTCGTAAAATTTGTACCAGTTTGAATGGTTTGATAATATTTAATTTTTTAGCTCGGTTGTTAATGCGACTTCTCTTGTAGTTTCTATGAAATTCACCATACGAAAAGTCAAAGTAAATAATTGTAGTAAAATTTGATTTGTCTTCCGTTTAACAATGTACTGACAATGTTTTATGTGCTTGCTCAGTCGGCTCTCTCGACGCTTCACTAACCATAAGATTACATAAACACGATTAAGAGAGATAAAAATCAAAAACGATAGAAAAAACTATGCATATTTAATATTTCAGCAGCTTTTTAACAACTTATCAAAAATATAACTAAAATGCAAAGCACGATCATCATTCAGTATAAAATGCATCTGAAAACCGGAACGAAGACAATCACTGCATTCTGCAAAGACCAAATGTAGCTCACAATCACAATATTCCTAATTACACCTAATCCATCAATATGAACGATTACTTCATGCAAGCTGACTTCTTAACAAATACACTTTTGAGAAAGGAAGATGAGAAGGAAGCAGAGTGATTCGCTTTTCCGGGTTCGATGAGTCTTACAACGTGATCACAATAAGGGGAGAAAAACGTACTGTAAAGGAAGCTTATATGGTCCAGGCACAGCTTAAGCTGGACGACACGCCGGCACTGTATCAACGGGATTCTCGCCATCCATTAAGCAGCCCAGTGGTCGACCATAGAACACTTTATCACCGACATCCACCGTAAACTCAAAATTCTTGGGCGCCTCAAACAACAGCACAATCGTCGATCCCAAATTGAATTCTCCAAACTCCGCGCCTTTAACCAGATCGACCGCCCTGACATCCGCCGAAGAGGCCATGTGCTGGGAGAAATTCCAATCCTGATATGCTCCGCGTTTATAACGCCGATTATTTGTTTTCAGCCTCTGAAATACAAACGATAAAATCAAACCTAGTAACCAAACAAGCGAATAACCGTACAAAACATGCAACCAACCTCGTCAAAATAAACACGGATGGATCCGACATTGGTAGCACCGACGGCGGTCATGGAGAAGAAACCATGCAACCAGTTTCCATAGTAAACCACCCGCTCGTTATAGTTGAACAGGCCCTCGATCCGTTTTGTTATAGAAGGAGACACACTAAACAGATGACCTACAACAGAATAAAAAAATTATCATCTAACCATTAATACAGTGGAAATGTATTCTCAATCTAAAAAAACCGCAGAACTTCGATAAAACGGTAGTAGTACAATATACATGCCACCATACAGCACTGCCAAACACCAATATCGAAGCATCTGCGCCACCGGTAAGATCAGACAAGCTCACCTGGAAAATGCCGTCGGGAGATGACCTGCCAGTCCGCCGGGGAATGAAACCGATGGTAATCACCAGGCGCCAAGTAAATCACACAATGATACAAATCAGTGCCCTTATTCCGCAAGCACAAACTCTTCCGGTATGTCTTGGACGGCTCTGGAGCTTCGTTCTACGAGAACAACATCAACGATGTGTGAAACTATCTAACGCGATGTCTGTACGGTTTTTTCACATCCTCAAAACACGCGAGAGAAATAGCAAAATCACAGATTTCCCACGGAAAACGTTCATACCTCTTCAACAACTGGTTCATCATCGGCGGTGTAGGTGAACCAATTTTTGGGGCCTAAAAACGCCGCCAGACTGTAGGTCATGCCTTTGACCTGCTCGACACAATCGTCTTCCACACGGCCGACATGGAGAACGGTGCCATCCGATGGACTCACCTAACACAATGATACATTATTTAGCAATGTAGCACAACCACAAAACGTGATACTGATCGCGCTTACCACACAACTCTTGTCGGCCACCGGTCGCACGCCTGGGCGCAGATGTCGGCGGAAGAATTCGCCAAGATTCTTGTACCACTTCAAATCCTGGATGGCCGCCTCCGAGAGATCCACCCCGAACAGCCACACATAGGAGGAGAGAAGGGGACGGCGCAGCCACGGAGGTAAATAGAGATCGTTCACCCAGCCCCACGTGCGCGACAAGGCACGGAGAGGCAGGAACTGATACACGTAAAACTACAAACACAACCCACTTAACATGCATATACTGCGAACTGGGAAAAAGATCCCAATGCAAATCCCTTGATAGTATTTATAAATAATATCCGCTGACAACTTTAGTAGTTGCAAAGAAATGATACAAATTCTTTCCTTCGCGTAAAATGTAAATCAGTAATCTATTCTCACTACGGTATTAAAAACTGATAAAAACAGATGAAATGCAAGGAACTTTATCTACTCAGGAATAAGCACCGTATTTAAATTATTTAGTACTACAATTACTAAATAATTTAAAACGTGACACACAACGTATCACAATTTTAAACACAAAATTATGCAAAATAAGGTTTCGCGCAGAGCGACTGAACAAGTATTGCAGTTGCACTGTTTTTTTTAAACGTCATTTATTTAACGCATTTATTGAAAAATATCAGTTGTAGGACCTAACATAATAAGTAATTCGATCGACTTACCACAGTAGGAACTTGCCATGGTAGTGCGCGTCGCGAATATTTCCCAACATCATGCACATCCGCGCCAGTGTCGTTTTTTGCGTCTTCGCTAGCATTCCTTCGATTTGCCGTCAGAAGCTGACGATAAACCAGCCAAATCACCCCCACCACAATGGGAATCGGAGTCCATCTCAAGGAGTTCTTCGTCCATTTCGACAGATTGGACTTTCTATACCATCGGGAAGAACTGCCGAAATCTGCAAAACCAATCCCAAATTAATCCCACGTCAAGATGATGGAAAAGGAATCGTCGCACTTTGTTTGTCCGTGTATTCGATCAGGTTCCGTCGCTGGAATCGATACAGGAAACGAGTGTTGAATTTGCTGGCCAGGGATGTATTGGCAAATGAACGGGTTGGAAACCAGCGTGATGGTCGCCAGAATAGACGACGCGCTGGTCCATCGTACGCGGATTGAGATGTTCTCGACACACGCGAGAACAACTTTGTGACTTTCATTCTTACACGAAAACACTGATGATTACAAGGAAACACTCTGCTCTTGTAAGCCGTTACGGGTTACTTCGCTATTAGTGTTGGTAACACCGTAGCACACCATAAATCCTTTCAGTCTTAAATGAAACAAGAAAATCAGAAACTGCTTATCTTCCAAGTAGCACTTTGCCATTTGCGTTGAACTTTACATCTTGAAACTTGCTATGCAGCGTGCACGCTGCGTTTGCAATGAGTCATCGAAAATGTGAACAACGGTATGTCGAATGCGTCATAAGGCACCGCGTTTGTTTTGGTTTAATTCTAACCCCTCCTACTTCACAGCCTCACAGCTGCTGGATTAAAACAAGATTATAAGAGCACTTCTTGATTTGATTAACACCTGAACAGGTCCCGCTTATAATTTTTTTAATGATAAGATTAAGGGTATTTGCTAAATGGCAAATACAAGTACTGTACATTAATTGGCGCCGAGCGCGTCGTCATAATTATAATATTGTAGTCAAAGTGTGTTGAGTCACAAAACGCAAGTGACGGGTTAGAAATTACTACTAATTGTCACCCATCAAAATATCACTACTTCTACCGGTAAATATTTAGAATGCCCCCATCGCGAACAGCAGTTTTCCAGTACGAACCATATTTTCGAATAGTTTTTATCGGTTCCATTGTTAGGCAAATGTGAGGGCATTAAAGACGGCACGCCGATTACAAACACAATTAATTAATGCCGCTGCAATTCAAAGTTCAGTTTCTTCAACATAAAGTGCAAAGTACGCATACAAACTCACACTGAAATAATTTTATTACTAGTATTCATCAGCCCTCACACGAAGGTATGTATGTACGTGTACATGCTGTACTATACTTCAAACCATACTTTGCGCCATCTTTCATTTAGATTTTTCATGCGGTACAAAAACCACCACAGCCCGCAACGTCCTTGATCACATCTTACAACATAATCAGTAATCATCTCCGTAAAAATCAGAAGGAATACAATAACATGAAAGACATTCAGAAACCACTACCAATGAAAAAATCAAAAACAGGGATTTTATACAACAAAGTTTGCAAAATGGAGGATAACGAGAAAAATTTATCGAGTATAACGTCTAAAAGATTCACAAAACAACAGGTCATGTCACTGTAAAGAGTTAATACGGCTAACAATCCATTTGGCAGACTGAGAAGGAAATAAAAACCACCTGGACGATCACTTAAAAACACCGCTGGCTTAAAAAGCCTAACTACATACAAATCTAGTCATTAACAGCTTACTATAAGCCAAAAACTGTAAAGCTTCCGGTTATCAGGCATCCATAAACATCAATCCAGCCATAACGGAGAATCCGATAACCATGCAAAGAATCTTCAGTAACATCACACCACCGGCTTCGTCTTGAGAATTCTTCAGCATTTCATGCGGCAAAACCTCCAGAAATGTAATGAACAAAAATGTACCACAGGCCATCGCTTGCAGTACCGCACTGATTATGCCGGCTGCACCATCCTGGTTGAAATTCTCCATACCCATCGCAATCCCAATTCCTGCAATACCGGTATACAGCTTTATCAGACACAATAAGTGTACTTATAGTTCTACACGCACACATTTCAGCAAATAAAGCGTTAAATATGCTTCATTTTGAAAAAGCCGGCAGTAAGTGGATAAGTACGAAACCGTCAAAGCCTTCAGGTTTTACGGCGAAACACTTCGAGAAATTTTTACTTTTTACAGATCCGAGTTACACATAACACACCACGGTTCTCACTCGCATATCGGTTGCAGTCTCTGTCCGGCATTTTAAATTCGAGGCAACAGCAGCGATCTATTTTACCAATTTGCTTCCACTTTTACAATCTCTATTTTCATCATGCTATCTACATGAACTTGGATTTTATCGACTCCGGCTCGAGGTAAGAAAGTTCAAAATGTATTATGTATTATGTATTAACTCTGAGTCTAGACATTTCATGGTGCAGTGTAGTATTTTCCTTATACCAGTTCTCCTGCTATCTGAAGCAAACTAACTTTTTGGATGTAAAACACTATAAAGCCGCAGGTAAGCTTTCACGAGTTGTTAATAAAAAACAGCTTCACAACTACGATGAAGTAGCTCCGAGCTGATGCCAAAAATATTAATTTACAACAATTTAACGATAGATAATATGCCACAAATCACAATTTACTAACAGAAAAATATAATAAATAATTCTTGTCAAAACTGGTAAACAGTAATTATTTACAAATCTTTCTGTAGACATTTTTACCAAACTATTAACGTCCTGCTGGTTTGTACAATTTGAACATACGAACAAGACTGAAACATCAAAATGCGTAAAACAACAAAACACATTCTCTAGATAGTAATATCGATCTACACTAGCAACAATACTTCAGAATAGTGCTAGCAAACACTAAAAAACGCTCTCATTAATTATTTTAAGGCAAGCCGTTTCTTTCCCCAGGCTTTCGGAATATCCCCTATTGTACCAAAGGATGTACACGATACACTTCCGTCGAGAGATCTGACAAAACGGAACGTAACGCACGGCAAAAACAGATTGTTGTCACCGGCATATCGACTTTGTACACTAGTAATTCAACGGCAATGGCCGCCACCATGCTCCTCAGCATACGAGCAGCAATCATAGTGACGGTGAAGCTCGCACTAGCTCAGGAACCGGAAGTCATTCTAGGCGATGCCTACCAAGAGCCAGCCATCATTCCGGAGACTATCGACAGCAAAAGCATAGAATGCCGCGTTGCTGTCTCAGGCAATAGCTTTTTCCGGCGCCTATGCTGCTTATAAGCTGTCACCGCAGTACAAAACCAAATCTGCATTTTCGACCAGCTGTCCCGCATCGGGGGTCGCATGCACGATGTGTCCGAGCGCCCTGGCCAGCCGGTATACGGACTAGGCCCATTGACGATGCTCGACAATCAGTACAACATGCTCCGTCTAGCAGACGAACTGGGCATAGAAATCCAGTCCGCCGACAATGAAAATATCCTGCAAAAAGCTCGTGGACGCTATTACCTGGCCAACAGCACTTTCTCCAATACCAGATTAATGTGCAAGGAAATTTTCCACGGAGTGGATTGCGACGGCTGGAACCATACCGACACGGACAAGGGAATGTGGGATTTTGTACTAAAACTTTATGCAACGAAGAACGAAGCTCTGCAGAACTATGCCGACATTAGTACATTCCTTCGTGGCATTTTGGGCACAGAAGGGTTTGCTTTTCTCAACGAAGCCGTTCCATGGCAGAGTTTCTTCGCGCCGGGCGGGCACATCACGAATTTCCTGGAATATATGGCCAACGTTGATAAGCCCAACATGTCCAGTCTCCAACGGCGAAAACGTTATGCCGTGGGCGGCATGTCGATTTACCCGAAGACAATGATCGCCATGGCAAAATCTAACGGAGCACGGGTTTTCATGAACGAAAGCATTCAGAGTATCGACGAATCCGAAGGAAAATTCCTCATTCATACAACAAAACGCACAGTTCTAGCGGAGAAAATCATTAACAGCATCCCTCCGTTTGCATTTCGCAACATTTCCGGCAACATCGCAGAGCAAATCAAACAAGCACCAGAATTCAAAAGTATTACAACGGAAGCATGCGCGACAATCGACGCCTGGTGGGATGAGCGTTTTTGGGAGCGATCGAAATTCTCCCAGGGAGCTATTCTGCAGAGAATCATCGCCCACGGAGAATGCTTCAATCTGGTAGAAACGCCAACGTACGACTACATCCGTGACACGAATGTCACCCGTGCAGTGTATGACGACGGCGTGTGTATTGCAACTTGGAGGACGATAATCCACAGCGGAAATGTTCAAATGCTCAAACATGAACTTCAAAGGGGAATGCAAAGGGTGTTCACGGATATAGTTGTACCGCTCCCGCGAACAGTCATAGGTAAGTGTCAAAAAATTTTTAAGAACGGTTGTTCGAGTAAACCGTAAACGAAGCCTACTTTAGGTACGATTCATGAGCAAGCATGGCACGCTCTAACCGCCGCAACGAAATTTTTGAACGATGATATCAGGAAATGGGCGTTACATCCAGCAGGCAACAAAACCATCGTCATGATCGGAGAAGCATATATGCCTGCGTTTGTCGGATGGACCGAAGGAGCTCTACGCTCGACAATGTGGGCATTACAAGAACACTACGGCTTCTCCTTTCCATGCCTAGCATCTTCCGAACAAAGCGCTGACTGCTCTTCAGTAACATTCTAGCATGAAATTTTCTCTACTGGACCAATGTTTTCATGTCTATTTGTTTGCTTAAATTATTAGTATTGCCTGGTTTGCTAATAAAGTTAAATTCGAACGCAACAATTTCAGCCTTACTGCTTGTCGAAAAAATTATGATACTGTACTAATTAACACTACATTCTTAAAGCTAAATTAAAAGTATAACACTACTGCATTATTAAAATTAGATAAATGTAAAGCTTACCTAATGGTGAGGCAGCAGAAAACACCAGCGCCAACATGATAACATTCCGAAACGCCATCCGACTCTGCATTAGATTCATCCCGACGGAGAAGGCCACCACGCATTTATGTATCAACAACGCTCCGAATATTTCCACCACCTTTTGCCGCGATCCTTGCAATCCGACCGCTAATCCTTCGAAGACAGAATGTAGACTAAGAGCAACCAGCAGAATAAAGGAACGCGCAGTGTGTGTCGTCTGATGGGACTTGGATTTAACCAGCCGCAGCGCCGGTTCAACGGATCCCTGCGAATGCCCGTGACCACCTTCGCGTGTCGGCGACGAGGACCGCGATGACGCAACCGAGGATAAAATTTCTGGCTCATTATCAACTGCGTCCGGCAGAGAGATTTCCGATGAGCGTCGTGTACGGAAATCACCGCGGTCGTCATTGCTCGGTGGTTCCTGGGAATGCAGAAAATACGATAGACAGGCATACCATAATTTATTCAATCACTTTGCAATTATACGATATAATATGTGTACGAGTCGAAAATTAGAAAGCACAGCACGCAAAGAAAAGCTAACCAGTAACAACTACAAAAATCAAAAACCAAGACACCAGCAGAGGAAAACCACAATTCAAACTAGAATCTGATAGCTTAATTTTGTGTGGCCTCCCCTGTTAAAACCGTAAAACACCAATAAAACAGGATGATCTATGTGCTGTACCTGGTGTGCAGGAGGATGATAGGGATTTGGCAAGGCATATCGCTGATTAATTTGCTCCCTCAACAACTCCGATTCGCTGACGGTTCGATGCCTGAGACGGCCTCTTTCTCGTGCCTCCTGTCTTTCCGCATCCGCTCGTCCGCGCCCGGGGCCATGATCATGCCCGTGAAAGATGTGCACATCCTCTGTTTTGCACGAGACCACAATACGCTCCACCATCATCACCAGCAATAAACCGAACACAATACAAAACTGTGCCAGCGGATACTCAGTGTGGATGCCCACTTTTGGAAGGTGCTCTTTGAAGGCATCGATCACATCCGGCTGCAAATCCAGAAACAAAGTGCCCAGGAAAACACCACAGGCGAAACAGTTGAGGAAGCTTATGCCGTAGCGAAACAGACGGGAATGCGGGCCGCTCTCCAAATGATGACTTCGAACACTGAAACCAATGAAAATGCAATTGTCGGGGAGCAAATGAGAATGTCTTACTTCAGATTTTAAACGCAAAAACAGCATAAAATTACAGAAGATAAGAAAACTGAAACACAGTGTGACGCTACCGTCGTAACTCATCAGTGATTGCATAACTTCCGCAGAATTAGAAATCTTGCATGCAGGCTTTAGCAGATCCTATTTCTTTGCAACTCGATTTACTAAATGCAAAACGAACAACAACAACAACTTACCTAGAAATCAGCCAGGCAGGAAGAAGGCAGAAAATAGATGTTATTAGAAACATACCACCAAGAACCAAGCCTTTCGTCAGTCGCAAACTGAGACCTGCCATTTCTCCCTAGTCGATCGCAGTTCGCAGATTAGAAGAAACTGGATTAACTACTTCTTTTAGTATGCAAGAGTAAAGAGTATCTAATTATCTGTCTAAGCAACATTCCAAGAAGCCTAACCATAACGCAATCAAACCTCAGAAATTCAGAATTCCAGAAAAGGCCGAAGAGCCATTTAATACTCTGCAAAAACAGTAAAATAATCCAAATCATCGACAGAAGTATTGTACAGCTGATTGATGTACATCTGATTTAACTGATATCTCCGACGTTAAACAAAGTACCCACCCTGGGGTGGCTTGCGGCAGTTGCACTATTCTGATTTAAGCTTGCATTTCATATGGTCGTAATAAAATTTTATTTTACTTAATTGTACTCTGTATACCACGGCTTTGAAAAAAAAGTTAGTACCGCTGACTTTGTTGCGCAAAAACTTGCCAAGCATCTAATTTACGAAGCGGTTTACGGTAGGAAACTTCCATTGGTACTTACATAATTATGTACTCTTATGTCCACTACGAATTTGCGAGCTAACCTTATGATTTTACGTTTAAGCTGGTTTTTGCTTTTTTTATAATTATTGTATCTATATAGTATACACTACGTGTAGTGTTATGCCTTGGTACTACTGTACTCGTACTGTACACAATCGGCGCGTTGAATACGTAGAGGCTAGAGCCCCATTTAAGCGCAACTTAAGATTAATTAAGGTGGCATTTGATATTTCGTTAACCACTAATAACTTCTGACTGTCTGACAGATTAGTGCAATTAATTCTCAAAGAGCTTGATGAAGTTAGATGTATTCTTTTTTGACCGCATAAGTAAAGACACATTAAAGGTATACTCACCATGATTTGATTTCCGGTGAGCATAGTAAACCTATACAGAATACAGTAAGTATACAAAGCCGACCATTTGATTAAGTCTCCTGATTAAATTTAATTATATGTACATCCCGTTGAAAATTTGCTGCCAAAGGCCCAAGAATGCAGGTATTGGCAAGCCAAGGTAAGATGCGAGTATCGTAAATTCGTGCAATTTCCAAGTGTTCTGAAATGAAGTACGCCCAAGATACTGTAGGTAGGACTGTACCAATAAATGTGGAATGCAAGCAGAAATTTCAAACCTAAAGACTAACTGGAAGTTGGCAGTTCGCCTAATACGCCAGCATAACAATATGCAAAATAACTTCCAATTGAATACTTAAAACAAATTCACACTTCGAATTAATAAAGTGGAGGGCAATACAAGTTAGACAAGAATACTTAAAACCGCATACGAACGTAATTCAGCTTTTAGGCTTTCCCAAATGACGTCTCAAATGCACAGTATATGAATAAATGACCGCTTGGGGATTCTAAGACATCTATCGAGATCGGGATGTTTCTGGCCGATGGGCGCAGAAGGTGGCTACTGGCCACCGTAAGTACCTTTAAGGGAAGCGCATTCCTCATGCGCTCTAAGCGTATGAATTTTTTTTAAACATCTTAACGGTTTACAGTAATAAAATCGACCGTCACGTTGTTTTAATGGCCATGACGTTTTCGAGTGTACCTACTTTTACTTTTGACAATACGCAAAACTTCCGCTTGTTGTAAACTCAACGTGCCATATAAAATTGGTTTTGTAGCAGTTGCATATCTGAGCAGTGCAATTTGCCGAATATGATCCGAGCAATGACTGATTATAAGGGATCGACTTTCATATTCGCTCAACCGGGCAAGATCTGTCAACAAAATATGGAGTTTACTGGGGCATAAATGCATTATGAAGAAGAGTGCGAAGTATTTCGCCCAATAGTTTTCCAAATTGCTAGCAAAATATGCACACAGGCATTTTAACTTGAAGTAACCTAATTTTATAGGTACATTTTGGGCAGCAATTTTGTTAATTGTACGAGTTTTTTTAATACAAATATTCTCGCTCCAATAGTTAATTAGCGCAGTTATCATGTTTCAGTTAATTTCGCGATACCGGTGTGGTGGACTGTCTAAGAGTATATTTGCGAAATCGAGATAATTCAAAGATAAAATTTTGGAACAACCAGTGTAAAGCTTGAAATTACTAGTAACTCCGCGCAATCATAGGACGGAATATGCATATGAATAGATGCCGGCCTAGGCACTGTATAAAAGATACTGATTTTCGCACCATCCGCGATGCCCACTGTGACGTCACGGCGGTTTCCTTAGAGCGAACGACAGAAGCGGGCAATGGAAACCAAATCCAGATGTAATTTTGGTCGGAATTAAGCAACAGCGCCGACTTAATCCATCAGAATCCTTGTCTGACCCATCCACGCTGTCAATCGACAGCTCTAATAAGTCTGAGAAAGCGCACGAAATATCTGTATCGATGAATTCAGCGCTCGTCTCCAATTTCTGGCCACTCGATTATTTGTTTCCACTTAATGTTACCAGATGGCCACAATATCGCCGAAACAGTGACCAATGCAAGCTGTGTGTGGCTTGCCACTCCAGTGTCCATGGCTGCTGTCTGACTTGTGAGGAACAGTATTTAATAAATTAAACTGTTATGGTATCCATTATTTTTATTTATACAATTATGTATTATACATTTATCAGGATCGACAATATTTTGCTTGACATTACGTTACTCTTTTTTTACCGGTAAATAGGTCAATTCTAATCAAGCCGCGTTATGTGATACTTCAAAAATTACAGTTATACGCAAGCCAAATAAGAAAAAAATCTTTTTTAAGCTTTTAGAGGATGCTAACAATAAAATATTACGAGTGGCTTTACACTGTATCTGTATATTAAGCGTTGTAAGAACCTTAAAACTTCAGACAGACGCGGAGCGTTGCCAACCATTGCCTGCGAAACGAGGTGTGTATTAAAAAAAGTATTCATTTTAATCATTCCTTAAATCCATAAAAATTCACAACAGTATTGTAAGTAAAATAAAGCTGTAGAACCGCGAGTCGAAAACGTGTCAGTTTGTTTTCTAAACAATGTTTTTGTGGTATAAAGTCGAAGTTATGTAGGTACCGGGTATTTAAGACCCGATGCGGCATATGCCTCTTCGAACAATAAACCAATCAAGAGTTCGAGACCACACAACCAACCAATCGCGCGATCCGCTGCGGCTGCGCCGGTTTTATCGAAAGAGGCAACTCGCCGGATCTCCGGCAAATTTGCAGTCTTCCATCTAATCAACAGCGCCGCAGCGGCCACCGATACTGCAAACAGATACCAATACTTCCACGACCGTTGTTACTTACATTGTAAATCACCGGTTCAGTAATGTCGAACATGATATGTGTAGTGAATATGGTACCTATGTGTTTTGTATCTGGGATGGATTACATCTAGTAGGATGGGAGCGAAATTCCATTTGACCAAGATTTCGGGCTGGAATAAATGATTCGGTAAGTTTAGGCCGGACCTACCCGGCAAAAATTTGATGCAACCCATCTTTGTTAGCACTAATTGAACCGGCATGCAATTTAACTGAGTAGATCGTTTTGAAAACTACGAAAAACAAAATTTACAAAGTTCAGATGGCGTATTCGTATTAGTCAGATATCAATTATGACTCCGGACGCTGAGCTTAGGACTTGCCTAGCACGTCCATTTTTTATATACTTTCTCTTTACGCCCAAATAAAAGTATTCCATTTTTGTGTGTTTTCTTCTCTTTCACATTAAACAGCGCTTTATTGTTTAGAATAGGTATGTTTACGTTTTGACTGAAGTGAAGCATAAAGCTGTAAATGTGTGAGTGTGCACAATTAGGAATCCATCAACGACCTTCCAACAACATTTTCCATGGGAATTGCTTGATTTTGGTTTGGTAATGTGCAATATGTGTCGAGATGCGGAATTTAAAGCAGCATTTTGCACAGGCATTGCGCAATGTTTATGTCAAAGGCAAAAGTGGTTAACACTGCCTGTTTGCGGTGGTTAAGGAACGCGGAATACAAAGAGAAGCACAGAATGCGTTAAAGCGCAGCATTCCAGTACATGATCTCCTGATTTTTCACCACGTCGTAGATTTTGCTATCTCCAGTAATCGTACCATTTGTATGTATAATGTAATCCGCATTTTTACGCTTATGATCAGGAATTCGCGCCAACATTTCCACCGATCAATTTGGCATATTGGATGTCCTTGTTAATGTCCAATCGTGATTTTGTTGTGGTTAAGTAACTTGACTTGTGCACAAAACAGCGGCGTTGTTGACTTAACAGCTAACTTGTCCCGCTGTTTGACCAGTGATTCAATGCATAATCCGTGTGCTGCGTCATTACGGCGACACAGGCAAAATTTTTAATTGTTACGTGAGGTCATCGCTGCTTATATAGTGTTAATCGCATTAAACGTAATACAAAAACGAAAGAGATTATTGTCTTTTATTAATGCTGCATTCTACCCGCTGATTCAACACAATAACTTCGTAATGTACATAATGGCTTCGCAGCTCGCTGTTATTTGTAGCGGACAATCTGGTCGTGAACATCAGAAGAAACGGAAATTAGCAAAGAAATTCTTGATGGACTAACTGCAGAATTTAAAATTTTTTCAGTTTTCAACACATTTTATTCATACTTATAGTTACTGAGAGATAATGATATTATTTGAGTTGATTTAAATGCCAACGTGACATTACCAGTTTTCTTGGTTCCAGATAACGCGTAGCCGCAACTCTGCCATGCTAACGCATTCCGTCGGGCATATTGAGCGCTCACTTTCCCTTCCGGTGGAGCGCTCGCTGCGGCAGCATTCTTCCACAGAAGAATACCTTCTGGCACTGCGTGAGGATCTGGCCGAATGGCTAGCCGGCCTGTATCCGGCGACCGAGATCGATACGGACAATTTCTTCGACAAATTAGAAACGGGAACAGTGTTATGTAAGCACATCAATTGTCTGATTGACCGGCTAAATGATTGTACTTCCGCTGGCTTTAATGAATCGAGCCATAAGAGCCACTCGCAGCTGGCTGCTGTGGATTCAACCGGCAGACGGAAAATCAATGCCGCTGTAACGGCCATACAGCCGGCGGTTGTGGTCAACAGATTGCAGTGCCGAATAAATGCTCAACCAAAAAGCTTTCAGGTACATTAATTATGCTTACCGTATTATAATTTTAAGCAAAATTAACTTTTGGAGATACGTTCTGGTATTTTCTGATTGTAGTAAAAAAATTAAGAAAATATTTGCAATACCAAGTTCAACTGATTTCTGAAAGGATTTTTAAAGTCTACATATTAGCTGGAAGTTGAATTTAATATATCGCCATAACTGTAACTGTAAATATCTTTTAACTGGATAACATCCATGGCTGTCATTGTGAAGCTGTTGTGTAGGCGCGTGATAATTTATGCAACTGCCTTGCGTGGTGCCGGTCAATGCAGATGCGTGAATGCCTATTATTCGAGACTGACGATCTGGTGCTGCGGAAGAATGAGAAGAGTGTGATACTATGTGTCATGGAGGTGGCCCGAATAGGGGCCAAGCTGGGATTGCCTGCCCCGACCCTAATTCAATTTGAAAAAGAAATCGATGAGGCTGAACTACAGCTACGCCGGAGGCCGCAGTCGGTCACCCCCGCGGGCGCCGATAACGATGGGGATGATGTTGCCAGTTGCAGTATGTCCAGTGGGATCTTCTCGCTGGGGAGCACTTCCGTCTCGGATCAGGAGGCAGGGGACGGTCCCGGCGCGGACGCCTGTAGCGCCGTCGATGGACATGCCAATACGCCGACTCCAGCCTATCTTCAAAATGTTGATCAAGTGGTATGTGTATTTATTGGCTGTTTACTATTAGACATTAAAATGATTAAATGCAGCGTCATCAACCTTTGTTGAAGTCCGTACAACAAAGACGCAAGACTACTGATCGAAAATTTTAAATACGAGCTGAATACAGTGAATTTAGTGCATCGACGAAGTCAGCAAAAAGATTTTCACAATAAATTACACTTCTGAGAAATTTCAGGCCGGTATACATCAGTAATTCAGTACTATGCAGACTATTCCATGTAAATTAAATAAAAACGTTAGTAATACTGTATAACAAACTGCAAATGGTATTTTTCTTCTGAATAATTTTTCTGAATTTTAGTTTTCGTCTGTGTAATTGTATAATTTGTATTGTAATCCGTAACTGGCCATTGGTTGCTCTATCCTGTTATGCAACCAACGCACACGATAATATACACTCTCGGCGCATTGTGCCACCAGGATGAATCCGCGGACGAAGCCGAATAGCGTCCATATATCTGTGCCACTCATGCCGGGATTATGATGGATGGTGACAGGCCGTTTTTTCTCCCAACACCAGCAGGCAAACTCACGCTGATCAGCGTTGACTGCCGAGGATGGCAGAGACGATTAGGGACGGATGTTGGTGAACATGTGTGTGTATGCGTGTGTGTGGACAGGCATAAGTTCAACTGGGCCAACACGGTTAGCCTCGCGGGCACTTCTAGTTAGCCAGATTCAGGAGAGACTGGTTTTATCAATCAATGTGCATTACCGTCCTGATCGATGACCTTTTTTTCGGCAAACATTGTCGCTTGTAAAAATGCACGTTAGGCTGCGGAAAAACGGGATCGGGCATATCAATTGATTGGCCAAGTAGCGACTAACTACCGTGTCCGTGAGCCCAATTCAGTTCGCACAACTGTTATTGAGCGAAAAAAAGGAATCAATTTGTGAATGATTCGTGTATCTGTTCTCTGACTTTCTTTAAGCGAGTTTATAACAGCCAGCACTATTCTGCAGAAATATGGCAACATTTTAATCATTTTTTTCCATCGAAAAATAATGATTAAAAATAATTACTTTATAAGTTCAGCAAAAGCTTTCGTTACGTGTATGAAATAACCGATTTCTATTTAATATTTTGCGCAATGAAAATACTGTACTGTATTTGTAAGCAGATATTTTTTGTTTTCCGGTAACCGGCTCATTTGTAAGATTTTAATAGAAGTAATAGATATTATTGTACAATGCTGTGTTCTCAATAAGCTAGGTACGCACGCACAGACTCAGCTTAAAAGCGTTTTGAAGTCTTTTTATAAGCTGCATGTTACGTGATGGATAAAAAGATGATAAAATTAATAAGCTTTAGCAAGTAATGTTAAAGGACGAACAAACAAGTTGTTTTCTTGTGCAACATGTATGTATTTTTCGCGCAAGCGTTGAGAGTTTATTTCAACAAGACGTCTGAAAAGGTAAATCGCTGATTAAGTGAAGCTATTTCATAAGTGGACTGCACATCACAATGGCACGCGGCCAAGGTGCTCCAGTTGAACTGGAGTGCTATCGGCATGCACTTGTCGTAGTAATTACCATTAGACGTTTTCATCGGAAAACCTATAAGAGAATCCGTTGATTTTCTCGGAGCTACTTCGAGCCATCTTCCATATTGTGTATAATATCTTTTTAGATGTCTCTTATATTTTGATTTTCAGGGTTTTTCGATTTCGAATTTTTTTTTTAATGTTTATGTATCATGTGGAGAGAAGTTTTAACTTGAATATTAACGTGTGACTATTAAGTTAATAACGTGCGATTAACATTCAATTAATAAGTTGTTTTTTTGCAAAACGCCACTCCTAAATTTTCTGGGGCATATGCATTGTGCCGGCTTTAAGCATTTATCAAAGCTTTGAAGCCGGTTACTGGCCTTATCCATTAATTTTTGTTTTGCGAAGCAAAATTATTTCAGTCATCTTGGTGAGACAACATTTTCCTCTGAACACAAAAGCATGATCATCAAGCTTCATCAGTGTAATTTTCCTTGGACAATCTTGTTATCTTTGCATACACTTGTGCCGCCGCACTTTTTCATACGCACAGTGACACTGACATTGAAACACGTAAGGAAACACCTGAGAAGCACATTCACATCCATCCACCAAAAGATATGGCTGAGTAAGTGGTTTTCGGGAAGAAGTGGCCTTTTTCTTCAAATTCAACAGCCACTTGAAAATCTATTCAAACCGCGTTTCACAGACAAATCAGCACGGATCAATTAAATCCATTCCGCCGTTAATGTCCGCCGCGCGCGGTTCCGCTAGCTACCGTTACGTTCTCAACAGCTGACAATCATTTTTTCTATCAAGCATATACGTTGACAGACTGTCGGATAAAATTAAATAGAAATAATAACAAACACATGCCAATCGGATAGCGCTGATAACCTCGGCGTCGCTTCGGTAGTAAAAATACATGCACACATGTTGACGGTAGCACAAGCGTCAAGGTGAATGCCGGTGCGTGTTTATTAGTGTTTGTTTAATGAGCAACTGACGGACAACTCATGCTGTTCCACTTATCCATGCTTCTACAGCATCCGCCATCCACATTCTTAAGCAATTATTTAACTGACCGAAGCAGTAATACCCGTATACTGTGCGCTATTTTCATTTTTAATCCAGTGAAATCTAGGTTATGAAAATTATTAATGCAATAAGTAACCAGTATATTGTAGTATTTAAATATTGTATTCCTATTTTCTAAATAAATTTTCAGCTCTAGATTTGATAAAAAAAAGATTGTCAACTATAAGCCAGTTCATTAGTTTTTTAAAAGGGTAAATTTTGAATGCAAAAAATGTGGCCTCTAATATGTACTGTTGCTTTTATACTATATAGTACTGGTAGTACATGTACTCGTATGTCTGTTTTGCCCGTTTCTAAATGCATCGTGGTATTTGGAGGTCAGCGCGCAACACACAAAAATTTTATATTATGCTAATGGAAACGTGGAATTCGAAGCGAACGGATCGTGTAAAATCGCGAGACGGAGGATTTTCTAATTACATTCCCATTAATCTCTTGTATGGACGGCTCGTATAACGGACTAGTTGAGGTTTAATGATGTGTTGCGGGCGGAATTAGTAATGACAGACCATGTAGCCATGCGGACGATGATGCGCCCATCGTAAACTTATGACAAACAGTGGTGTTATTATTCGCTGACCACACTACTGCGAATGCTTGATAAGAACATCAATTACACTAACGTGCGGAAGCACCACTATGAAATTGACATGTTATCGACTGCTCAGCAATTCATCACATTACCACATTAAACTGAGCCGCTAATAAAAAGAGAAATAAAATTCACACGTCTCATTTTTTGGCGTTTTTACAAACTTCAATAACGGCGAAAACACTAATACGACTATAAAAAAAATTAGTAATATCTATATTATGTAAAATACTTTTGATTAAATTACATAATAGCAATCATTATTATAATCATTATTAATTATATAATAATCCTAGCAGAAGTTTAATTTAATCTGCTGATGATTAATGACTATGAGATGCAGTTTTACTATCTGCATGTTTAAAATTGCTTATGATTGATCATGTTTACAAAATTTTGAAGAAATCTGCTACTGCGATCAACAGAGCATGCCTTCAAACTGTCGCCCACTGCGTGTTTATTTGTTTAGACCGTGTCGTCCGACTTGATTTTTGTCGCAGAAGCAATTTGAGTTATTTGTTCAAGTTTCTCGATTGTTGATGATTACAGGTGAAAGAGCACGTGAAGGAATGCTCCTGCCAGACGCCGTTTTCCTTGACCAAGGTGGCCCCTGGGAAATACCGTGTCGGCTCCGCCCAACTGCTTATTTATGTGCGGGTACGTATCACCGCCATTAATTAAAAACACGCCGTTTCCTTTCCCATGGAAATTGATAAGTGGAGTACAGTTTTAACGTTTCTAAAACGCTTCTTCTTTAAACCACTATAGTAATTATTATGCTAAATAAATTCTGCTTTATGTTGCAGAGAATTTTCCGAATCCGTAGATCCTCGGTGCAAAAATATGTTTGTCTTTTTTACATACGAAAATAGATTTGTGTTAACAGGGTTAATTACTACGCTAGCATAGTAGTACCGTACCATAAAGTTCAGCTAACTTGTAAACCTAGAGCTTTTAATTCTGTGGAAATTAATTGCGCATGGAACGAGGAAATCGTTCGAGGTACATGTACTAACAAAACGATGGACACATACGGTCTTTTTGCCGAACAGATCCTACGCAATCACGTGATGGTACGGGTGGGAGGCGGATGGGACACTCTTGACCATTTTCTCGGTGAGTTGACACATAACGATATCGGTTGCCGGTGTTCACCGGGGCAATTTGATACGGCGATTAGATAGGCGCCATGAGCAACAATCAGGTTAATTTGGCCCGTATCATGCCGTGTATGCGGCGGGCATTTACACACATTTACTTGACCGGATGCGCGCCGGGGTGGATACTCGCGGCGGCAGTTTATACAAGTGGACCCCAGCCATTTTCACCGCACAACCTGTTTGAGCACCATTTAACACAGTGCTATCGGTGTTTGATCAAGTGTCCCTCGTCAAACAGACACTGGACTGGCTTATTGTCGGCCACAGTACGTCACCGCGAATATTGTTCTGTTTATTTGTCGGCTGGTTTTCCTTGTCACGCAGCTGACAATGAGAGGATGTATTGTACGTTCGTAGAAAACAACAGAGCATTGGGCTTCTTGCTTTTACGACAAAATTAAGAAGCACTCCCAAATTACCATCACAGAATTACACAACTGTACAAGGCAACCGTTTTCAGAAATTCCCATGGGAATAATTCATTATATATATATGTATGACTTGTATTAGTGATAGTCACTACCGAAACTGGAAAGAGAAGCAATCAGTAATCACCATTGTAAAACAATTGCCGTTTTTTGTTGAAATTCGTATAAAATCTTTATTATTTTTATGTATAACTTATCACATATTACATCTGCAAACGGTGCAAACTGTTGAGCATTGGCAGCTAAGGCATTCATTCATTTCAGTAACATGAACGTTTTGGAATCTTTATAGAAAAACACGATCCGTGCCGACGGGGCCACTGCGGATGCGGCGATTCAGTAGCATCTGTTGCCGGTCATAAACCTTCAGCCAACGCCACTATTAATCATTCCCCTCCGACGTGTACCATTCCCAAGAAAGTTTCTGCCACGGCCAACCGAAGAATTAGTACTGATCTCACACAATTACAAGTTGTTTATAAACGGTTAGTACACCATCTGTTTCGGTGACATAAAACTAAAAAGTGTGTCAATGGATAAATTTTGCAAAAGCTGGTGAACTGTTCTTGTCGATTCAAAGCAGCACTGAAAAAGCTGAACCACGAACATTTAAAATTTTAGCTAAATTGCAGACGAATATAATGATTATAATTACTTTGATTACATGGAAACGACTGCGTTTTACATGAGTACCTGAAAACAAAGACGATATTTTATTAACAGTACTTCCGATAATTGTTTTCTGTATAAATCATAAAGAGCACACAGTATTGTTGTTTTCACATCTATTTATCTGTATATCTGCAAAGCTGTAAGACGTGCGTACGAGTAACATTGTACTGTATGCTTCTTCAATGGCGTCGAAGGGCATTGCTGGATAGGAGCATTGACAGACCTATTGTACATAATAAAAACTATATTAATTTAAAATACCACGATTACTTAATGTTAGAATACTTACTGCTCGAACCATTCAAGCAATGTTATGCCTGCATTAAACTCAAACGTGATTTGCTTTTAAAGACCAACTGTTTATTCCACAGCGAATCACTTCCGCTCAAACCAACCGAATTAATTCTTCCCCAGTCAGTCGTAAAATCCCAAACGACTGCTTTGGCGCCAGCGTCACGGCGTTTATCGAAAGCCTCCTTATCGACAACAAATTCTACTTCCGTACCAAAATTGTCACGCGCGCGTAGCATGGATGTTAGTTTGTTGCCGGAAGAGAAATCGCTGAAAATCCGTAAAGCACAACCTGTGCCTTCCGTTAGACAGCCGACTATTTTGCGTCCTAAAACCGCCAACAGTATTAATCGGATAAATCCGAACACGAAGAAGAATCGCCTAAGCATGCAGGAAGGAGGAAAAATAACGAAGTTATCCGCCGATAGCTCGCCCAAACCGGATCCGTGGGAGAATGCCATGAACCGGCATCGGCAGAAGTTTCTCCAGACTAAACACGTATTTGAGAAAAAGGGCACCAAAGATGTCACTGCGCCCGTATCCGACGATTCGGCCATCTCCACACCGACCAATCCTGGTGTGATTAAGAAAAGGTCACTGGATGAGAGCAAGCCGGGCGATTCAGCGGAAGAAGGTTTCTTCAGTGATGCATCAGGGAACAGCGAATAATTCAGAACAAATTTGTCAGGTATGACCGTGCGATTAATCGACTATTATAATTTTACTTGCAAAATATGTACCTTTGTCGGTAAATAATTATATAAGTAACTAGTTTATTAGGATCCGACATTACTGTATATTGGCGCTTACTATTTCCTAAATTATTCGAAATTAATTTCGATTTGTAAATTGTAAGTGATACTGTACCTTACGTAAAAATACTGCGGCCGAGTGTATACTGTACAACCGTTACCGAACGCAAATAAATCTACGACATATTTATTTGGTAGCGCTAAGTGCGTAATTTTTTTCCAGTGTTCTGCGCCTACTGTGAGTAAATATGTACAAGTAATATAGATATACCAATGCATCATAATACGGGTCGTAACCGGTACCGCAATAGCTTACTTCGTTAATTTACGATATTTCCCGGCTTCCTGTTGCTTATAATTTGTGTTTTGCACTATTGTAAGCTGCAGGAAAACGAAAGTCCCAACCGACAATTACGACAGCAGTGCGCAGTGATACCGCCGATGGCTGGATACCGGATATCCGTCGGAAAAGAATCTTGGTGTTACTTTTCTGTATGTGGCGAATTCTCCAGATTGCCGTAAGACATCCTACGCGTGCCTATTACGAATTCCCGAAATACGAAAAGACTGAATCTGCGGCAGTTTTGTTCAGTTTCGAGTACTTCTACGCTTTCGATCTATGAGAAATTGTTTTTATACGAAAAAATCCTGTGCGTTTAACTGACACAAGCAGATCCTAAATTTATTCATAATGAGATGATGTGTTGTAAATATTGACCCTTGTTTATCAGTTTTCATGGCGTTGTTGTGACATTGGTAAGTTTTGTTGTGCTTTTATAGTTTTATCGCAAGCGGTACTCAGGAGAGTAGAGGTGAATTCCGAAAGTTATGTTGATTGTATTCGTGGGTGATTTTCAGCAATACGGGTCTTGATTCTTTGCCGGCATGAGTCGCATGACAGTACGAATTTTACTTCCCTTAACTCCGGGAATAAATGTTTTGCATACTGCACAAAAGCAAAATTACTTCCCCATGCTTACATATTTCCAACCGATTACTAGAAAGTCCCTTAAATATTCAAATACAGTAATCAAAATTCAAATGCATAAAAGATTGCAGTTGCACAGCTCGTAGGCTCATACTGTTGCAACAATATAAGTTCCAGTTTCTTAGCAACAACATTTTTAATACAAAAGCGTGAATACAAAATTCCAGTTTTTTATACAAACTTTTTTATACAAACTATTCAGTAATCCCAACACAGACTTTCCAATACCATTAAGTAGAATCAGTCAATCTACATCTCGATCCCTCCACCAATATAACAAAGAAATATTCCGTATCTTTCATTTAACATAACAAAGGCAGAACCAGTACGCATACAAATTTGGAGAAATTTTGCCCCAAAACGGCTCCCAGCGATGTCATTAACAGCCATCGCTCTTGTGGGTTCGCTAGCCTTTATTGCCTACATCGGAGTACGGAAATGGCGGAAAGACGGACCGTTTGGCTTAATGGAGGACTGGTTCGGTATCCAGCCATTGAAGAATCCAGCAGATGATTTGATCTCTCCCAAAACCAAGCAGAAAGCCAAAGACACGAAGGAGAAGCCCAAAGGTGGCTAGAAAAGACAACAATGGCGTTAAATGCCGAAGCGCCCAAAATTAATCAATTCCTTGCACGGAAGTTCAATTACGTACACTTTTCGTATATAATTATGTTGTGACTTCATTACACTACGGATTATGGTCATGTTCCCATTCGATCAGATAATGTACGAGTACATACGGCACAAAATAGCACACAGATATTATATGGACAATACCAAGTACTTGTACATGTGGACCGATCGGTCAATGTTTACCTTGAGCGAGTTGCTTATCAGAAACGAAGAAGAAGACTGTGTGACTCATGACTCTCTTGTCAATTATACCTTTTCCTGTGATTCCGTTCAGGTGAGGATTGCGAATTACTCTTGGGCGATGCGGGGCGCACAACACTCTGCAATTTAACAGTCGAACTCTTTTTCTTTTCATCAGCAGTTGAATCTTTTCTGCCACTGTCTTTCCGCTCAATATCTTTCTTTCTATCGTCATTTTTTCTGTCAGTCTCCCTCTTCTTATCTTCATCTCGCTTCTTCTCTTTCGAGTCCTTACTCCGTTCTGGTGATCTGCGATTCTTTTCTTTCGCATCCTTACTCCGTTCGGACGATCTCCGATCTCCGGACCTGGAGTTTTCCAGCGATTTATCGGCCTTCCGGTCCGATTTTCGTTCCGAGAGGTCGCTCTTCTGGCTCCTGCTATCCACACTGCCTTTGGAATCTTGTCGCTGCACTGATCCAGACGACGACACTGATTTCTTCAGATCCTCTCGGTGTCGGGATGAATCATTTCGCACTGGTGAGGATTGTCGCGGGCGGGTTCTCCTGTGATCGCTATCACGGCTTCGGGATCGACGCCGTTCGTACCGATTCGGAGAATCACGACGGCGCTGTCTTGACGAACTTCTTCGAAATCTGCCTTGCCGGCGATCACCACTACGCGAACTTAGAAAAACCAACAGTTTAATCAACGCTCCCTGCACTGTAATATCGACCAGTTCGATTAACAAAGCTCCCTTGATCTAAATTTTCATGCGATCTGTACTGTACAGCATTGCCTCACAAATTACAGTTTACAAAAAATAACAACGCTTACGCACCTTGAGCTACTTGAACTAGAACTCCGCCGGCCCGACACTGTCCGTTTCCTTCCTTTCTCGTTCTCCAACGCCTCTCTGCGCCGAATGTCTCGTCGCCGTCCGTTCCGCTCGCTGGCACTACTGGAACTACTACGGCTACGTCGTGTTCGCTTATCAGTTTTCTTTTCCTTATCATCACGCTTCTCCGGTGTAGCTTCTACAACCCTTCCGGTATCATGATTGCTTTTCGGTTTGTCATTGCTCGGTTCCATTTTTATCTTCGGTGACGGCGACCGTGAACTACTGGATTTAGTTGCCGGTGGCGGCTCCATGACCTTCTGTGCCGTGGCTAACTTTTTCAAGACACCAGGAGGCGGCGGTGGTAGCCCGCTAACATCCTTCTCATCATCGGATTCATCGCTACTGCCAAATTGAGCAAGAGCGGCCAGGGCGGCAGATTTCTTAACCGGTTGAGCTGCGGCTTGTTTCAGAGCAGCTTTCTTCGCTTCTATCTGCTCCAGGCAGGCTTTCTCCAATACTCTGCCCGTGGACTGCATCAAAATGGTCGTAACCAGATCTTTAGTTGCCTATAAAACTTTGGTTTTATATACATTTTCATTCATTTCACTTCGTCTGAACGTTTTAATATGTTGCACACACAGAGTACACACCCAAATTAAGCAAAGGTGCAATTCCTCACGCGAGCAAGTAATATCGTTCTTAAGTTTATGCATTATAATACTTAGAAGTCATACAGTAACCGAAACATATACGCTAACAGTAATGCACAATAAGGCAAATCACTTGTCGGCTTGCTTACGCTACGTTTGCAAACAAAAATAACGAAAAGGAAGATCAATTTAAGAACCGATGAAACACGTGAACTATACGTGCGTCAACTATGGTACCGGAAGCGAAAAACTGCTCCATGTTCACCTCATAATAATTACAATGCGAGCAATAAATGTGTGATTTACCTGAATTACCAGCCGCTGTCGATCTTCGGCTCCAAGAGGCGACGGTGTTCGCGAGACACTTCTCATCGATACCGCTGAGCCGGAACGCGACCGTCGCTTCTCCGTTTCCTCTTCATCCTCACTGGCTGAGGAAGCACGCTCTTTGGGTTCAGTTCCATCCTTAATGCGCGATTCATATTCCTGCATAAACCGTTGCTTCTCTCGCTCCTTCTGTTTTTCCCTTTCAAGTTTCTCCAGTCCCTCTCGAATCCACGGTGGAAGTTTCTTAATTGCTTCGGCACTGTGCATTTGGGCCATGGACTCAAAGTCGAAGTTCTGATAGGCCAGGGAAGATTCATCGTAATACTCCTGCGATGGCTGGTTGGGATCGATGTATTCCAGTCCGCCCTTCAGTGAATAATTGTAGTACGGCTCAACCGGAGGATGAGGGGCCGGAACTTCCGGCGGAGGATAGCGAGGCGCTGCAAAACGAAACGACGACTGTAACAACATAGCAAAAATTACTCACAAATCAGATACGGACAAACACAAAGTTAGTAGACAGCAGCTACTTGCTTCGAACAGCACATCAACTCCACATTTTACGTTCATTAACAACACTCCAACACTCGTATATGATTATATGAATCAAAAATACTGAAACTTCCATACTGAGCGCATTTGTTTTTGCGAATTATTATTCATGCGACTTTTGTGGATTCCACATATTCAGTTAATTAGCAAATACGATAAGGATCATAAGGATTAAAAATCTTAAAACAGCACAAACATTCTTATTTTTTTGCTGACAAACTGCTTACGCGGCTGTTGTGGATTCCACATCGGTCTCCCAAATCCATCAACCGGCGGAGGGAATCGCGAGTGATCCGATGGAGGCTGTCCGTATGGCGGAAACTGCTGCTGATTCGGAAAGTGTTGCGCCGGATCCCCTCCAACCGGGACAGGCGCGGGCATCCGACCGGCGAACACCGGAGGTGGTCCGCGTGGAGCGCCGGAAAAGCGTCCATCATCCACAAACTGGCCACTCGGTTGATCGTGCAGCGGGGCACGATATTCCCCTCTGTACTGCTCAGTGTGCTGATACGGTTGGGACGGTGGCGGCTGTGAAGGAGGCCCCCCGGGAATCCGCTGGTCGGGTTCGTACGCCTTCGGTTCCGGTGGGAATGACGGAGGGGGGTTTTGGGGGTAGTATGGTTGCTGAAGCGGTGCGGCGGGCGGTGGATATGACGGATTCGGGGGAGGATAAGCCGGAGCACTGTAGGGGTCGTGAGTGTAGGCCGGGGGCCCTTGGGGGGCCTGCATACGCGCCCACTGTTCCGCTGCCAGAGCTAGATTCTGCGCGATGGTCTCCGATGATGGCGGCGGGGCTTGGTAGTACATTTGCGGAAGCCCCGCGGAAGGCTGTGGTGGGTAGGGGGGACGGTATGGTCCTTGAGGCGGTTGATATGGCCACATTGTTGCTAATCTGTCCGGAGGAAGCAGAGCTGTTCACTGTTCACAGCAAAACTGTACAGGAAGAGCACAATGAGGGAATGCGTTATTAAAGCAACATTTGTTATGTTGTCAAACATTTACAACTGGATTCTCCGTCATACTTCAATGCAGACTGTTAGGAAAATACAAGATATCTTGGATTTCTGCAAGGACGACAAGGTCTTCAAAGTTCGAGGGACTTTATAAAGCTAGAAAGAATGCGACTTTGCAATTTCAGGACAAGGTATCCATCCGTGTCACTGTCATCCCGCACGACAAGACAGATGCACATTTGTACAATAATTTAAAGCTTTGAAGCTCAAAAAAGAATAATCTGTCAGACATAGCAAGTGCTGACACACGTATCAATACAATAACAAAGTTATTATTAGGAAATCGAAACATGTGCTACACTGAAAGGATATTAATTTTTAGCATCTTCATACAGTACGGTGCGTACTGCGACTACTGCCACTTGGCATGGCAAGAGATAGAAACACGCGACTGCATATAAACTGCATAAGTACTGTTCTGCCTGTCAGCCTGTGGCACAGCATTGTGACAAGAGATTTCCAAACTTTGTCTTATGGCGAAACCAGTTAGGTCCTTTTTCAAATATATTTGGGATTTGGGAAATTTGTGGAGCTGTCAAGTTTAAAGCCTGATAAATTTTGCAACGTTTAATTTAAGGATTTATGAATTGCGCTGCGCTAGCGGTTGGGGGAAAACGAATACTAGTAACCCTATCGCTGTCGCGTCTTCCTGTATCAGCAGTTATGCAGTTTTAAATTCCATCTGGGAAAAATTCTCACTTAACCATCCATAGCTTACTTTGTTATGATTCTGCTACTCTCGGATCTCATTTCTTTCGTGTTGGGTGATCCTTATTCCGTAACGCCGTAACCGTTCCTTGTAGAAAGTGTCGGCGTGTAGAGAATCTGATTGTTATTCCCTGGCAGACTGGCATTACGCGTCGTCATGAAATCCGGACAGTTTTCTCTGGTCTGCCAGCAGCGCTCTGTTGTCTTCCTAGTCACTTGGATCGTTCTCTGCCTAATATGGGTTCCGCTGTTTACCTGGACGATAAGTGCCCTCGATCCTTCCAACGATGTCGCGGTTTTGGTGAACGAAAGCGGAGTTATGGCTATTCGGGATGGCTTGATGTTCACTGAAGACCGTTCGAGTTGTAATCAGTTTAATCCAGAAACAGCCGGGACTTTTCACACTGAATTTGGCACATTCATGACCACGGGCACGACGACATGGCTGTGTCGAGGACCTGCTGTAATAGTTATTGCTCCGGAAATGAAAAAAGAAGCCACAGCTGCATTGCATGTCGCACTGGAGATGAAATATTCTGGGAAAATACGGAAAGCATCCAAGTTATTTCAGGTGAATTTTATTCAGACAAATATAATTACAAAATTCAAAAAAATATTTATGTATAAATTTATAAAATTTATTTATTTATCCTTGGTATGGTTTCTGTGTCTTTGGATTAATTTTGCTGTTATGTTTTAACAGCACGCTGTGGCTTTGGATCCCTCTAATTCCGAGATCCTAACCGAATACGGGACTTTTCTGGAAGAGCACCAAAAAGACGTCCTGAAAGCGGATAACCTGTATTTGCGAGCGGTGCATGCTGATCCGAAAAATCACCGGGCTTTGACATTGCGCGTCCGCACGCAACCTTTGGTTGAGGAAATCGATCAGAAGGCGTTCGACCGGATCGACTCGATGATGCACGAATTCTACGGCATTCCGCAGTGGGATGCGATGATGATCCGCAAGAAGCGGGCAGCTTTCCTGTGGCAGCTCTATCACTCGGTGGCTATCGAAGGAAATACTTTGTCGTTTCTTGAAACCAAGCAAGTCGTCGAAACACGCCTGGCAGTGGGTGGAAAATCCGTGATGGAACATAACGAAATTTTGGGTGATCAATTTATTACTGTAGTTAAATTTGCTTATTAGATGGTTTAGTCATTTATTTTTCGTTACTTAACTGGACACTGTGCTTTATGATTTTTCGAAATTGTTGATTACAGTTGTTGGTTTTGCAGGGATGGATGAAGCGCTGAAGTATTTAAACGAAACGCTCCTTATGAGGATTGGACCGATCCGCATGATGGACATTCTTGATATGCATTTGCGGATATTGGGTTTTAATGATCCTGTTAATGCTGGGAAGTTCCGGAAATCTCAGGTGTTCGTCAGTGATCATATTCCTCCACTGGCCGAGGATGTGCCTTTACTGATGGAAGAATTCGTTGACTGGTTGAATTCCGATGATGCAGCACAGATGCACACATTAAAATTGGCTGCCTTGGCACATTATTTCCTCGTGCATATTCACCGTGAGTTTTAATAAAACTGTTTTTCCACTCCTTGTAGCGCAAATCTCGAAGTTTGCTTACGTACGCACTCTGTCAAATTTTTTTTGTTGATTATCTGTAACTTCACGTTTAGTTTTTACTGACATTTATTATTGAATAATTGGAGTACTTGTATTTGAATTAAATAGGCATACAGCTAAGGGTTCTTTTTCTTGGTTTTATTGCTCATCTTTGTATAAACTGAATACTGTAACTAACTCCAAGCTTTATGGCTACTGATTTTTTGGGGTTTGATTGTTTAGCGTTTGTCGATGGAAATGGCCGCGTTGGACGTTTATTGATGAATTATATTTTAATGCGATCTGGAATTCCACCTGTGGTTATTCGCGTGTCAGAACGGAATCTCTACTATCAGCACCTGAAGGATGCGAATGCCGGCGATATTCGTCCTTTTATCAGGTTCATTACGAAATGTACCGAGATGACACTGAATGAGTATCTGTATGCGGCCAACGATATGGAAATGTTTGCGGAGTATCCCACGCTCCCCGGTGATGAAGACAATGGCAAAATTATTCTGCCCGGTCCCAGCTCGTTGATGGACTTGAACAGCGGCTTTGGTGAAGAGTTTATCACTTCGTTGTGATGTTCTCTGTAGTGCTTCCTTGTTCCTGCCACTGTTTTCAGTGTTTCTTCGCACATTCCTCTTTGATGGTATTAATAAACGGGTGATAACTGTATATGTGCTAAAAGTTTTATGGATTTTTGTTTTGTGTCGACATACAAGTTTTTTTTTTAATACGTTTTGATGTCTGTTAAGAAAGTTTTTATTGAGTTGGTGAATCAGTATTGACTGAAGTTTTAATAAAAAGCTATGGATACCTACTTGTCTTTGCGTACGCGCTAGCTGCTCGATGGGCGTCGGACAAGAGCTGTGCATTCAGTTCGGATCCAAAACGGTAGAAAATATCTTATCCGTATCTCAAAGTTTTTTGCAAATGCCCGCCCGGAAAGAGAAGTTTAGGTGCGTGTCTAGCGGGGGAAGCTTGCGGTTTGCCATTGAGAAGTACTTACAGTTCCACCAGTAACCAGTTCACAACGCAGCTGGCAGCGCCTGTTACGCTGGGCCACTGCCCTACGATTGCATTCTGGATCACTATACGCAGCCTGTTTATTTTGCATTTTTGCGGACACACTATTTTTATCCTGTACTTTAAGGTTTAAGTACTTTTTCTCGGATATTTTATTTACACTGCCTCTAGGAACCAAAAAGTGATTTGATTTTAAGTTTTTAATATTTGAATGATGCCTATAACCTATCGGGAACAACTTTACATTGTTTAGGTTGTAAGCATTCTTATTCTTAGTCTCAAGCTCGCAGGTGTGATTTCTTGAAAATTATCTTTGTCATTCGGGGGATACGAGTAGTGGTGTTTTTCGGAGGTCGGAAGTTTTTCGTGTCTGTGTCTGAAGATGGGAATAAAAGAGCAATTTCCCGAAAGATCTGTTCCTGTTGGCAGCCAGTTTTCCATGTATGATCTGCAGCGAAAGCCACTTTATGGCGCGCATCTGAACTTGCAGAACGAACACGAGCTGGCCAGTAAGAATGGTTCGTACTTCGTACCAATTGCATGATGTGCTTTTTTATAATCTTTTTGTTTAGTTTTATTACTCATTGCCTGATCTTTCGTTTGCAGCTAAGGCTGTGCTGGCTGATGATATGTACGGCCGCCGTTTAAGTAGCTCAGATTATTTACTGGTACATGCATAGAATTAGTACCTAATATCTATAATTATGTTAAACTTGTACAAAATCCGCTTGCCGTACGAGTACACAATACTACACATGCAATTTTCGATGCATTTGTTTTTTTAGCTTCTGCTATAGCTTATCAGGCCATCACGGAGTTAGAAGTTTCTATTCCGACGGTGGAACATGCTGCAGAAATTGAATGTTTTTGTGTCGAAGTGTTTCCAGCACGGTATGTGTTGACAGGTGTTCTGCTGCGTTAGAAGGTTGATATACATTTTCCCATTTGTTTGGGTCTTCGTATTTACATAAATACACTAATACAGTCTGCATATTATGCTGGACTTACAGGTACGACAACTGCTGGTATGCCGCTATGCTAGCCTCGGAAAGCATTTACAAATTGTGCTTCCGCTGGAAGGGACGAATTATAGCGCTAATTGTTGGCCAGGCTGCCGTCAAGGAATTCAGCGACAGTATTGCGCTGGTAGTTACAACTGTAAAAATTAATCCTCACTGAATGTAATGTTGTCGAACATGAAATTGCTTTTAGGCGTCGTCTTCCGATGCTTGTGATAGCTCCAAAGAACCGCAGGTGGCTGCTTATATTATGCTCTTGGGTGTGCTGGAACCGTACAGAAAGTTTGGATTAGGTGAGTTCTAAAAGTATGTAGCTACATAGTTAAGAATGCAAGTTTGTTTTCGAAAAATGCAATTACAAAATTGATTAGCTTTTGTGTTAATGTTTCACTAGGACATATCACTCGTAGTTTATTTCTCGGGTACGACTGTACGAGTATAGAATATGTTTTCTGGTTACTTGTAAAATGCATAATTTTTTGCGCTACTCTTACATTTTTAATCCAATTTTTGGCTTAATCGTACACATACATCTGGCCGTTACGGCATCGGTAAATGTCGGCATTTCATAAGGCCTTATTTTTAACGAAATGTGTTGGTGTAAGTCTAAGAAAACTTAACCTCTTCTTACTGCTAGTTTTTTACGGTTTCGAGTGTATGCATGGGTTGTTGTTGTTTCCAGCATCCCGTCTGTTACTGAGTTTCCAGCGGACCGTTAACCTTTCCTACCCCAGTTTATCCCGCACCTTCTACTTACATGTGGCCACGGATAACTCTGCCGCGATGAGAATGTACTCTCGTCAAGGGTTTTTACGCATCAGCATTCTGCCCCAGTATTACAATTACGCCAAAGATAACGCACCTCCTGATTTACGTGATGCTTATTTATATGCCAAAGAAGTGCTTCCCGCCAGCGAATGTCTGGAACACGCGCGGGATTGCGCGGATACACTGTACAGAAATTTAATGCCCGTATTTTCTTACGTGATCTCGGTGTTAATTTTTCCGGTGAAAAAAGTATTTCGGTTGCTGGCTAGTTGTGTGACTTCACGGTTACAAAAAGTTACTTTGCGAACCGAAGCCGCCAAAGTAGTTTGACTACTTCTACAGCTTGTTGCTTGCAGATACTGATTTTGGGATAATCGTGATATTACATTTGCTGTGATTATGTAAAACGGAATTAAAGATATTTTATTATAAGCGCAAAATGCCGATATGTTTCTTAACCAGAATTTATTAATTCCACATCTGCCCTGCATCAGTACAGAAGTTCACAGGAATAACATGAGACGCTTAGGTTACACACTCATTTTACATCGTCGCAGAAATAACACGTGTAATACTGCCTGTGAAGATTTATACTGATTCCTCAGTCAAGACTCAACTCCCGAGCTAAGCAAACAAACTAAAAATTATGGCACATTTTACGGCAGAACAACTCAAATATATAAAATTACAGGGCCACTTCGCAATTTTCATGGTCCTGCCTTCGCTGTTCTCTGCTGTTTTTCCGGTATCCGTCTTACAACTTCTTCTGCAAGTTGCATGTACGCTTTGGACTGCAAAGCCAACATAAACTAAATCACCCTAACAAAAATACCAAGAAAACAACTTATGGGAGAATCTGTAGAAGTATTAGTACTGTACCAACGAAGCTTCCGGGTCGGTTATAAGAATCGGTTCTCCTTTATCGCTTGCCTCTCTTATTCTGATATCGAGTGGAATAGAAGCTAAAAATAATATAATAACATGTACTTCTACAATACGATATGATTCTCATAATAACGCTCGCTACACTATACATCAGCACTTTACCAAGTATATCCAAATTCAATTCCTGGCACATGTTTTGTATTGATTCATGACCAAAAATATGAGTTTGCTCATGGCATTTTGGACACTGAAATACGCTCATATTTTCCACAATTCCCAGGACAGGAATTCCGACTTGCTTAAACATTTCAACTCCCCGGCGTGCATCCAGTAATGCGAGATCTTGTGGCGTAGAGACAACAACAGCTCCTACAGGATCATTTCAAAGATAATTTATCAGCACTTCACAGCTACATGTAGAATTACCATCAACCGGCACGTTTTGAGAAATCGTTAACTGGGTGTCACCGGTGCCCGGCGGCATATCAATTACCAAATAATCCAGCGGGCCCCACAACACCTAAAAAGCAGATAACCAATACAGTTGTATTTATTTGTGACACACTTAAATTTTTTATCATTAATGATTTAATCACATCGTACAACAGTGATTGTGTACGTTTGAAGCTGATATACCGTTTAAACTTGCACGATCGATCAACTACGGCCAAAGGAAAAGCGAGAGCTAAATTAATGCTGTTAGTACAAAGAAAGACATTAAGTAGGTTGCGTTTTGCACGGCCGGACCATTAACGGCAAAATTAACGACGGTTTTGACGTTGTTAATTTAAGGCTCCGGTGATTCGCATAAGAGGTTGCGTTATGCACTAAACAATTAACAGCGATAGATATTAGCGTGGCGAACTGTTGTGTTTTGACAGTCATTTTTCAATTTTTTGTATCGATACCGAAACGATTTCATGTTGCACCGTAAAAGTAACAGAAAAAAGATTTTTTTGTGGTTGAGAAACATAGATTAACACGTGTATGAACGTTTTCACGCAAACACTATTTTAAAGCAGTGTTATCCACTTATTCCATTCTTGAATGCAGGACCTGTTATTATGTTTGTCAGATGCCTCAGTAGTCTCCGTACACTGCTACTCCAATAGCAAAATACTCGAATTACTGTATTTTATTATATGGAATAATTTTTACAATTGTGAAAGTTAAAGTAAAAAAGTAATCCATAAAAGTGAAAAGTTTAAAGAGACCACTGGCAGCACTAACATCCGAGCAGTACTGTTGTGATTTTCGAAAATTCGAGTCGAGTGGGCAACTCAGGATTGAATGCCCAGGCAGAAATTCACTGGGTACACTGTCTCGCCTACGCAGTCTTCGTGCTCAATGGTCTATGTGGGCCCAGTCGTTCATTACTGAATTTCAACGTCGTTATTAACGAAACGATACCCCCTTCGTTTCGTTAATAACGACGGGTAATACCTATTCGTTTAAACGTTCGTCAATTGTGCTCCGTCGTTAATTCTATCGTCAATCGTACCCCTTCGTTGATACCGCAACCTGCTTATTATATTGTTTTTACCTGCCTAAGCATTTTCTGGATGGCCGACATAACCATAAGTCCGCGCCATACAATCGCTGCTTTTTCTTCCACCAGAAATCCCATCGACATGCTACAAGTTCGCAACAGAAACACAAATCACGATACAGGATACACACACAATCCCGATTCAGTATATTCTAACAAGGAAAACAGTGAAATCCCTGTGACTTGCCATTTTATTCCATAATTTGTCAAGGGCTTCATTAAATTCTCTGAAACAAAAAATGATTGACTGTATGATTACTGCATTTTGGCAAATTAGAAAATTAATTTACGTTTCGTCACTTCTGGTTGGCCGGAAAGATTCATCATTGTGGGAATAGACGGCCCATAAACGTCCGCATCCAGCAAGCCAACCTGATGTGCCTGCAGTTGCACGTATATAACATGATAATTCGATATGATTCTGACTCCCGAACGAACGATGTAAGGCATCACTTACGGGATTCCTTGCGGACAGAGCGAGCGCTAGATTCACTATTAATGGAAACATAATTTAAGTACCCGCTTTGCAAAAATGTACGAGTAACAACGTTAAAATTTTTACTTGCCTGCGGTGGCTGACTTCCCCACGCCTCCCTTTCCTGACGCGACAGCAATAATATGTTTCACGCCAGCTAGAGGAAACTTTCCCCCGATTCCCATGGTGTATGTTGTTGAGCAAAACTTGCAGGAGATAAACGGTGGGCTGCAACGTACGGAAAAACTAACGATAAAAAAGTAATGTTCCTCGTGGAAATAAGTATTACAAATCGTAACAAATGGTTTATTATGACTGGGACAGGTAAAGCGTAACGTTTCTACCGCACGCGGTTGGCTGTGATGGAATAGAAAAGCAAAACATTCTTGGTGATCAGCTGTGCTGCGGCAGATTTGTTATCCAGCGTATCTCCACTTCGCAGACAAACCACTATTTCATTTTACGATTAATACCACTTTACTGTCTTTACGACAGATTTCTGATCGGCGCTAATCCGAATTTTAAAAGTCTGAGTATTGTGATAAAACTACGCTATCGAAATCTCCTAGACGGCGGATGATGCATGGGATTAGGCGTTCGCACAGTTTGTGCACAAGTGTTCCTCGTAGGTAATCGCAAAGTTTTAAAGTTGAAGGTTCAAGTGCTTGCGAAGGCAGTATCATGTGGCTCTTATCATTGACGGCAAAACTACAGAAGACTGCCTATCCCGTATTATTTGAAATCTGGTACATACCTCGTCTTTCTGCAGATTTTGCACGTGCCTATTGGAATACGAACGTCAGTGGCCATGCGACCTGTTATCGAAACAAGCGAGCATATTTTACGGTGTCTGGCGTTAATCAGTTTGGGAGTGTGCGTGTACTGGTCGCGGAAGACTGGGCGAAATCTGCGAAGCATCCAACGGATACCTGTACAAATGGCGAGCGGCCGCAATGTGAGGAGATAAATGTCTCCTTGAAACAGGATAGGACCATTGCACCTATACGCGCACCCGTAGATTCCGCTGACGCATTTTCTACAGCTCTCTTCGGTAAGCCGTAAGCGACACCGTAAACTGGGTGAGCAGGTAGAAGCAAATTTGTAAATTTATAGCGGAATGCGATACTGCCGTTTTGCAGAATCTGTACACCGTTGGAAACGCGATGGAGTGCGAGGAATCTGGCTGCAGTTGCCGTTGTCAGCATTCCAACTGGCACCAGTCTGTCGTCGTTTGGGCTTTGAATTGCACCATTGTGATACTGAAAAGGATACACTGCTGATGAACAAATGGCTGGTGGACCATCAGCCCAATTCCATGCCACGCTTTGCCAGTCATACCGTGGGAGTAGCGGGTAAATAGGTGCAGTAATTATACTTATACAGTTACAAATTCAAGTTTTCCAGGACAGGCTATGAATCTCAGGATAGCTTGTGAGAGTAGTTCATACGTGTACCAATTACGGCATATCTATATGTGATATTTCTGTAGGCTGTGTTGTGGATCCAGCAAGTGAGCATGTGCTTCTTATCCGGGATCGGAGTCGGGTAGGCGTATTTTACAACAGTTCCACTTTTGTATTTTTTTCTTTTTTATCATATTTTACATAGAAGCATTGCCTTCTACTGTAAATTTCCTTTAATGGCAACTTATTGTGCAGCCGGAGTTGTGGAAGTTTCCGGGTGGATTTTCTGAACCATCGGAAGACATCTCTCTCACAGCACAGCGAGAAGTGTTCGAAGAAACCGGCATTCATTCAGGTATTTGCAGTCTGTTTAATGCCTATATCGGTGTAATAAACTTCATTTTTCAGAGTTTCAGTCAGTAATTGCATTCCGTCAACATCATGAAGTGCCTTCCTCTTTTAATGCCTCGGATATCTACGTCGTATGTCGGATGCGACTCAAAGGGACGGATAATCAGACTGTTCTCCCAACACCTGTCCCGTGTGCACAAGAAGTGTTGGAGTGCCGTTGGCGTCATGTGGAGGAGGTTCTGGCGCAGTCGGGCCCTGCGATAACACCCATGATGCGCCGTCTCTTACAGCTGCTCCGTACCGGCATGCGAGAGGGGTTTCATTCGGTGGACATGGAGGGTCATGTTCTTCCATCCATATTTCCCGGTCGTACCTATACGATGTTTCATCGTCCGCTTTCTTCGGCTTCCGCAGTGTGATATGCAGTTTGTTCGGTGTTTTGCATGTGATGTTGTAAGTTTGATATACGTGGTTTTTGCATTTTTTGTGAGCGGTTAAAGCCAACTTCGCTGCATCTGTAAAACGGTCTTTTGAGAATTTTTTTTAACTAACCGGAAGCTATATATACAGCTACGAAATTCTTGGTGAAAATGTGCGGATCTGTGGTTATTTCTCTGTTCGTCAGTTGAACATTTCTAAAACAAAAATCGTGTTGCACACATACAGTATAATCGATTAACGTAAGGTATGGAATAATGCAACAAAACTCGACTAGTGTCACTCATCGGTCATTGGTGGCAAGTTGCGAGGAGTTAACCTAGGGTAGGTAAAATTGCTTTGTATTCTGAATGCAAATTATGAGATTAATACTTATAGTTAGTTATTAGTTACTTATAGTTACATTCTTCTTTAGTTATGCCTTCGCGCACAGACTGTATTATTCGTTTGACAAACTGGAAAGGTTCCAAAATGGTTGTTTTTCGCGATATGTAGTAGTGTTCTGTGCATTGGGTCTCATTTGGGTGTACCATAATGCTGAAATGAATGAAATCCGCTGCCAAGAATTCAGTGCAGTAGCCGCTAGCCGCAGATTTCGAGTGTAAAATGAAATCACCATCAAATATGTACATTCATCAGCTGTGTGTTACTCGATCTTTCGCCAGATGTCAAGTTTACGTTAATTACCCGGTGTACTCTTCTTAATATTTGACGGTTTGCAGCGGCGAACATTATTATGTCATTGTAATCATCAGTAGTTAACCATGCTCCCGCGATCACGGTCTGTATGCAAACGACAAGTAATGAAGTGTGGATAATTATGCCACTTCCGGTTGGTCGTCTGTGGCCAACATCTAATCACATACGGCAAGTGTGAACACTTTACCTTAAGACGCTACTTTATTGTCCGTAAAGGACCTTGAAAGTGGTTCGTCCAGCCAGCTTGCTACGCACGACCCGGTCCACCACGATTGACATGTTCTCACGCTACACATTATCCAACTCGGCGATCCTGCTCTGGGCCAGGCCGGGTTAGGTGTCTTTTCTTTACCGGGTCCACTCATAATCAAGAGGGTTATATTCAGCACATGTTTGTATGTTTACCCGGTAAATATAAATCTGGCTATTGGTTGTCAAAAGAGAAAAATCCTGAATTTTATCCAACGCTGACAGCTGTCGCTACCAACACGTTGTAGTACATATGCAGATGCAGTGTTTATTACACTTGGTATTATTCTGCATATGACTTATCATTTGACTATCTTACCGGTTATTCGTTGCATGCGGAAGAACTTGTACGAAAAGTGTCACAATCGCCTGGTAGTTTACAATTTCTGGTGTATATAAAATAAACCAGTTGAGCGATTGTAATGGAAGTGTATTGTTAACGCGTAAATGGATGGCAGTCAGTAAAATGCCGCTGCTGATGTTGCGACATGTGATCGGTTTTGCTGTCTTCTCTCTGGTTATTAGTACGGGGTCACTGCGAGCAGCATTGATGCAATCGCCGGTAACTGCGGTTTCCACACCACCGCCTTTGTTGCCGTACACTGGCCAACCGAAAACCTGCAGATCACAGCAGGAGTTATCGGATTTGGACTGTTTATGCTTATTAAAGGATCTCCCGTGCCGAGTACCGGGCTCGGTCTGTCTGCCGGCCACTGTCGGCCCCAATATGAAATGCGAATGCGGGAGTTTGTACGAAAGGGAACTGGACAAATACTGCGTTGAGCGTAAGTTGCATTAGTACTACTGCGATATATGTAATTTTTGCTTCTGTAAGTTCATGATTGCTGATTGTCGGGACTGATTCAAATATGCAGTATGTCTACTGAAATAATTTACTACTAAAATAAATCTTTACACTGTAATTATTTGATGCGCATGCAGAGCAAGTGGAGCACATTTAAATATACCAAGGTTTTGTTACCTTTCACTTCGAAGTAAAATTTTATTGTTATTTGCACTAACTCTAGTGTTCGTTTATATATACGACAATAAATATGCAGCAAAAATATTTGGATCGATACTTTTATGTACACAGCCACAAAACTGCATAAAATATGAGAATTCAGTTGTGCCACTACATGCATATTAACCGTCCGTGGCGGCATTAGGTTTGTAATAGTAGTTTTTTCGCCAAGCTCGAAAGTCCATAAAACCATTGATAAGAAATATTTATTTGAAGTACGAAAATGATCAAACTGCAAAAGGCCATTGCTTGAGCTCTAATACTGATTAAATTTTTAATAAAGTTGGTATGCCGAGTCATCGCCACGCTCAATTATTAACTGTTTACTTATTATACTGGAGCGCGACGATAGTCGGATGTATATTAACTGAAATGACGCTCTGGAACTGTTGTTAATTTAGGTCTTAGTCCGGAATACTTGGCCTCTCTACTAGAAGATCCCAACAGTGCCGGCACCGTACCCTCCATTAGCAACGAACTGCTGACCGTCAGCCCTATCTACCGCTCCGCCATGAAGAGCAGCTCCAAAAGGCCGTACAAGAAGCCTCCCTTCCGCACCGTAATGGTCACATCCAATCCGCTGTACGCTGCTACCCGCCCATCCCGCCAGCCCACTCGGCCGACATTCACGCTGAGTGGCGTGCCGATGCAGGGTGTCGGCGTCGAGAGTCCGAGTATTGATTCCATGCTAGTTAATAACTTCCCCATAACAAGACCGCCATTGTTCTCCAAGAATAAATTTACCGGTTTCCACAAGGGCTTTGCCGGTGCCACCAAGCGGCCCTCCACACCGCGCTTCTTCAGTCGCACCACCAGACCGCTGCCCCGGGTAGATGGCTCAATTGTGGTGTCCGGTTGGGTGCCGGATATCTGGCCCGCCGTAGGTTTAAACTACAGCATTTAGATGCAAGTCCGACCTTGATGTTTCCGCTTGTCTGTACGCGGACGAGATGAACTAACGGTTTGTCTTTGTAGAAATCCTGGATGTATTACCGTCGCAGATATCACAGTGCGTTTCTAGTTTGTTTTTCTGGTCTCTGCGTTTCCTCGTCGTGATCATCAAAAATCCCAATCGCGGCTTTATATAAACCTGCATTTTCCCAGTGTACATAGAATATCATATTTCTGAATGTAAGCCTCTGTTTAATTTTTTGACAAGGGGACGGTGTACTGTGTAGAATGCTGTATATGTCTTAAATCAAAAGTGGTATTTGTTGATTGATTTGCGAGCAATTTTGCATCAGTTATGTTTGGTTTCTTATTACCGCACATAAAAGAATGGGCACAAAATCAGTTCTACTTGCGTGTTGTGTATGAGTGTATCTGCTATCCACAGAAATAGTTATACGTGTGTAACGTAGGTTCTTACTAACTGTAACTCAAAGCTGGCTAGATGGTATAAGTCTTTATTGATCTAAGACTGACTAAAACTATCAACGATTTTTAGTATTGAAAACATAGGACTTATATATGAGAACAGATGGACAAGACAACGTCCAGTTACACAACGTTATTGGCGTATAGTGAATAGAAGTTATGACATTCAAACGGATGCACTTCCGTGTTGCGTAATATGCCTTTGTTGGCCAGTGCGTTATACAGCAACGCACTGTGGCTCGAACGCCAACCGGCACTTATGCATTGTGTAACAACTCTGTTGGCCAGTGAGTTGTGTAACAACTCACTGTTACTGTTATGCCAACGACCAGTACATACGTTGTGCATGTACACATGATAAATCATGTTACACTCCTTCTAAAGAAAAAAATAATTGAAAATTATTTATAAACTGGTCTTGTTTTTCTTTCACGTAAATTGTATCTTGGCTCATTGTTGTCCCTGTGGTGTTTTGGTGTTGCTTCCAGTGTCTCTGTTCTCTGTTGTATGTTGTTCTTTTGGAGTCGTTTTAGCGAGTTGGATATTCTCCTCTTCATCTAACTTGTCGTACCACGGTTTCAGTTGGGAAACGTGGACAACGTCCTTCTTGCGTTTTCCGTTTATGTTCTCAATTTCGTAGTTAACGTTGTTCAACTGTCGGATTACGCGATACGGTCCGTGCCAATGTTTAAGCAGTTTGGTGGTAAGCCGAGTGTCGGCTGGGATAATTTTGCCATCTTTGTTAACAAGCCGAGGTACGTTCCAGCGGTACACAAGGTCATTTGGTTCGTACTGCGCAGCTACTCTCCTCTCGTTATACGGTACTTGATTTCTTTCGTTTCCATCGATACATCGTAGTTTGGCTAGTTCCTGTGCATCTTTTATATACTCCGTAGTTTCTTTCACGTAATGGTCAAGGTCGTGAATGGCTTCCGGTTGGTTTAATGCTGTGTCGAGGGCAGATGTTGCTTGGCGTCCATGTAGGAGTTCGTATGGAGAGTATTTTGTAGTGGCGTTGACGGTTGTATTAATGCAGTGTGTTACGAAGGGCAAGTAGTTATCCCATTTGTTGTGGTCGTCGCAGTATTTCGACAGACATTCAGCAATAGTCTTGTTTGCTCGCTCTGTCATTCCATTACTTTGTGGATGATATGAAGTCGTAAACCGTTGTTTGCAGTTTAGAAGCTTCGTCAACTGTGACAAAAGATCATTGCAAAAATGTCTCCCTCGATCGGATACGATGTATTTTGGTACCCCATGACGTAGGATGATTTGCTCCATTATAAATTTAGCGGCGTTCTCTGCTGTGGCATTTCTTACGGCTTTTGTTTCTATCCACTTGGACAGGTGGTCGATTGCAACTATAACGTATTGGTTCCCCTTTGAGGATGTTGTATACGGGCCTTGATAGTCTATTCCGATGGTGTGCCAAGGTCCTTCCACGGGAAACGGTTGCATCAAACCTGATGGTTTGCCTGGTGGAGGCTTTTAACATTACAGGAAATACATTGTTTAATATATGCAGATATGGAGTCCGTCATGCCGGGCCAGTAATATTTGTCGTGAAGTTGGTGATACATTTTCTCAGTTCCAAAATGTCCATTTGCGTCGTGTGCATTATGCAAAACTTCTCTCTGCATTGATCTTGGGATGACTAACAGGGTAACCATTTTATCGTTCCGGTATGCTATGCGATACAGTAAGTCAGCTATCAACGTGAATCGTGTACGCCGGTATTTATAGGCTTCGATGTGCGTCGGGCCTTTAAGGATACTGGAAATTCGCCTGCAGAAGTTGTCTGTCTGTTGCTCTTGTTTTAGGTTGGAAGTCGTTATGTGAAATAACGGGTTGGCAAATTTCAGATTTTTAGGCGTGTTGGAATTGTCGAAAGGATATCTTGACAGGCAATCGGCGACAACGTTCTCTTTTCCGGCTCTGTATCCGATATTAAAATTATACTGCCGTAACCTTAAAATCCAACGTGCGTGACGTCCTGTAAGATTCTTTGCGTTTATAAGTCCTCGCAGAGCATTGTGGTCCGTTATAACTTCAAAAGTTCTATTTGGATCGCCTATATATGGGCGAAACTTGTCGAGTGCCCACACTACTGCTAATAATTCCTGTTCCGTGGCGCTGTAGTTCCGTTCGGATTTTGATAAAGCTTTACTCGCGTAGGTGATGACCGTTTTCCTTCCGTCGTTTTCGACTTGGTGTAGAACAGCACCGAGTCCAACACCACTGGCGTCCGTCTCCACTATGTGCCGTAAATTCCGGTCGAAATGTGCCAGAATGGGTTTCGTTGTTAATGCTCGCTTCAATGTTTCAAAAGCTTTCTGCTGTGTTTCTGTCCACTGGAAAGGTGTGTCTTTGCAGGTCAGTTGATGTAAGGGTGCCGATATTGTAGCGAGGTTCGGGATAAACTTGCTGTAATATCCGACCATCCCGATAAATCCTCGAAGTTGTTTCCTGGTTGTCGGGGCTTGGTAGTTTTGTATGGCTTCTACTCTTTTGGGATTGGGAAATATGCCGTCTGGATTGACAAGATGTCCCAAAAATTCTACTTCACGGTGTCCAAAGTTGCACTTTGATGGTTTAAGTTTTAGTCCTGCTGCCGTTAATCTTTGTAAAACTGTTTCTAAATGCTCAAGGTGTTCCTGAAATGTCCGGCTATGGATGTTTATATCATCCAGGTAAATAACGATGTATTGGCCAATTAATCCGGTAAAAATTTTATTCATCATGCGCTGGAATGTCGCGGGGGCATTGGTAAGGCCAAAAGGCATCACCTCGAATTGGTATTGGTTTGTCGAAGTAAGGAAAGCTGTTTTCACCTTGGATGATTCTTCAATCGGAATTTGCAGGTATCCTTGAACTAGATCTAGACTAGTAAAATATTTACTACCTCTAAGCGATTCTAAGCAGTCATCGATCCTTGGAATTGGGTATTTATCTTTGACAGTAATTTTGTTGAGGTCCCGATAATCCACACATATACGAATTTTATCTTTTGTTGTATTGGAACTAAATTAGCTGCATACTGGGATTGGCAAGGTGATATTATTCCTAGGTGTATCCATTCATCTATTTGCTTATCAATTGCCTCACGTTCCCACTGAGAAAATCGTCTCAGGTGCCTTGATGTTGGTTCGTTATTACCGGTGTCGATGTAACACTTCGCACAATTTGCACGTCCCATTGGTGATTGCTTCGTTGGAAAAATCTCGCGGTATTTAAACAGTAATTTCAGGAGCATTTTCTTCTCTTCACCGGTGAGTTCCGGTCCTAGCTTGACCATATCTTCAATGTCGGCCATTGACAGCTGGTCCTCTATAAATTTTGATGAGTCCCCCAGGAGGTCTTTCGGGCTTAATTGCCCATTTTCTTCTGCGTACGCCTTCTCCTCCTCTTCTCTTTCTTTATCTCTCTCTTCTTCAATCTTTTCTCTTCTCTCTTCTTTCTTCTCTTCTCTCTCTACTTCTTTCTTCTCCGGAGACTTCTTTGTTAACATCATGCCTTCAGTGATTCCTAGGTTCTTCACTGATGAACAGTGCTGCTCCTCCCTCTCATCGCGCGTTTGATTGGGTGTTCGTACATCTCCAACCCTCCGACCAAATCGGCCAAACTTGGGCAAAGGTTGTGCTGAGGATGTCCGGTTGCGGAGTAGCGTATTCGTGGATGGTACTGGCATGGTGTTCTTTAAATCGGCCATTAGACGTGCCCTGGGATTGAAGACTTTATTTTGTTTGAAATCAATCACAAAGGGTGTTGACCGAAGATAGTCGGTCCCAAGCAGCATGGCATAAGGGAACCCCTCTAGTATGGCTGCTTTCACCCATACTCTCTCTTTCATCAAATCTATGGGGACTCTGCATGATCCTGAAATGTTGAGTTTATCACCTGATGCGGACGTTGCGATGGTACCGTTCCATGGTTGTTTAGTCAAATTCTTTTCTCAAAAAATTTCTGATTTATTATTGAAATTCCTGATCCGGTATCTACGATGGCTTCTATTGGCTCATTGTCAACTCGTACTTTGCAGGTTATTGCGCCGGATGTCGAATTTGTACAGACCAGTTGATTGTTTACCGTAGCAAAAGAGCCTTATCTGCCACGGCCTTTAGTTTAACTCAGGTATTTCCAGTGTGTCGTCGTGTTCTTCGTAGCTGAAGTACGACGGTTGCCTGTTGTTATTATTACTGTCGCGGTTAGAATTTCCTCCCCTGGAAAAATTGTTCGGGTTTCTTCTGTAATTCTGGTCCGTATTTCGTCCCTGGCTTCTGCATTCGCGAGCGACATGACCTTTTCTTCCACATTTATTGCATTTTGTCCAACAGTCCTTCTGCATATGACCTTTATTACCACAGCGGTGACATATTGCATCTGAACGAGTGTTGCGTCCGTTAAATCGGCTTTCGTTACGCCGGAAGTTGGGCTGGGATCCTCGTGTTATGTTTTCCACAATGTTGACTACTTGATCCAGGCGTTTAGACAAATCAGTTATTTCGCTGTTCCGTGTTTCCGTAAAGAAAACCTTTGCTTTTGAGTCATCAGCCTCTGATTCCCTTTGGGCCTTTTCCTTGTACTGCTCCTTAGTTGCCTCGGTCTTCAGCTTGTCCAGGAACTGGGCTACGGTTGTCGGTCGATTGGTGACAAAGTTCGATTTCATGCGTGTCGGGAGTTCACGAAATAATTCGTTCGCCTTTTCGTGCTCAGTGGCTGTAGGGTTGATGACATCAAACATTTTCAGGACTTTCGTGACGTATGATGGAGGATCCGACTTCGCTAAGTTCTGGTATTCTTCCTTCTTCAGGTCGTAGTCCAGGTCAGTAGGGCCAAAAATTTTAAGCAGGGCGTTCTTCGCGCTGATCCAGGTTACATGTTTGGTTTGCTCCGATTCCCACCATCTTAAGGCATTGTTGATGAAGCACAAGTTAAGATTCGTCAGTTTTGTCGCTTCCGTCCATCCATAAACTCGGGTAAAACTTTCGTAGCGTTCGGTAAACTCGCGTACATCTTCGTGTGACTCACCGCCAAATTTCGGGAAATCTTTAGGAGAAAGTTGCATTCCGGACGTTTGAAGAATGGTAGTAATGGGAGTTGATCCAGTTTGTTGCTGTTGTTGTTGCTGTTGTTGTTGCTGCTGTTGTTGTTGCTGCTGTTGTTGTTGCTGTTGTTGTTGCTGTTGTTGTTGTTTAAGTGAGGTCATTTCTTGAAGAAGTTGGTCGATCTTTCTTCCGTACACATTGTTTGTGTTGATTAATGACTGGAAGGCCCTATCCTTTGTTGCTAGATACAATGCTTTAAGGTCAGCCTTGGACATCTTGAATGGAAAAGTTCCATTTTGGAGTTGGGATAGTGCGTCAGCTTCGTCAGTAACAGTGATCACGTTGTAAAGGTCAATTAGGATTGGGATGTCGTTTAGGCTAAACCGTCTGAGGATGTCGTGTTTTGAAATCAGTGGTTGTAGTCCTGTATGGATTGCTTGCACTTGGGTATCCTCAAATGTGATAGTGGTCATTGTTGCTGGATTTGGCGTTGATGTTGTGGAAAGGTCACTGTCTGTGTCTGTCGCTCTATTGTCAGTATTGCGTGTCTTACCTGCCTGGTTGGCAAGGCGCAGCTCGATGTCGGTTTGCTCAAAATTCTTATCCGGTATGTCGGTGTTACTACGAGTGTTCGGCATCAACTGATAAGAGGTCACAGAGTAATCCGTTCAGTACATATGGTGGACAAATATGGAAAGGTCAGGGTTATAGCAGAAACAGGAATCGGACTGAAATGTCAGATGTAGACAGCTGGATCGGAACCGATAGTTCACTTATGTTGTAAGCTGTATGGAACTATGATGTCAGTTTAGTACATAAAGGTCAAATGTAATCCATTGTAATCCATAAAGATCGGTAGATACAGTGGGATCAGTGTGGAAAGGTCAATGGAGGTTGATAGTAAACACTTTAAAGACCACTGGAGCCACCATTTGTAACGTAGGTTCTTACTAACTGTAACTCAAAGCTGGCTAGATGGTATAAGTCTTTATTGATCTAAGACTGACTAAAACTATCAACGATTTTAGTATTGAAAACATAGGACTTATATATGAGAACAGATGGACAAGACAACGTCCAGTTACACAACGTTATTGGCGTATAGTGAATAGAAGTTATGACATTCAAACGGATGCACTTCCGTGTTGCGTAATATGCCTTTGTTGGCCAGTGCGTTATACAGCAACGCACTGTGGCTCGAACGCCAACCGGCACTTATGCATTGTGTAACAACTCTGTTGGCCAGTGAGTTGTGTAACAACTCACTGTTACTGTTATGCCAACGACCAGTACATACGTTGTGCATGTACACATGATAAATCATGTTACACGTGTTTGTTAATACTCGTAGATACTCGCATATAAATCTTTGTGGGTTGCCTAACCATAATATAAGAGGCAGGTCGCGTATACTTGTATAGAATATCCTTTTGCATAACTACGGTTTCTTCACATTTTTTTCGTAAGCGCAATTAATTGTGTTTATGACCTTTAAAATAGTTTTCTTTTTCAAATAGGGCGTTAATAGGCTCTTATGCGATGGCGCACAAATTCAGATCTTAAATTCCAGTCTACGTATCTATAAGACGTGCCCTAGTACGGAGTACGTTGATGAACCTTAACGATGTTCTGGAACCAAGTACACAAAGGTCGTCGAAGTGCATTTGCACAGATTAATTAATCTTGCGCTGTTGTACTAAGACGTGAACCGAATCGATAAATCATGTAGATTTTCACAATTTAATTTCATACATGGGCTTCTATGGAAATCGGAACCCTTGCATTCGTTTACCTAAACCCAATACACCGCACTTTGTGAAGATTGTGATTAAAACTTAATTTAATTAGAAGATACCCATGTAAGAATTGGTCAGCTGAAAAGACACATGCATTTAAGTGCAATAATACTACAAGTACTCGAAGTATGCAAAATTTTTTGATATATTAACAAGATAAACGTACACGTACGTAACAAATGCTTGTCGAAACGTGTAAACGCTTACAGCTTCCTAAACGACAACTGTCACACACTGCACATTTTAGAACTTTCACATAAACTTTGTAATCCATGTGGGCAAAACAGGGAGGTTTCCTGTTCAGTGCAAGGTGCTGATTTTCCTCCGGAAAGCGTTTGTGGAATGCTCAGTCGCACGCTCAGTCGGTTCAGAAGCATTCGTTACAGGTTCAGATATTGACATCGACGAAGTACTTAGAATACCGACTCCCACATCTGTTATTTTACGATCCAGTTCTTTATATTGATTTTCGCTCTTTGTTCTTTCTGTCGGAGAATTTGTTCTTTCTAATAAAAGCACGTAAAAATTATATATTAATGCCTTCAAGTCATACGATAACACTTTTTATACCGTCACTTTCAAACACATCATGGTTATCCCAATATATCTACAATTGTATATACAGATATGTAGGTACTTGCATTGTAAGCGTGCCGGAAACTATTTAACAAATGCTTCTTAAGTTAGTAGTTCAGCAGTTACTACTAACCTGTAATAACTTGCCACTTCTTCTTCAGTACAAAATGATAAACTAGTAAATACACTCCTCCAACTACTCCGAGTAATAAAGCTAAAATACGAAATGCTGGACGATATCCTAGATAATGGATTAGCAGACCGGCAATTAGGGGTCCAGCGCCTCCTCCTGTAACAATACAGGAACAAGTACTACACATTGTATTGTTAATTGTACATACGTTAATTATTACACTGCGAGAGTGCGCGACTACGCATTGCAAAAACTTGCGAAATCACAGAAACTGGTAAACCCAAATGGAGAGCCTACACGATTTTACGCTTGGTGATCTTGATCCTTATCCAATGGGTAATCCGTCTTCACTATGATTAATTAGCATAAAACTTCCGCCTATAGAACTACTACTTGTCTCTAGTATCTTACACCGCTGTTTCCGCTATTTTGGTAGTCGCAGTTTATTTTCAAGCACAGTTACTATTAATTACCTAATCCAAAATTCGCTGCACCAAATAGTCCGACCAACGTAGCAAGGTACTTCGGTGCGGTTTTCAGAGCGTACTGTGGAGCAAGAACGAAAACGAGAAATGTCCAAGCCGTCAGAGCTTCCGTGGGATAAATCAGCCATGGATTATACGTGAACGAATAAGCTAAAAATCGTCCAGCATAACATAGTATTCCAATCGCCAAGAGGTTTTCATGACCGACTTTCTTAATTAGCTGCGTAGAGAAAAACAATATTGGTATTCCCAGGGCATAACCAACCGTGTTCACTAAACCCAACATCCATGCCGGCGCTGAAAACTGGAAATCTCGATCATCTTCCATAAAAAGGAACATATAGCTGCAAAGTTAGAACACTCTACAGTCTATATATATACAAGTACTTATATAGCTGAAGTATGCAGGTGTACTCCCACTGTTTCATTAATTGAGTAAGAATAAACAATTAGGTTTGTAAGCTGTTGCAGAATTGTTGACCTTCCGATTGATTTATATGAAACAAATTTGCGAAAGATCTTTGTACATCCATAGTTTATATACAAATTTACCAAGAATTTAAATGCCTTTAATAACGAAACAGCTGTATATATGTGCAGATAAATCTAAATGACCCTGGTATAATAATTATGTCACAAGTATTTATTCTACATACGCTGAAATTACATATAGAAATCACATCATATTTTCAAAACGAACATAACGGATCTTAGTATACCGGTAATTATACTCGTAAATATAGCTCATAGTCATACCTAAAGCATATGCGAAGGCCGAAGCATATCCCTGCGAGTCTTTCGTAATTGTTCGAAAGTGTTTTTAAACTCTTACTTCAGAATAATTCCCCATCCACAGCCACAAAAAAACACAACGACCAGAAACGCTGTCACATTCGGATTGCGAAGAACGATCCCCATCGTCCGTAGAATCTGTGTTTGCGGCTGTTTGACCTTTATATCCATTTTACAAATCAATACCGCTGCCATTAGGTTCATCCCAGCGAACAAATAAAAGGCCGGACCGTAATCAGGGCATGCGCAATGAGTACTGGCCAGTCCAGTTAACCATCCCGACAGCGGTGGAATTACCACGGATCCCACGGAAGCAAACAGCCTCTGGATACCGAAATCGGCCCCATGCTGTTTAGAATATTCAAGCACCGCTGCATCCAGAATCGGATTGATACCGCGGAAGGCCGTCATCGACAGAAACCGAAAGGTCAAATATAGTGCCAGGGTTGTTACCCGATCACCGTAGGGAATCTGTGTGGTGATGGTATGATTTTGCAGTTCTATTTTACACGTAATCGAGCAATCGGTAACGGTCACGTTCCATGCCGGAAACTGATTATAGCAGCGGGATTTTGTGTTTTTCATCTGGAATGTGGTATTGGATAGGTCATCAATGGCGTCATTAAGAACTAGTACGTGTTCGCCGATGAGTGGTTGGCAGCGCAAATTACTAACATTTCGGGAATCGAATAAACACACGGCATCCACGGAAAGCTTGGCACAATTTGTGCTGCATTTATAGAACAGGATTTGCGGTCGTATCGAGGCGTTATTGGGGAGAAAACCTTGCGGAGCGCGTACACCGGTATAATCAAAATGTACATAGTCGTTATTGCAGGGAAGATGCATGACAAAATCCGACGACAAGGGGTGATTTCCCATGGTGATAATAGTGTGGCTGCCGTACGCCGGGACAAAAAACCACATGCATGCGTGCAGAAAGGTGCTGACCAATGTAAATGACACGAGGACGATTTTATAGTTTCCCAATCGGTCGGCCAGTGCGCCGGCTAATGTCGGCCCGATACTGGATAAAATCGGCACGAGTAGCATAATCACAGCGATTTCCGTCACGCTGATACCCAGACTCTTCATGTGAACGGTAACGAAGGGAAGAATCGCCGCACTACCTACAGATATTTTTTTTAAAAATCGATATATGTAGGTACAGTATTTCTGCATTCTGCAGAGATTTATGTTGGGTATTTAAATTTTGGAGTTTTTTTGTTAATGTTAATAGGCGCTCACCTCCGTACACCATGAATACCAGTATCTTCACCGAAAACAGCCTGGGATCCACGCGTAATCGTTCTCTGAGTGGCTTTTCCGGAGGAGGTCCGCGTACCGGCGCCGGTGGACCACTACTGTCAGCAGGAGAACTGGCTGCTTGGAGCGGGACATTTTCCTCTGGAACCCCGTTCTTTGTCATGTTTATCGCAAAGAATTTTCTAGGCAGTTATTCCCGATCCAGTAGCAGCGCTAAGAATTAAATCGTAAAAGTGTAGTAAGACCGAGCACAACTAACAACAAAATGCATGCGACATTCACGGTAGATCTAGATCCACTCTCTTCCGGTTGATTGCAAATTCGAAAAAATGCATCTGCTTGTCAGATTCGCTGCAAGTAAGAGTTTTCAAAGAGAGTAGAATTTCATATCAAACATGTTAATTGTGGTTTCTCCTACGCCATAATGCACAATATCTGTAGCATGCCTATTAATTTGTTTGTACAGTCCAATACAGTGTTGTACATGGTATACTTATATCGTGTAAATACAGGCGTGCGAACGCCTGGATAATACTTAACGTGTGTAATTGTGAGTGTGATCGATACGCTGCTGCTAATCAGTTACAGTAATTCTACGTAATTAGGAATTTGTGGTTCAGTTTTCCTTATCTATTACTTAAGCTTTGAATAAATAAGTCGGGTGTACTTCTAATACTTTGTAGTACATCAGTACGCTTCGGCCTATAACGAAAAGTAAGAGTTCCGTTGAGCATTGCATGTAACTGTTAACGTTAAGAATAAAAGTTCACACACGTGCGCGCGCATAATGCAAGTAACGCAGCCATTTCGGAAGTAATAAACCGCATTTTTCAGTATAAATTTGCGCACAGGCTTCAGAAGAATAAACGATGTATAATAATTTAATAATTTAAAAAGGACTTGCAGAAATTCAACAACAAAATGAATGTGTTAATGTACCAAAACATTTGATAGAAAGTACATAATGTACGAATACCCTCGAATGATCTCGTATGTGGATACTTCTACTGGTTACGTTTAGGCTGATTTAGCAAATTACAGCCAACAAAAAATCATCAATAACTAATTATCTTTAATTATCTTTTAAACTTTAGTTTAGTTGTCGTTTTCATTTAAAGTTACTAGGAATTCGCGAAATATTTTGTTAAATTGTGTACTGATACAGTTCAGATGTGTTTGGCTGTGTACTTCGGTGTACGAGACCGTGCTGCAATAAAATAAAAGAGAATTACAATTACATAACAAATTTGTACACCGTATTTCGGGTCAGTTAATTTCCCATGATCATTTTTTGTAAACTTTCCCTGGGATACTGTAATTACATCCATTATTTATATTTGCAGCAAATTATTTACAAAAAAATTCGTTTTGTTTCCATACTCTAGTGTTGCCGCAAGTGCTCGAAATTGCATATGAAAGAATTTCGATACCAATTCCGAGTAATCGGAATTCAAATTCAGGTATTTGCAATTCCGAGTAATCTAAATACAATTTTTTGGATTTTCAAATACAATATTCGAAATTTAAAAGGCCGTAATTTGGATTCCGATTACTCGGAATTCAAAATGTGGCAGTGTCAATTCCGAATATTCGAAATTTAAACTGCGGTAAAATAAAATCCGAATATTCAGAATTTAAAAGTGACGTTTCTGGATTTTGATTTCTTTGAAATTTAATTAGCGTTAACAGAATAGAGTAGAATCTTGAGATTTTTACAGTAGATGTTTAAGTACTTTATATGTCTAACTGAGTGCGATGTAGAAAGAAGCCGTTATAGGCACATCTCCCGCCCAGGTTTGTTAATTATTATAGCCATAGGCCACACTCCTTTCGCACCCTGTTTATTACTTAAGAAGAGATTATACCGATTTCGACCTCTTTCGACTATTCTCACTGTCACAATGCGTGCGCTTGTGCTGCATCATAACTACACATCTGACCTAACACTATGATATTTTCACTGCATACATTGAAAGGCTGAAATTGGTAAGACAGTTTTAAAATGTAAAAGTCACTGATCAAAAGCCGTTATTTTCCGGAAGCAATAACAATTCAAGCAGATTTTTGAATTTTTTTTCAAACGTAGCGAAGTGCTCCGCTAAATGACTAAAGTTCTGTGGAGCGTTTTTCCCAAAAACTCAACCATTCTTGAAAAAAACAAATTTTTTGACACCCAAAGTTACTTTCTTTTATTTTATGCAGAATATACAAACATTTTCTGCGAAAACGCTCCACAATTCTTCTTGAAAATGATTTTCCTTAAATCTGATCAAATGTCAGAATTTTCTGACATCTTTGAAAATTGTTATTGAGTTTAGAAGTCATTTTTGGAAAATTTTTCAGAACGTGGCGAAGAACCTTCTTTTGTTCTGCGCTTTCCTTTGGTCTTACCGATTCTGCGCTTGCAGTGCCGCCACACCACATTGTGTGCACACCGAAGAGTGGACTTTGGCCACTCTTTCATCTGCACTCACGGGACAGCGCCATGTCTTTCCATTGTCTAGCGCCTTTGTCATGCTCTATGCGTCCTCACTGTGTAAACATGAGCTTTGTCTGCTCCTATCACACTTGCAAGCTGGCATGGTATATATTTTAACAACCACAAGGATCTTCCAGAATGAAAGAAACGCTTCTTGAAGCAATCTTTCTTTCACTGATTTTGGCCACAGGTGGCAGTAGTGTAGAAAGATGCGCCAGCCCGCCAAATCGCTTCTGGTCGGCAACGAAAAAACTTGAATAACTTTTTTCGTTGCTACCTAATTTTACTCAACTTCCGCCTATTAATAGGTGTAACCCTTCTTATTACACTGTAGAATTTCGAAAATCTCATTTTCGATCTTGCTACCATAGTATAAATTCTCCTTAAAGGTACCAATATTAAGAATACGGTGATCTAGTGCATTATCTGACCATATCACCTACAAACTGTCATAGCACTACTGTTCAATACATTGTCATTGCTATAATATCAATTTCGCAGTTGTTATGCACTTATGACCATGAAGCCTAATAACCAATTTTAAGCGCAAAAAAGCGACCAAACTTCTAAAAGCGGCAGTAAGAAATTAAGAACATAGATGGAAAAAAAAAAGAAGGGAAGGTAATAATCTGACTTTGAAGGAAGACGTGTATGCTTCCGTCCCGGCAATCAGCTAAATGAAACATGCTAGATCCGGTATGTAAAAACAAAACTTTCCAACAATATCCTCAACAGTCAACATTGCTAAAACTTTCAGAAAATTAATGTAACTTTCGAAATCCGCTATAATTATACTGACTACAGACTACAGTCACGTCTAAAGTATGTGAAGCTCCCGCATTCGTTTCCGGTTGGTACCACCGACCGGCACTGCTGATGAAGTCTCCTGCTCATTACCTGCTGATGAAGTCTGGGCCCAGATTTATTTTATTAAAACTGCACCAACTTGACTGCCGCAGGGCTGTATATACCCCGGGTATATACAGCCCTGGGCAGTCAAGTTGGTGCAATTTAATAAGATAACTTACGTAAAGTAAATCACAAATACAGTATTTCCATACACGGTTTTGCTTTTATTTTTACCCTTTTTTAGTGTAACTATTTCTCAGAAATCCAGCTCTATTATTACGAAAATCTTTTCGCATTTCTGTAAAGAGCTAAGGGGCAATTAGATGGGTGCGCTAATTGTCATTTCTAGGAGACTTATAAGTGCATATTCCATAAATTCACCAAAAAATATTTTTTTGCAGAACCGTTAATGACCAAGAAGGCGTCTGTTACAAGTAAGCAGACTAAGCAGATCAGTGGTAGAGATCAGTTGCAGTCGTAGCTTGACCAAGTTTACTGCATTAGCGCTACACAACAACAAAACAACCAAAAAACGCAATGGGGGGCAGGTTTATCGCATAACCATACTGGCATCCGCAGATGCCGGATGTACAAGCACATCATGGTCAACACAAACAGGCCGAAGGTCATCCTCCTCAGACAAACAACAACACACAAAATCAAAACAGGTCAGAGGTGTGGCGGGTTTGAAGAAAATAACGCAGCAGTGAATTTCATTCTAGTGCCCACTGACTGCGTCCGCATCGATTATACATGTATATGCGCCGATCGAACGCGGATTCAGTACACAGCACAGTTAGTGGTCAGCCGTACATTGCGAGGGGCCAGCTTCGCGCTCTGCAACAAACAGATTCCATTGGATTCGTCCACATCTCCCATAGACATGTAAGTATGTCAAGCAACTTTGATGGAAGAAGGGAGTTGTTTAAAGCACTAATTGCCCTGTCTTGCTTTAGGCAAGATGTGAGTGATGAGATGGAAGAGCAAAAAGGGCCATTACTTAGCCGCGATACCACGTTGCCGTGTCTCAAATTTAAAATATTTTTAAAAAAGTATCGAATGAACATGACTATGTCTTAATAAGCAACGCGACATTCGCGAAAAATAATTAAAATAAAATTCTATCTCTCATTTCTTGACCTTCATTTTTCGCATAGAAGCACAATTATAAAGGTGCTTCAGACCAAGAACTCACGCGCGAAAATGGAACAGGTGTATTTTTATATTGTCTAAGACAACCTATATAAGACTAAGACTATACCAGGGCGCGCGTAGATTCTAATGGTGCTTTTTTTTAAAACGAATTTTGGCTTTATCTAGTCAGCCTTCGTTTTGCCTAGCAACCGAGCAAGTAAATCTAAAATTCTTCGGAGAAAATTGACCAGAAGTGCCGTTTTTACAACGGTCGTTCTTCATGCAAGCGTGAACAGATGAAAGTACACATACAGAGCCGGCAAATTTAAATTTCCTGGCGCCGTTTGAAAAGGTCCAAGATCCAGACGACATCGCTGATAGCCGTAATAGATTCGTAAGCGCCCCATGCTGAATGACCATTGTCCAACGCAGCGAATGCACATAACACAGTACCCAAAGAAAAGTGTCTAAAGAAAAGCTTGCCAAATCGTTACGCGTCGTCACTGTAAGGCTTTGTCCCGAATTCAAAGCGAATCTCGTTGCGATACAGCAACTCCACCTCGCGAGGTGGCTTCGCCCGTATCTGTAGGCGTGGCCCCTGCATACAGCCACCTCGTGTGGTTCAGCAACCGTACCATAGTGAGATTCGCTTCGAATTCGGGACAAGGCCTAATTGTCGCACGTACGCAGCCGTAGACTGCGCTAACTGTGAGTTCTGAGTCAACATCCCAGGATTTTTACATATTTGCGACGGTAAAAGCTGGAATAGGGGTAATTTCAAATGAAAACCTACCTTTCGTTGTTATTTTTGCTATCCAAAGTTTATTATGCCCCGAACTGATAAATGCATATCACTGTTCAATGACCATGCCCTAGAACTTTCTGGGCGCTAGAATTTTAAAACTTTTACTGTCATTTAAATAACAAAGTTAATTCGATCATAAATATTCAGTGTTACTATTTAATGTATCGCAGTACAACTACCAGTTCCGTAGTATGTACTGTATGTAGTTTGATAGGGCATTAAAAATGAAATTTTAAATAAATTTTTTTGAGAAACCAATTATTTCAAACTTATATGAATATGCATTGCAATTCCGAATACTCGGAATTTGAATGTCGGAAATTAGATTTCGAATACTCGAAATTACAACAGCGTCCTTTTAAATTGCGATTACTTGGAATTGGAATGCCAGCAATTGCAATTCCGATTACTCGGAATTCAAACGGTAGTGTATTTAAATTTCGAATACTCGAAATTCACTTTAGATTGGAGCACTTCCGGCAACATTACCATACTCCCACCGGTTGTTCGTTGTTAATGGAAATCTGCCCAATGGATCACCCAACCCGGCACTGAAATGCTGATTATGCAAGTTAGCAAGTACTCACAAGTCACAACTACACTGATTGCGTAGTCAGCCGCAATGGCATTATTTTGGTTTGTGTCACTCTTTGTTGTCCGTTTTCAGCCAAAACCTGGAACACAAATTGTGCACTGTGGAGATCGCAGTAGTTCGAATCTTTGTTTTTATTTTTTGGAGCACATACGCTGGATACGTGCCTGTGATGCTTTTTTTGGTGAATTTGGCTATGACGCGTTAGCACACCGCAGATCGCAATTCACAACTGGAGATTGTGTTATGCTGCATTTATGGAGTGCGTATCCGTAAGACGAATCAAGAAGAAGTTTTGATTTACCGCCAACGTAGATGGAGGTTGACACCGAAGATCCCCGGCCCCCTCGCCGCGGAATTCTCCGAAGTATCTCCATTAAAAATTTTATGTAAGTCGAGAGATAAACAGAGCGCTGGGATTGCTATAACAGCCTTGAGAGGAATGCAAGGGTTTGCTGGAATTTGCAGGACATATGGCGCGGATGGCGAAGGCAAGCCGTTCGTCATCGAACTGCAGCCGAACATCAACATTCTCTCGGGTCCCAACGGAGTCGGCAAGAGCTCCATCGTGTCGGCCATCATGGTGTGCTGTGGAGCAACGTGCGGTTTTATTGGGCGCACCGGTGGAAGGAGCCTCGGCGAACTTGTCAAACGCGGCGCGGATCGCGCGGAAATCGAGATCACTCTGTACGTTCTTGGCTGTGCGTGGTATTATTTGTATGATATTATTTTTTATGAAGTGCTATTAATTTTTTTGTTTTGTCACTTTTGTGTTAGTTTTGAGCTGACAAGGTGCCCGTATAACATGGCAGCTTGCATTTTAAGACTTGTAAAATAATTTAGTTTTTTTTTTAAAAATTAGCTGTTAAAACTTTGAATATTTTTTTGGATGGCGTTATATTTTATGATCGTAAATTCTAAGTGCCGGATTTCATTGTGTGTGTTTTCAGTTATGATCCATTAGGAAAAAACGAACAAATCCGCTTCAAGCGGAGATTATTCTCTGCCAAAGCGCACCAGCACCTGTATTATGTGAACGGTGATCTGTCGTCGGCGGCTGATTATTATCGTCGCCTGCACGATTTCCGCATTAAAGGCAACAATCTCACACAATTCCTGCCGCAAGAACAAGTCTGTGAATTTTCCAAATTATCCCCATCGGAACTGCTCAAACAGACCGAAGAAGCGGTAAGAGTTTAACAAACACAGGAATTCACAGCAGAGCGGTTAAAAGAATGACACATTTTCGAAGTATGCATTAGCGTAATGACATCATTGACATGTATTTTTATGCTTATATTTTTATTAGTAATACTTGATTGTTTCCTGGCATTTTGTTCTCTAGCTCGGTGCGGACGTGGAAGAGCTACACGACGAACTGGAATGGCATCGAGCGAGCTGGAACAAAATGGAAGAAGACATCAAAGACCTGGGCGTTGCTGTGGAGCAGCGAATGGAACAGGAAGGCGAGTTGGAGAAGGAGAAGAAGAAACACCAGGAACGGGCTGGCAAAGCGGAGAATTTACTGGCAATACGGGCCAAAATGCTGGCTACGGTATGACCGACAAATCTGAGTCGTCTGCATTCTGTGGTGTCATATTATGTATATCTGTTATTAATTTCATATGTTAAATCAAATACTGAAATGTAGACATAACGCATATGCCACAGGAAATAACTTTCGAACTTTGCTGTCGGTTTTTTATTTTCTTGACTGCTTGCGGTTAGCAATGTTGAGATTTATGTGTGTACTGTTAGTCTGTTTTGTAGGAATTGCAGTTGTTGAAATCCGCTCATACACAAATGCAGGAGGATGCGGAGCGTCGCGAGAAGACGAAGAAGGATAACATTGCGGCAGCAACCCAGGTTGTTCGAGGTGTATACACGGAATCCATACAGCCAGCGCCTGTATCAACACCGAGACCGGGCAGTATTCATCGTTTACTCTCCACGGTCAGCAATGCGCAGAGTGCGGATGGAAAAAAAGCAGAAGAGGTTTGCATTTGCACTGAGTGTTTTGGGAATCCTTTATACAGTTTCATGCATGCATAATTAAAAGAGTAAGATAAATAGGTACAGTAATATGGTATGTACTGTATTATAGGTACCATAATTATGCATTACATCGTGCGACAAAATCTGGCAGATTTTGAAACTAATTAAGTATTACCGGCATTAGCACCTTAAAATATTTACGATGTAGCGTGGTAGAACTGCTCAAGTTGTAAGACATTCGCGTAATTGTGAAGTTTTTTCAAGTTACCGTTAATTCTATCTTCGTCACTTTCCACAGGATGCGAATGTGCGTATTTAATTACAGTGAAGTATTTATCTGTAGAGTTCGAAAATTCGGGACGACCTGGCTATAGCGATGCAAGATCCGGACGAAGTCAACTACCGGATGCAACTGCAAACCTTAAACGACGAAATCACAGAATTGGAAGAATGGATTGACAAAGAAGGGTCGGTTGCGGCGTTACAGGTACTGTACCAGCGATGCAGTATGCAGATGAATTCTGCTGTAGTTGTTTAAAAAAACGGTTTTTCTTCGGTTTTGCAGAACAGGCAGAGCGATTTTGAAGATCGTGTCGACAAGATTAACAAAGATATTGCGGGTAAACAGCATTAATGCTCATTTCGACCTTTTCGAATACTATACGTAGACTACGTACAAAGTTCACAGTATTGCGATCAAATATATGTTGGTTTTGTTTTTGTACCGGTGATTCTTACAATAAATCGTCGTGGTTGCAGCTGTCCAAGCAGCTAGCGGAACGATTAGGGCTTACTATCTCGATTCCCGTAAGCGTTTGGTTAATTTGATCGAAAAAGGCTTTCTTCACAACGATGTACTAACCGCGTGGAAGTGGTTGAATGAAAACTATCCAAAGAAAGTTATCGGGCCTCTTTTCTTTTACGTAAGTACATGCGTGGGATTTTACCGGTGTATTTTCCAGACCGTCTTCATGCTTCACCATATAGCCACTACTGTTGATGTTTTTCAGATTTGGCCGAAAACTAATGGCTATCTTGCGCAACTGGAAACCGCCTTTGGCAAGGTTCTGTCGCATTTTATCTGCTTGGACAAGGAGACACTGCTTGAAGTGTTCGATGAACTGAAAGTGAAAAAAGATTTGAAGCATGTATCCCTCATTGGTCCTGTCAGGACGCCGGAAACTCCGCAAAAAGAGATCGTCGACGAACACAAAGTGTTGGTAGCCTTTTCAACGCTTTTCAGAACGTTAAAGTCATCTGACGCCTCTGCTCTGTACTTGTGAAATATAAATTCAGTCTTCGAACACAGAAGTTTTTGAAATCGTGATTTCAGTTGTTTTGCATCGGTAGTGAACGTTGCCCTTTGGTTTCCATAGAATGATGGGCCGTCTGGGATTCACGAAAGTGCTATCGGATTTGTTTGATACCATTCCGCCCGTTAAACAGTTTCTGCAGTCCTATGCCAAGATCGGCACCACTCTGACTGGACTGGGTTTGGATGACCGGCAGGCGATTAATCTCTTTCGGTTCTGGGGATTTCCATCTGACACCATGACCGCACTGGAAGGTGTTAAGTTCCGGTGCCTCACCAAAGACTATCAGGTACCGTCTGCTGCAATTCCAGTCGTTTTACTGCCGGTGAATTAGCACGTTTTTTTATACATAAGTGGTAGTATCAACTGTTAAGTCCGTACTTTGTCTTAAGTCATAGGTGTGTTGAATTTACTTTAAAAAGAGCAAATCGGAGTTGCAGCACTTACGGATTGGTAACCAGGTCATGGCTGGTGTTTTGCACATTTTTGTTTTTTACAAACACTACAACAAGTTTGTACAATACAAGCGGTATAATGACTTTGTCTACAGTTGTGATTTGGCATAATGTTATATCTATATGAAATATTGAAATATTTACAGTTTGAAGATAAGGGTCCTAATGATTTGGAAACAGTTTTCGCCACTCCAGTGGTGCAGCCTCGATTACTCGAATACGAATCCTCGAAAGCATACAGAGCCAACGAAAGGCAGCGTGACGAGGCTCAGGAAAAGATTCGACAAAAGAAAGTTGAAAATGATATTCAAGGTGCTGATACCGGTGATGCTGTTGCGGATGCTTTGAATGCTATTCTGAAAGAAGCAGAGGAGAATCTGGCCGATGCAACGGATAAAATTCCCCTAGCGGAGCAGTATACGAAACAGCTGGAAGAAAAAAGAAAAGAGTATGATTAATTTTAGCTGTGTATAAGTTCTTGCGTGGATGATGAAGAATTATGGAGAGCGTACCAACGGGTTGCTGTTTTCAGGCTTGCGGAATTCTCACAGCGTGAAAAGAAACCCCACAGTACTGTGGTTAAATCCTACTGCAAACGACTGCGTGATCTTAACGCGGAACGATTAAAGCTTTTATGTGGTGATTCCAACCATTCGTGTCTGCAGGTTAGTATTTTTTCGTTTTCCAAAAAGTGATATGAAATCTTTATTTTTGTATATTTGCATAAATGTATGCGTATATTTGCATGAATATATTTGTATATTCTGTATGTACTGTATATCCTCGGTGTATTTCTGCGCTAATGGCTTTTGTCTACCGTAATGTTTTCAGCGTTTCCAACCTTTTTTGTAGAATATTTCCACAACGGTATCGACAGCCTTCGATGACTGCCTGTTATTAATTAGCCAGTTGATTACTGCAGGCAGCTGTTGCAGATATGTGCAGAATTCCGCAAAACAGAAAGCAACACTTAAAGTAAGAAATTTCAGACGCATGAAGCCGATGTTTGATGTGGTCAGGTTTGCTTTGTGGTACTCTGTATGACGGTATGACCGTATGAGTACGTCCTTTTTAGGAACTTATATCAAATGGAACGCTCGAAATGAATGCGATGCAGGAAAAAGTGAATGGTCGTGAGAAGAAGCTGCGGATGTTTATTCAGACAGCTTTTCTGAACCGAAAAAAGTCTGCTGCAGATGTAGAAACCGTAAGCCGCTCATACATAGTAGCCTGGAACTTTCTTTTCATTTCCGAAGTATTCTGACAGATGATTGACCGATTGCAAGGCAAGAAAACTGCAGAAGATTTACACAGGCTGGCTGTCACCGCATGGAATGATTATAACAGTTGTGAAATGCCGGATTACGAGGTACGTAGAAAAATCCGTAAATCCTTTAACGATGGCGATCGTTTATACGTGAAAATCGGTTAACGCAATTATTGTTTTACATTTCAGACCATAAACAGGCTGCAGAAGCGAGTTACCGAATGTAATCAGATGAAGAAAGACCAAAGCGAAATGCAGTTCAGTCTGCGGAAATCTCAGGTGTCCTCCACTTTTCTTCGCCAGCAGTGGATCAATAAACTGCAGGGCGATTTGGCCATCATGAACGAACGTCTCCGGCTGATGTTTCGCAGGATAGGTTTCGATGGCCGAGTGGAGCTGTCCATTCCGGCGCAGGAGAACCGCTTCGACGAGTACGGGATTGATCTGTATGTCAGTCGGGAAGAAGGTCGGGAGATGGCGCGTTTGACACGGCACCACCAGAGCGGCGGGGAACGCGTGGTGGCGACGGCGGTGTATCTGATGGCGCTGCAGGGCTGCTCGGATGTCCCATTTCGCATTGTTGACGAAATCAACCAGGTGTTTACCCAATGCATGCACCCAGTATTGCATGATGTAATATTTCGTTACTTTTTTTGCTGTTTTGTTAATTCAAACACAGATTTGCATTGATCTATGTATCTGCTGGCCTGGTTGGTTTTCATTGACGGCTTATTTTAATTTTCATCCTGTTGCAATTGTTTTGCAATTTATTTTTAAGAATTTTGTTTTTACAGGGCATGGACCGAATCAACGAGCAAAAAGTCTTTCAGTTGTTGCTGGAAACGGCTAGAAAGTACGATGCGCAGTATATTTCCGTGAGCCCGAAGGTAAAGTTCAGAAATCTGGATTTGTGAATGCGGTTTCTCGTTTTGCCATCGATCAATGTAAGGGTGTTTTTATAGATGGTGCCGGACTATACCGGCGGAAATGAGCAAATAAACTTTTGTTTTCCCATGAAAGCTTTGATGTCGGTGGTCGTGGATGGTGCGACGACGCGGTATCCGGCATCGGCTTTTACCACTGCCAATGTCATTTCAGCATACGCGTACGACGATGAGAGTGACGAACTTGAAAGCGATGACGGCGACGTCGGCAATATTGGAAAGACCATGAATTTAGGCTGAGAAAGCCTGTAATGATTTCTCGATAGAGGGAATTGTGCCTTAAACAAAATGCTGCTCAAATTTGTACGAGCTTGTTGTTGTCTTTAAATCTCTGTTGTGTAGTTTGTTGTGTTATGGTTATGCATTTCCGTTCAGTTGACTGACATTTTGGAATAGGAAGAGTACTTGATGGATAATAATTAAACGTACTTGATGGATTAATAACTGTTGGCATTGTTGACAGTAGTAATTGTTATTTGTTGGCATTAATATTTTAATCGTGAATCGTGATATTTTACACCTGATCACGTCAATGTTATGCGCACAATCTGCAGTAGGTCACAAAGAATGGAATAAAATAGTAAATGCAGATTTATCCGCAGCCTGCGATCAAGTTTACCTTGCGTATATACAAATTTCGACTTCACAAAACTACTAAATTCTGCAGCATAGTTGACACTGAACGGTTTCTGAATGACCGGAAATTGTGCAGGTCATTTTATAAATGTCTTCCTCAAATTTCCCGTCTGGGGAAACATACTGTACAGTCTGTACTGTACCTAACTACACTTTGTGCCCGTGTAAGTTCTCGCACCATGGGGAGGCAGCAACAAACATGACAGTGAACCAGCAAAATGTTTTTGCCCGGTTTGCTATAAAGCATTTGTATGTTGTATGTATTTGTGACTGTGTGTAGATTTTTACCTGCTGTCAGCTACTGTATGCTATTCGGAGTTTGGAAATTGGACGAGCAAAATTTTCAGAACTGTTGCGACGAGTAAAACCCTATTTGTTCGATAACTTAATAGATTTTGCGTTGTTTTTTATATTGTTAAGTAGTATGCTGAATTTTGGTGCTCTGTGATAATCGGTCTAGCAAGAACTAGTAAATGAAGAATACGGACTGCGAACCTATAGTGGATTGCATTTCTCCGTCTTTGGGATTGTCCGCAATTTCGCAATTCTTTGGCGCATTTTCATACGGGAATCCTACCACTCCTGATTTGCTATGTTGAGTTATCATTATTTACTGCCCAGTCTCCTGCGAACGGCATCTTCACCGTTCCGATGCTGCATGCGATGCGTGGCCAGCATCACGCAGCCTGAAGTCACTCCTTCCGAATCCAGTCTGCCGAATGGCTCTTCCGAGGATTCCGTCAAAGACCTTCCGCAGTCCGAGCCTGCTAGTGTTAGGAGCAATTTCCGTGCCATGCAGCAGTTGCGACATGATCAGGCGCACGAAAGCCTTCTCGTCCAAGCTCCCAGCGTTGAGTCTGCATTTGTCGTAGAAAAAGAGTGCCTGAAATTCGGAACTGTGCAGTCTATGTTTCACTATCGCCAAAACGAAAAGGCAAGTAGATAAATGGTTATCGAACACGATTCCTGTCAGAGTTTGTCGTGAGTGCCTTGTCTCTCCAGTAAGTCATTCTCGAATGTTGTTCCTATTTCGCCGTGTTAAAATACAAAATTAATAAAAATAAAACGTTTATTTGAATTAATAAATCATTTCTGTGTTTTTTAACTCATAACTGCAGCATTTTTTAATACAGAATAAGGTACAGTCTTTAATTTAATTTTAATTTTTCAAAATGCAGTTGAGAGTCAAATTTTTTTGTATTTTTGAAAAAAGTTATGTACAGTTTAGTTCTGTTGTATTTGTATGCGTACTAGGTTTGATTTATTGCTGTGAATTTACCCGCTACTTTGCGGCATCCCCGAGGCTGGTGGTTAGTTTCTTGTTTTCTAATTAAAAACTCCGGATGTAAATATTCTGTTGTTGTCGCGGATCGGAAACGGTGTGGGTTCTTTAGGATTACTTTTTGATCCATATGAACAGCAAATCGGCCGTCCGCAGTATGTTGGACGCTTGCGTGCATCCGTCGCGAGACGGTATTGTTCCGGTTCGTTCGCGGTTGTTGGAGGCCTCGACTTTACAAAGACGGAGCAGCGCAGCAACAATAAGTCCTTTAATACCGGAACAGTCGATCACTGCAATGCAGCTGGACAAAGATTTGCTGCAGCAAAACGGGGTAGGATTTACTGGTGCATTGTGAAGGCTTTTTGCATGTGCATATGCATATACTGTATTTGTTTTAACGGATACTTTTATTTGATTCTTACTTTACAAATGACTGCGTACAGTCTATGCTAATCTGAATTTTTTCTCCTTACAGGTGTCTGCTCAAATGCAGTATTTGTACAAGTCGTGTAAAATACCGGAATTAGGAACACGGCTGCGGTATTTTATCTCCTCACAAATTGAGGAGGCTGTCTCCGGTTTGTTCCCGCACTGCCGTGTGTATTTGTTCGGATCGTCTGTCAGCGGCTTTGGCCAGCATCATTCTGACGTCGATATGATTCTGGATTTTGACCAAGTGTTCACAGAAAAAGTAGGTCGGATAAAATCGTCCTTCGTAGTACAAATATCCTTAGTAATAACAAGAAATATTGCCAGAATAATTATTGTCTGTTTGTCCATATAGAGACCGGGAACGGCCAATTTCAGGTTTGTCTCCAAACCGTCAGCCGGCAATGATCGCGTGCAGTGCCAGCGAAGCTTGGAATTATTAGCGGATAATCTGCAGTATCTCCTACCCGGCTATACCCAGATTCAGCGGATTCTCCTGGCCCGTGTGCCCATTGTGAAATTCCTCCATGAACCAAGTGGAGTGCGCTGTGATTTATCCACTACGAATATGTGGGTTGCTTGTTTTTTCAATTTCTAAATAACCGCTTTAAGCGGATCCGCAATTGCAAGCAGTATCGGCAGTGTTTTTTTTATAAGAATTGCTCTTTGTTTGGCAGGTCCGGCTTAGTTATGTCCAATTATTTGTACACTCTGGGAGAAATAGACGAACGGCTGCGTGCTCTGGTTGTAACGATACGCAGGTGGGCCAATGCCAATCGGTTGACGAACGCTCATCCCGGCCGCTGGATTACCAATTTTACGTTGACCATTTTGGTCGTATTCTTCATGCAGCATAAAAAGCTGTTGCCGCCGCTTTCGCAGCTGCCATCCACACCTCTCATCAACCGCCGGTCATTGGATGGGCCGAACGATGATCTTGGACAATTACTAGGTATACTTCCTTTTCGTGATGATTTCCATCAGATGATTCAGATTACTGTCTTTAATTTATCAGATCAGGCTTCAGAATTGATCGGATTAGTCTTTAATTTCCCGGTATTTTGTCTATCATACGGCTTTGCTTTAAATGAAATATTTTACTGTAATCTCAGTGATTCTGTGAAAGTTGGTGTTTAAGGCATTTTATTAAACTTAAGTCATGCTTGCACAGAACATTTCCATTTTCTTGGACTCGTACTAGGTACATAATATGAATTTCATTTTATAAAAATAATCATGTAAACCGTAAATTGACTGAATTTGCATATTCGTATTTTAGCGGAGTTCTTCTCTTTCTACGCCTCCTTTAACTACAAATCTCACGCCATATCAGTGATCGACGGGACAATATATCCGAAACCGGATTTCGCCTCGCTGTACATAGAGAATCCTTTGGAAACCGAATTGAATATCGCCCGTAATCTTAGTGCCGAGGAATTGGACCGGGTGGTGAATTCCATGCGGACCGCCACGTGGATTCTCGAAGGTGCCGGGAAAGATCCTCTGTTGCCGGGAATAGTGCGCCTTTTCCAAGAAATCAACGAAAAAGATGTACCGCGGCCGAAGAAAATGGGTGTCAGTGTCGATGAACTTTTTCGGAAATCCGGTGCCGCTCACAAATATCAGCCCGATGAGTTTGCTGTGGATAATACTGTGAAAAATTTCTCATTGAAGAGTAATATAAATACGACAACGCCACAAGAAAAACATGCATTAAGAAATTCGAGGCAGAAGTTTATAAGGGAGAAGCAAAAGCCTTTGGGAACTCGTTGGTGATTTTGATTTATTCTACGTATGTAAGTATTGTTTTTGCTGACTACTTTGTTAAATCACTTAAATGTATCAATGACAGTCTGCTGCGCGGAATATTTGAGGATGGCAAGGTTGATATTGCGACGAAAAAAATGATCGCATTAAGTCGAAGGGCATAAGAGTACATTGTTGCATTCTGAATGCTTGATTTTTTTCCTTTGCTGAATTTTTACCATAAAGTGCAGTACTCGTACTGTTTTTTATGACAGACTGATGGTATACTTTGCATAAGTTATAACAGTTTGCATAAGTTTGGGGATTCGTTAGCTTTTCAAATTTTGTATGAACGAACCACTTCTAGCAGTACAAATTTTACAGAACCATGATCAACCATCACAAGAAATTTATGTAAACTGCTAACTTTTTTGCATGAAAACGGACAATTCCAACGTGAATAACACATTAACCAAGACGACCCAGCAAAAGCTGTACAAGTCAATTCACACTAAGCATACGGGCGTACATAGTTACCTTATCGGCACACATTAATGTACAAAAAAGCGGAAAAAGTAAAAGAAATACAAAATAAAATTTAAATCAAAAATACTTGCTCATCCGTGACCAAGATAACGCCCTCGTCGGTCATTTTCCCAAAACCGGCTTCCATTTCCGCGTGGGTGTAGAGCATTCCCTGCGCCTCAGCCTTTTCCGCCACATGCTGCGATAACTGATTCTGGGGAAGCGATCCTTGTCGTGTCTCCTGGAAGTGTTTTCCCACCAGTTCTTTGAACATCTTGTATTTATCAGCGGCAATGGTGGGTGGAGCAGGAGCAGCGGCCTGCACTGTGTCGGCCCGTCCAGGCACCACCTGACCGCGTCCCACCGTGGCGCGTTTGGGAGTGGGTTCACTGCTTCCGAAACGGTAGGGATCGTCGGGATCCAACGCCTGACCATTCGCTGGCACTTCAGCTTCGTCAACATCCATGGCCGCGCCGTTGCCGTTTGCGGCGTGGTCATCTTCTTCAATTGTCTGAAATTTTCGAGAGTTACAATCACATCTTTACGCCTTTAATGCAGATTAATTTCCATAAAAACCGTTGTTGCGCGACATGAATTATTAGGTATTAAAAAGCATTCTGTGTACATCTGCGCTGATTAAATCTTTACCCTCTTCTTCTTTCGCTTTTCCACCTTCTTGAACAACGCAAACTGGACCATATCGCAAGCAGCTTGGGCATCAGCTTGCTCGACAGTGCGCTGCAGCCGACTTTTGGCGTGTGCCGTTGCCAAACGAATCATGGTTTCCAGAGCGCGGGCTGTTACCGGTTGAGTACGAGCAACATCAGCGCCAACCTAAAGCGACAAATTAAAAAGTCAAATACCAAATCGTTAATTTATCAAAAATGCTAGTAACGAAACTTGAAACTTTGTAAAATAATACAAGTATACACCACAATTTTGATCAACGCTTGATTTTCGTTTCTTCGCATTCACGTCGATCATAAAATACTTTATTATCCTCGTATTTGTACCTGATCTTGAGAGCGAAGTTTTGCGTATTCCTCGGCAATAAGTGTGCAGGCATCTTGCGTCAGTTTAGGCGTGCAGTTCTTGGCAATGCTGATATACTTCCGCAAGAACTGCTTCGACAACACTTTGTCGTACTGATTACGGCGCGGACCATGGAGTATAGAATCGTATTTTTCGTAGATCTGCCCTGAACGCCGCTGATCAGAATCATCTGTGTCGACCATATTAGTGGACAGCCAATCGACACCCATGTTCAACCGCGTCGGCTCTCCATCCAACTCTCCCGCGGCGCGGTAGCGGTGCATCCGGACAACGTGGTCAGCCAAAATCAGATCCTGCTCCTGATCCGCTTTGTCCGTCATGACAAAAATTAAATCGAATCGAGAAAGCAAGGAATCCTGCATTCCAATGTTGTCCATAGGGGACTTGTACGGATCATACTATTAAACACAGAAAAACAAACGGGGTATGCAAAATGTTAGTTTCATGAGGGAGTAAAGATTCAATGACCAGTTGTCCCACTTACACGACCGTATACAGGGTTAGCAGCCGCCAGTACAGAACAGCGGGCGTTGAGCTTTGCATGAATCCCAGCTTTCGAGATGGTGACACGCCCTGAAACAATAGTAATAATCAGATCATCTCGGTCAAAGCAAATTCTGAATTTGTGGTATGTTCCGCCTACACAAAGTTAATCGCTTCTTAAAAGGTGGTACGGTGCAAGCTATACTTGTACTGATTAGGCGCTCTGTACATCCTTAATCTTTAAAATTATAAAAAAAGATGTACGATGAATGGCCGAAGGATATACCGATCACAACTGAGCTCGATAATGATTCGCTAATGTAAATCATACAAATACGAAGTCGGTACAAAAAAAAGTTTAGAAAAATCCAGCTATAAAAACCCTCCGACGCAGACTAGCCATTCTCACACTAGCGACAACCTCGTTAAGTTTTATCCGACTTAAGTGGTAAACCTCACGGCTGCACTTAGTTTTTTATTCTTTATTTTATTCGATATCGGACAAGAAATGGCCTCGATCGTGTCGCATTATTGGATTTGCGTCTGCAATGTTCCGAACGGAAAAGACCTTTCCTTCCTTCAAGAGATTTTGAAGGCGAAGGGCAACACTGGTGGAACGGACTGGAAGGAGAGCTTCGTCTGGGTGGACACCACCAACACCCGGAAAGCTCTACTGTTTGTCGATGGGCCAACCGCGCGGAATCTGAAAGATATCGGCCGGCTATTCCTGTTGGGATCGGATATGGAGTTCCGTGACGCCAACGATTTCGACTTCCCGGAAGATCGAAAGAAAGATTTTTATTATAAAACGTAAGCGCACCGAAAGTGATTGTCACCTTTTTCATACCTTTAAATTTTAATATACAGTTCATTTCCTAATTTTTGGTTCAAACTTAATGTGTTGAGTGTGGTTGTATGCCCACTGTGCTTGCTGTACTATCGCTTGGTGTGAATCTGCATGGATTAAAAAATTCTCATTCTCATTCCCGAAGCATTCTTATTCTTTGTAAGGCTGTTTATAAGCCACATCGTTGTATGCACAGTTTGATGCCGAATAGCGTGTGTTACTGCCGTACGGTCAAATAAATCTAGTAAACCACGTACTGTACCTTGCTCCATAACTTCATGTATGGCTGTACGGTCTTCTTCCGCCATTTTATCGAACTCATCGATGCACACGACACCTCGATCCGCTAGAACCATTGCACCAGCTTCTAAACGTCGGTCGCCTGTTTCATCCGTCGTCACGGCAGCGGTCAGACCAACGCCCGTACTTCCTCGCCCAGTTGTAGCGATAGCCACATTGGCAATTTGTAAAACAAAGCGCAGCATTTGGGATTTCGCTACCGAAGGATCGCCAATTAGTAGTATGTTAACATCGCCACGCAAACGCGTACCATTGGCTAAAACCTGCAAGCAATTTTAAGCAACCGTAACAAAATAAATGATTTCGTAATTTCTAAATCAACAAGCAAACGTATGCTCTAAGAATCCAAGTCTGCAATTAAGATTCAATTTACGAATAATAAAGCCTTCGTAAGCCTTTCAAGGAAATTTCACAGTAATTATATGCGTTCGTTACAAAAGAAAATTAAAGGATATTAAACCGTACCTTTTCTTGTCCACCCAACAATAAACACAAAATCGCTTGCTTCACGTAATCATTGCCGTAAATCGACGGGGCCACAGATCGTGCTAGCACCTCGAAAGCGTCCGGTTGTTGAGCAAATTTACGAATACGGTGAGAATCGGCTTGCGTAAAGATCGGCGCGTTTTCCTTATGCTGCTCCACGACAAAATTAGCGATAATAACAGTCCGGAAATTCCCAGCAAAATATCCTTGACGCTGATTGTGAATAACGCGATAAGTTCCCACCACCAAAACACGATCTCCCGGCTTGCATAAATCAACCAAATCGTCCTCCACCACAACTTCCACAGATCTTGGGAGCTGACCTGAAATAATGCCACATTTTTAAAAGATGGAGGCATTGCACATATTCATAAAGACGAAAACTTGGACACAAGCATTCTGTTTTATTCGATTTAAACAACCAACTGCAAGAAAAATTAAATTCTAAAAATAATTCAGATAAGAACTGTAGTAAATTTAGTAATACGTACAGAAAGGTACAGAAGAACGCTTAAATCTTGAAAATCGCAAGCAGCATGTAAATTTTTTAATAAATGCATACGCGTATTTTACGTATAGATACTATATACTATACTTCAGTACCGATACACATATCAACTGATGTTGCACAATTTCTGTTTTTCACGGTACTGAATTCTTTTTCTAGAATTCAGATTCGACAACAAATTTCGCATTTTTAAATTGTTTTTAGCGATTCAAATTTTTGAAATATCGCGATGCCAAACTGTCTCAGTCGATCCTTTTCGAATTCCAAAATGCGTGAATTTCTAAGCATTAGCACGATTTCTTCTACTGAGAATTACCTGGAGGTGCCTTCTCCGGTAGCTCTTGAATGGTGAACATCTGATGATCTTTAAACACACACAGCCCATACTCGGTCTCCAGCGGGTTGCCTTCGTCGTCCTTGGTGGGATAGGCCATGCGACTGGTGGCATCCCCGCCGCTCATCAGGTCTGTGTAGCGTCGCTCGATGGTCTTCCCAGTTTTCGGTGCGTAGTGCACACTGCGAACAATCTTGGGCCGCACAATGGTGCACTTGGTGACGATGCCTTCCACGCAGACAATTCCACCCAGCAATTTGGCCTGCAGTGTGCGCGGTGAAACGTGTCGCGCCCCGAAACTGTAAAGAATTGAGAAAAACATGGATTTTCTCGCTATCCTGTAATCTTTCTAATAAAACGAAATTTTTGCAATTTGTGATACTGCCGTAAAAATGTAGAACTTCTCGCGATCTTTATGAAATTATTTTAGGAAATATTCGCAATACGTGATGATGCTACCTATGACAATTTACCTTCCACATAAGCCAACGAAGAAATTCTCGTGATTCCTGGCATACACATTGCTGGAGCGCTGAATGCAGTTGCGCAGTGCTGCTTGAAAGGCATTCACTTCTTCTACACTGTCTTTCAGCAAACTACAAAACAATCCACACTCGTAACAAATTGCAATCGATCCAAATACGGTGAAATACCAAATGACAAAAAATACAGCAGATAAATGAAATTCAAGAAATAGAGCAGCACCTGTTGCATCGTCCGGGATTGACAGCGCGGAGATCGTTGACGTTCACTTCCAGTCTAATCTGCTCATTCTGGATCATCTGGTTAATGCGCTCGCTGTATATGCGGCGGTCCTGGGCATCATCTAAGAAATCCATGTACTCTTGGACGGTAGCACGGAAACGGGCCTCTTTCTCCGGATCAATGCGCCCAGCGAATCCTCCGTAACCCGCAGCGGGATCTGCAGCCGCATTCTGCATTCTTCTGGTCCGCAGAAGAAATCCGAAGACACTTGCACAATTCTACTAAAGAATGACGAATATCCAGATATCAGACAGTCTTTTCCCAATAGATAATCTATTCTCTCTAGAATCTAGATAATCTATTCCGAATCCCGATATTAAAACACAAAAACAGTTTTCAAATGAAAGAACTGCGTTTTGTTCGCTGCTTGTGTAGTAGATTGCTTTCTTCTTTTGCATACCCTGGAACGATTTTGCGCAACCCGCGTCTGCTGCCAGTTACTATACGGGGAAATTGTCCATCAGCAGAAAGCGCTCAAAACCTACAGAGTTGTAACCGGAAAAGCACTAATATGCCTATACGGCGTATACGCGTACAAAGGCAGTACTAATGAGACCGTTATGAAATGGGAAAGCAAAATACATTTTAATTATTAACGTGAACATAATGAATTGTAGTGTTTTGTAATACAATATGAGTATTATTAGCACCTTTTTGTAACTTAAAATAACATGCAGTATAATACCAGTATTCAACTACAGAAAATAACTTCCGGTGAGGCGTAATTGGCACGCTTAGGCTGAGCACCCTGTAATAACGCATCGTACGTACAGTACATCAGATCAAGCTGTCACCTCAAATGCACTTTATTCTTTATTGCTTTAATAGAAAATTTAGAATCAGAAGTGGAAATGTTTTTATTTACCTACTTCGAACCTTTCAATTTCAGTTTATTAATAGTTCACAGTTGGTTTTCTTTCGTCGTTTTCGATTTACGATGCCGACTTATCGTTGCATAAAATGCGAGGAACCTGCAGATTCATTGTTCATCCATTACAGTCCGGGAGTAACGAAACTCCAGTCCTGTGTAAGTCCCTCTTCCATACGGGTCTTTTCACTCTTTTGTTCAGTTTGCACCTGAAAAAGTCTTTACACTGTTTGTGTGTGTCTTTATACTTCTCTCTTTAAAGCAGCTGTATCTCTATAGCAGTATCATGACTCAGTTAAACTTTTCAGCACCGCTGCAAGGAATACGTAGATGATTATGTGGAATATGATAATTTATCCGTATTTTTGGACATCCTCTTGCAAAAACGACCCGCGTACCGACATGTTATCTTCAACAGTGGATTACTGGTTCGTTTATGACGCAGAATAATAGTATGATTGCTTGAAACCTCATAGTTGCCCACCAGGCTTCCACTGTTGCAACACTATAATTTAGTAACGAAAAAAATGTTTTTTAGTTTTGGTTCATATGCTCATATGGAGAGTTATTAACCAGCTGCTGCAGTTTATAATTTTTTTTACTGTGGCTTTTTACTTGTAGAAATTTATATGTAGTCCAAAAATTCAAGCAAAATAAGAAAAATGTGAAAAATCTTGAATTTTTGGACAGTAGCTGCTGTGGAAGTTTGTCCTCGTGGTGGTGATGGCTGATGGCTATGTGCACTGGATTTCCTGGCGTTCCAGGGATATGGAAGAATCCAGTGCGCTTTCCGTAGATCTCCTCGAGTGGGAATTCCATAAGCGGCTTCTTGTATCATTTGCAGGTATAGCATTCTGCGCATTTTGCTTTAACCCTGAACAGTCTCTTCAATCACTTTTGCGCTTTTTCCGCCGCTTTCGGGCTTGTAGTGCTTAACACAGACTACAGTTCACTGTTATATTATTAACTTTTTCTTATCGGATGTCAGCTGTTAAGAATGCTGAAGTGCCAGGGTGAACGAAAGAAATCCGTATTAAAAAGTTCCGACACTGCACCGTATATTCTAGCAATCGTTATTTGATATTTAAACTGCATCGGCACCCTTGTAAAGCTTGCCTGATATGCTTAATTGTGTATTTTTGATGAATTTTTGCTTGTTTTGTAGCAAACGCTGTGTACCTTCTGTCCGCTACAGCAATTGGCATAATCCGACAGCACCGTATTTCAAAAGGTAAAACATCATTCGTTATTTTATTCAAGTCGGAATTTTCTTGAACTACAGCCCTACCGCGCTAAGTTTGGACAGTTTTCCCCAAAAATCACAACAAGTCGTTCGTCAACAAATAAAAACTTATTTTATGTTTTTTGTATCCCCATATGTGTCCCACATCTTTTGCACTCCAGGTTTCCTCAAATATAGCGTGATCATTCGAGTTTCGGTGATTTAAAAACTAAAGCCGACCTGCTAAAAAAGCGGCTCGACCCATTTATTTTCATAGCCATCGTCTACGTCTACGTTTTTGTTTAAAATTTCTTTTGCAACCGTAGTGAAAAACCGATAACTCTAAACTGTTTCTCATTCAATGCTCTTGAAAAAAAATTTAGATACCAGTCGATTTTAACTAAGCCTGTGTGACCTTTGCAGCCTGACTGCGGGCACTGCTAAATTTTAGGGTGACCTTCTTTGCATGCTCGCAGTACAGCCGCGAGTTGTCATAGATGACCATTTTAGAGCGATTCGTGTTTGAGGAGTACTGGGTGTTAATTTAAGTTATTCTGTCCACAGAATAAGTCCGAGCAGTTCTGTCCCGAGAAAGTGAAGCAATAAAGATAACTCTTTTTAGCTCCAGCTTTGCCGAGTTGTTGGCCATTTATTTGACACCCTCATCTCCCCGTCTGTGTAGTTGATAACCTTCAAAATTTTAAAAAGTCTAGTATCATCCATGTGTCATCCATGGATAACATAAACTCAACCTTACCAACGCTTGTGCGCTGGGCAGCCCTATTGTTCGGCAGGTCTATGCAGGGAGTGACTCATTGTTTCGAAGTCAAAGTGAGCACCGGTAATCCAAGCTTCTTTTGTTCACCCGTAACGGACACCTTTGGGCCACTCAACAGTTTCACAAAAATCCACAAAATTAGGTTGCTGGGCGAAGTTTTTTTAAGAGTAGTTACCAGGTATAGCTAAGGCTGCTATTATAAAGCATTCTAGAAATGGCCACCAGCCCACCCCTTAACTCACCGCTTAGCTCGCTACTGGCGTATCAGACCGTATCGATTTTAATATTGCTGGATCGGCAATAAAAACGCAATGAAGTTACACTAGAAAAGTGCAGGAACAAAGACGAAACCATATAAGGAAATATTTTGTAATTTATTGCACGCAACTGTCCAAACGTGGCGCGGCAGGGCTGTATTTCGTTTAAAAAGCCGCTTTCTGAGGTATATACAGAGTATGTACAATTAAGTTGTGAATTAACCCCTGCAGATTTTAGCTTGCGGAATGGCAGATACTGTGCTTAGCAGCTTAAAAAATTCTTTGCCAAATGAATTTTGCATTAATATTTGTTTCTGCAGATCGATGTGTCCCGTCTGCTCCGCAATCCGTCTTTTTAACCGGCATGATGATCTCTTTGTATCCGGTCTTTCTGCGTCTTCCGGCCATTATTTGGATGTCTCAAAGTCAGCCGCAGTATATCTGGTGGGGATGTCTGCTGCTGCAATGGATTGCTGGCAGTCAAGTGTACCGAAGTAAGAATGTATTTGTGCACGCATAAAACCTTCCTTGGGTGATTTACGATTTTATGGGAACGTGATGTGCTCTTGTTAATCTGAACTGCACATTAAGTTCTGCGGATGTCGTTGCAGTTTTGACCAGAGTGCGGATTTGGGAATCCTTGCTTACAGTGGGCATTCTACAGATTCTTTTGCTTGGTGTCCAGCCATCTTTGGTAGATCTGTTGTTTGGTTAGCTTGCTCGCTTAGATGACGTTTTTGATCGTTTGCTTTGCGTATTACACTATAAATGATGGTGATCATCATTGTTGTACAAAAATCAAAAAGTGGTCTGAATTGCATAGAATTGGATTTTCGCTAGTTGTGATACCAGTTTTAATGGTGGTAATGTATGGTTGACGAGCTTTTCGACCTGCTCGTGTTTTCAGAATCAGTTTTAATAAAAACATACTAACATTGTGCGGATTTATTCATCTGAAACAACGCAATCATAATACATTTTGGATGCTTTCCTTGGGTCGGAATTCATCGCAGCAAAGCCGTCCGAATTAGAAACACTTACAGACACTTATGCATAAGGCTATTTAAATCCAAAATATCCGCAAGCTATTTTTCGGCAGATATAAAAAAACTGGTCAAACAAAGTAAAGGGTGGAAAACATTAAATTACTTACTTAAGCTGAGCACTTGGGTGCAATAATTTGACAGCAAAAACTTGTTTACCATTTTATATTTCCTTACGAGTATTCTAATAACAGGTATTTACCTTGTATACGTTTACGTAATGTTAATACATACCCCAAAAGACGTTTCGGTGTGCTACCCTGCGTTCTGCGGATGTATCGTACAAGAATGTTTTAATATTATATATAGCGGAGAATGTGTGCAAATTATTTTGTCGTCAGTTTACAGTAATACGGGCTGCGAAAATTTTTACTAGCTCCCATTGAAAAACAACGGACGATATATACATGCAACAACAACTACAGAAACAGAAAGTATTTAATATTTTTTCCAGCAGTATTAGTTCCGAGATTTTGCAAAATCCTTACCGATATGCATGTGATAATCATTATCTCAACCGCGGCAGCTTTAGTTTATTCCCTGGAAGGGGCAAGCCCAGGGGGCACCTATGGTGACGGAACTAGGGCTGGTTCGTCCAACTATACTCAACATTCGGGATACTCGAAGTATACTTCTACAAACAGTAGCGGATATACCGCAAGTTACAACAACCCAGGTGATTACAAGTCAGTGGTGCCAGTATATGGACAGCCAAGTGAGACCGCATACGCTCCAAAGAAGTATGTGAAATGGGAACACTGGACATATTGCACTAAATATAAATCGGTTGTTGTATCAAATACTTTTTCTTTAAAATCATTCTATAATCGTATTTTGTATATTCAACAAAGTCTTTAAGGATAAAACCAAAGAAATTCTGTTTTCGTTGCTATTGTTTTTTGTCGGGGCTCACAGCACGGCAGGTGGCAGCTTCTATAGCCAACATGCCAACTCAAGCCCTGTAACGCGCGTCACCAAGTCTATAACTACCACTACAAGGACGCTCACAAGTACAACCACCCATTCGACTGCTGCACCACGCATCCCGGGAAACAAACAACAGGACGCACCCCATCCTGCTTGCCCATTAAACCCCTCACTGAAGAGCGAAAAGAGCGGGAAGTTTACGCATGTAGGCTAAAGTAAAGGCGGATCCGCTGTATGCGATTATTTGTGCCGGTTCCATCGCTGACGAATGACAGCCACAAAGATGTTCATAACATAATCGGCAAAAAACTAATAAAGTGCGCATCTTTCTTTCGATAGCGTCTTGTGCTGAGTTACCACCGGGTTTGAGAGATTACGTTGGATGTCCAATAGAGATGCCCTACGATCTCTCATTAGACAAAGGTACGAGTACCGGTTGTGGTTGGCTTTATGCGTAATTATCATAGGACTTATCACTTTTGCTCACATGTTATTGACGAATCAGCCGACATAAATAAGTATGTACTATGTACCAGATTTAGATGCATGCACGGTGGAATCAGGGACAATCGTTACTGCTTCTCTATAGTAATGGTGACCGAAAGGATATGGCTATAGAATAATTATCGTTTTAGTGAAGGGCGATGCACCAATCGAAAATTATTTCGTCAATGACGATCTTAAACAGTCCCCCAATTAGTGGAAGGTGATATCCGTAGATTCCGTACACCTTCCACAACGGATATAAATGGAATACGACAGGTAAACGTGTCGTGCACAGTCGAGCACACCGCGCCCTATACATACTCGTATAAATCCTATAATTATCCCTGTACAAATTAATTTTAATATTCGTTTAGGTGTGTGGAAACCACGGTATTTGGGCCGGTGGAGTACCATATGTTATTGACGCTGTCTTTTGTAAGTGCCAAGTCGCGAAAATAATTAAAGGAACAATTGACTTCCATCGTATTTGTTGCATTAACTGGTAAGCTTGATCATTACTGACCACTGGAGTAGACTATAAGCTAGAACTCTCCCAGACATGACCTTTACTGGAAATGGACTTATAATTTGGAAGGCGTTGCTAATGTGGTTATCGTTGATTCAGCATCTGATCAAGTGGCATTTATAACCCAACGAATGTGCAGTATCGGTAACCGGACCTGTGTCCGCTTCTTCCCGCGGTCAAACGAAAAGGATTTTATTAAGATTGTTAGTCGCCATGGGTGAGAGCAATAGATTATTGTTTCAAAACCGTTAGTAATTAATAGCAAAGTACAAAACCGTTATCCTTCTGCATTTTTTAAGGTGCTGGTCATATGTCGGGCGGCAAGGCGGGAAACAGCTGGTATCTCTTGAGATTCTGAATGAAAACGGCCAAAGCTGTCTCAACGGAACAAGCGTAGGTCAGAGAAACTGGTTACTACTTGTAACAGTGCACTGCTGTTGTCTGCACCGCTATCATTATTAATTTTGTTTTGTCGACCATTATCTGCTTTTGCAGAACACGAACTACTCCACGTTTTAGGTACAGTGCATTAATGCAGAAAATTGCTTTAATCATATTGAATTGTTCTTTTGTTTACCGTTATTCAGGTTTTCTTCATGAACATACCAGAATGGATCGCGATGAATTTATAAAAATAGATTTGGACAATGTGGAGGCAAAATGTATGTATGAGAGAACTTGGTTTTACTGATGGCAAGCTATCCTGAAACATATTGGGCATTTCATTTTAAATTAAACACTACCAAATACCTTATCAGATGAATCATTGGTACTTAAATAAACGCAGTTCGAGGCCAGTTTGCCAAATACTCACGAAGGAATTCCTGGTATCGTCGCATCCCTTACGACATTCGGTCCGTTATGCACTACGCGAGTGAAGCTTTTGCTCGCGATCCCCAGAAACCGGTGATAACAACGCTCACACTCCAGAACGCCGGTTCCATAACACTATCCGGGCTTATCCGGCCGGCTACAGTATTAAGCGACCTGGATTACGAGCGGATTAATGAGGCGTACGGATGCAGTCCGCAGTCCCCAGGTCTGACATGTGGCGTCCCATTAACCGGTAGCACCTCTGGTTACGGATATTCGGCAAATGATGACAGTTCTTGTGGTACTTTCTGTACTCGTTCACATAATTTGACAGAATTTCTTTCTGCATTAACGCTGCTTCTATTCGTAGTTTATCGATCTTCGACTGGGCTTGATGATGGTTCATCCGATCCTGTTACCGACAACACTTGTAAGACAGTTGTTATACAAAATTCAATTGCACTTGTGATAAAAATAAGTAATTTTCGTAATCTGTTCGCCAGTTGCTATAATAAGTAACATAATATTTTGCCTTTGAAGTCTCTGATGTTTAACAGGCAAGAAATTCAATCCAGGATCCGCAGGTCATCCCGGTTAGCTGATTTGCGACTGAGACAACAAGTGAAGTTGACAAATACATGCTAATTTTTCCAAGCGTTTTAGAAACGATTGTTTGTTCAAGCACCCATGTCATTCACTTTTTCGACACATATTTCGTATACAGCGAACAGAGCGAACCGCCGTTTGCAAATTTATTTATGTGTGCTGGTTAAAATCACTAATGCACTGAAACTGCATGAACATTAATCAGCCTCAATGCAGTATTTAAGAATTCTCTTTCTCGAATGCAAGCTGCTAAAGCTAAGCTTTAACTCGTGTCCTTGCAAATAAAGTTTCAAAACAGAAAAGCATGAATGATAACCTTACTTCACATTGTGCTTAAACCAGTTAACCTTACTTCATGCTGTATCTGTAAAGCGGCAAATATGACAAGTGGTCATCAAAGGTAATGTCATCAACTATCGATTTGAACAAAGTATAAATCCGATAAACGCTCAGTGTAACTCTTCTGTCGGCAGTCTATAATCTGGTAAAATTAATCGTAGCCGAGGTAAGCAATACCCAGCTGTAAAACCGAAAAATTGTGTAGGTACCTGTGAACTTCTATAAGTTCAGTAAGTGAACTTAACACTAAAAGAAGAAAAAGTCACAAAGAATTTTTTATTAATTAAGGAATTAGTTTTATCAGAAGTTTGTGTACTTGTATATTCTGACTGCTGATTTCAGGAAATTGTTTTTTGGGAACAAGTACTGTATATAAATATCGGGCTGGCAATACGTCGTCTTTAAGATCTGGTGTTTGCTTAAGGCTTTTTTTAATCTAATGACCTGCCGGCGTAACTGCAGAAATTTGCAAGTGTTGCAACGAGATAAGCCGACATCCAGAGTAACACAAATCAAGGCTACACTACCATTAAGTAGTACCACGTAGTATTAAGTAGTACGCAGAAGACATGCAGTTTCATTTCAAACTCACGTGAATAACAAGTTAATGAATGACGCAGCGCGAATACTAAGGTACGTATCAAACCTGTGCAGTTATTTTTAACTATTTAACGTAACGCGAGTTATTTTCGAGTTATCGAGTTATAACGTAACTCTGAAGCGTAACTCGTCTCCACGAAAACTTAACTCTAGCGTAACTCGCTCAAAAATTGTATGTATAGTCTATGGTAGCGTAACTCGCTGAATAACTCGAAACTCGGTTTACTTGCATTAATAGCGTAACTCGTAGCGTAACTCGCACGCTCCCTATAACTCCTAACTCTAACTCTGGGTCAGTTTTCCATAACTGTACAGGGCTGGTACGTATTGTTTGTTTTCAAATATCCGCATATAACCTGACTGAATGCTCAGTCTCTTGCAATCTGACTGCTGCAGACGAAAAACCGACCAGCTAACCATTAATGAAATTTTATCGGCATAAAAGTATAAGCACTTATCGCGACAAATAGGAAAGAATATTACGAATAGGTTTCGGATCTCCATTATCCGATGCCGTCGTTTTTTGTTAACTTTGGCTGTAAAGAAACGTACGCTGGCGAATGAATGTCACAGAAAAAGCATGTTCTTGGGATGTCGCTGCTACGAACCAAAGCACCAATGTTACGGACAACACGTCAGATGCCATCGTCTCTCGTTTACAATACTTGCTTTTGGTTTTTTACCCAGTTTTTCTATTCATCTGTACAACCGGGAATGTCATGAATATCTTTGTGTTGCGCACGGCCAAGCATTCTCAATGCACCACCACTTTTCTTATCGCACTGGCCGTGGGAGATTTACTGGCTGTGTATGTCATTCCTCCTTCCGTTTATCGTATATTCTGGAGTTAATATTAATGTGGTGGTGCTGCAGTCACTATAGTTGTAACCGTTACTGCATTAAAATAATTTTCCAGGTGGATGCAGCTGCCGCGTTATATATGGGAAATCAATCCTGATATCTTCAGTAATCCCAAATACACATACGCACACATTAATTACTACACGCAGGGATGGTACATCTGGATGCAACTGATGTGGTTTGACTTCTCAAACTGGTAAATCTACACACGTATTGATTGTTGTCACTTTGTCAGCAATCCATTCCTATACCAGATTTACATCACAACTTACTTCTTCTATAATTTTAACTTACTGACGGTAGAATAAGGTAACAGAAATTATCTCAACTGTTTCCTTCATTTAATTTTTTTAGGATTTTAATAGCGTTTTCCGTGGAACGGGTTAGAGCATTATTCGATCCACTGTCGTACCGTGGTCCGCCGGCGGCAAAGCGAGCCCGCATTGTCATTGGTTTTGTATTTGTATGCGCAGCCTTATCCAATATGTACCGCATGGTGATGCAGTATTATTTAATGGCCACACGAGATATTCCAACGTTTCTTAAAGATTCAGTCAACGCGTTTATAACAGGAGCGCCTAACTGGCTACAAACATGGAATGATGTTAATATGTATTACAAGGTATAGAGAGAGATGCGCGGCCATGTACCTTACTTATATTATATACAATATTCCAGCTTTACGGTAACGGTCGAGCTAACGGCCCAATCACTATACGGGTAGTAGTCTTATTTTTATTATTACACTGCGCTCAGTTAGGTATAATACTCGTACGGTTTCTACTTTCTAGGACATCGAAGTCATTGTCGTGTTTCTTATATTGCTGATCTGTAATATTTGTATAATTCGCTGTATATTTCGGCATCGCCAAAAGATCTCCTTTTGCCCAACTATTACCAGCACCGACCGCAAGCGTGCCGGTGGGAGCACAGTAGACTTCGGCTGTGTAAATATCCTCTTGGCTGCCGTCACAGTGCCGTGCTGACTTACGTCATCGGCTTATTCCCACTGACTGTGACTGATGTCCTGGGAAAGCTTTCAAACTATCCGCTCTGCCTTTTTCAGTTTACTTATGCTAGCAATATCCTCAATTATCGAACTGTGTTCTGATGTTGGTTCCATACACTATAAACTTTTATCTCTATGTGGGTTTCTGTTGCACTTTTCGCAGCCAAACCAGAGCAGTGCTTACGGAGACAAAAGCCAGAATGGAGACGTGGCTATCTGCCAGAGGAATGGGCGCTTGTTGTCGGCGGTGTCCGGAAGTCGGTAAAGAGCGCTAGCGAGCTTGAAAATACGGGAATCGGCTGATGCACCCATGATTATTTTGGAAAGAGATCGCGAACTGCTGTCAAAGACCGCAAACGGTGCAAAAGTAGTCCAGTTAAAACAAGATGCAGAATTATCGGAGTGCAACGTTACGGAGGTCACAAATGTTAGATTGTGATTGTGCTTATATTAGCGGCCAGGCGCATACATGTACGCGCAACCGGATATTTATTTTGAATTTCCTCGTTCCTGTTTTGTTACGATATTTCTAGAGTCGATATTTAACTGAAAAAAGACTGCTGTAAATTTGTAATATTTTTTTAGATACGAATCATGCGATTAAAATTAGATTATGACAGACATTGCCTTTAGAGGTACCTAACGAAACTTAAAGTTTGATCTTGTACTTAACTTATATCATGATGCGTATTTTGTAGCTTTATTTGTGACCTTTTAAAAACTTCTATTCCTTGGTATGCCATATATACTTATACTTTGTACTTAGCCTTAAACAAGTGTTAATAATATTTTTATTAGGGTCTACTAGCGCAGGATGGCTGTTTTGTTAATTGGTTACTGCCTGAGTAAAAGGTGGTAAACAATAACTGCAAAAATGCAGCTGCATTCCTATTTCGTACTGATACGTATTGTGGCATTTACACATTTACATGGCCCAATCATACCAGTACATTTGAATAATGACTTGATTTTGCGATTTTGCACAGCATTGTCAGCAGCATAACGTGAGAAATGGCTCTTGGCAAGTTTTTGTTTACTTCGTAGTCACAACAGCGTTCTTATACCAAATACCATACTTTCTCGTAATAAGTTTGCCGAAAAGCCATGAGGCGAGGGAGTACGTGCAGTACACTGCAGTCGACGGCCTTATAACATCACAAACATTCACAATAATGTGACAATATCACTAGCGGAACAATAAAACAGACCGGCAGCGATACGGAAAATGCCATTTTGCTGGAAGTGATGTTTTCAACTCGTGTTATTGCATTCATTTATGACTTCGTTTTCGCCTTTTCGGTAACACTTCTCTTTTCTGTTCATGGCTAACACGTTGATTGTTAAATTATCCGTACAAGTATAGTTAGTGCTAGTATAGTTAGTGGTATAGTTGATGAAGTATAATTAGTGTTGCTGCCGTTTCCTGACGAAAAAACTACAAAATCGAAGCGCGCAGTAATACATGGCTCGAATTTAAATCAACAGCTCTTAAGTTTTCATTAATTATTGTTTGGTGTGATTATGAATGAAAGCACATCACTGCATAACATAACGGCAGGAAGTTGCCCGTGGGACGTTGATACCGGTAACCAGAGCGACAATGCCACCGATGACCCACTGGCCTCTCATGTCGCCCGTTCACAATATATTTTATTGTCTGCTATCCAGTTTTGCTCCTGATCTGTACTCTTGGGAATCTCTTGAATATTACTGTATTGAGCAGCATTAGACCTCCACAGTGTGCCACCGTTTTTCTTATTGCGCTAGCCGTCGGTGATCTTCTGACATTGTACGACTAATAAAGCATTTGCAGTTTCTGTTTTACTGTGTGCTTGCATTATTTAAAACCGACAGTTTTGCAGATGGATGCAACTTCCGCAGTACATGTTCATTCTGAATCCAGATATGTTCACCATGCAGTACTACTCGTACGAAAAGATGAACGCGTATACACAGGGATGGTACATTTGGATGCAGATGATGTGGCCTGTATTTTCCGACTGGTAAGCTTTAGAATGTGTGTTTCCGACACGTACTAATTAGAAACAAAATTTCCAGGATCCTGATAGCGTTCTCCGTGGAGCGTGTAAAGGCGTTGTTTAACCCGCTCTCCTATCACGGTCCACCAGCTGCGCGGCGTGCCCGAATTGTCATCCTGTGCATCCTGCTTTACGCAGCGCTTTCCTGTGTATATAAAGCCGTTGTACACTATTACGTATTAGCAACGCGTGATCTCAAAGCGTTTAGCGAAGATACTCCCAAAGTGATAATCCCTGGCCTGCCGGGTTGGTTGCAGAAGTGGAGTGATATTAATGGATTTTACAAGGTATGCTCTACTGCATAATTATAATTATATTGCATAACTGTATTTATATTCAAATTATAACAATAGAAATTACAATTCTTATTACTACACTTATCATTAATACAGTGCGAAAGTGTTAATCATAATAACAGCATAATATGTTGCTTTAATCTTAGCTCTGCGAAGTCATTGTCATATTTCTTATTCTGCTCATCTGCGCTCTTTGCGTAATCCGGTGTATTGTTCACCACCGACAAACCATGCCCTTTTGTCCGAGTATCACCAGCACGGATCGGACACGCGCCAGCGGGAAAATGTCTGATTTTGGTTGTATTCACATTCTGCTGGCTGCCGTCGCAACATACTTGATCTGCAATCTCCCGGCCGTTATAAATGAAATCTTGGGAACGCTGTCCAGTTATCCCTATTGTATATACCAATACCGTTATTTTGATGTCATGTGGAGACCGGTGCAATTGCTGATGCTCATTCCGTACTCGTTCAATTTCTATCTGTATCTTATGTTTTGCCACAAATTCCGCACACAAGCCAGGGCTTTATTGTGCATGCGAAGGATAAACACAGAAGCGTGGTTGTCGAAGCAGGGTTTAGAAGGGATATGCGTATTCTGTCCCCAAGTTGGAAAGAAATTTGCTAGCTTGAAAGTGCGAGATTCGGCCGAAGCCCCGATGGTAATTCTGGATAAAGACCGTGATCTTTTATCTAAAAAGAAAACCAGCGACAGGATAATCAGCTTGCACCAATCATTTGATGACAATGCTACCGAAGTGACACATGTAAAAATTTGATTCAGTGTTTGTCGGTCCATCATGTTCCTCGACGTTTAATGTGTTTTAAGCGTTTGATGGTATAATGCTGTTAAAATAAAATTGTGCATTAAAGTGTAATTAGTTTAGCATGTTTAAGGCATCATCGCGGAGTCTTGTTATTAGCAAGTTCTGCATCATCAAAAGGTCATGGTTATTTTTACTGTAATTATGAAAAATCGTTAAGTTTAATGCAAGCATCCTGACTGATCAGCCGTGATTGTCATTGGGCAGGATAAAATGCAGATGCAAAACATCATAATCCACCTACGAATTCGGTTCATCAATTAGCTGAGCTTGCTACTCGTATTATACTTGAAGTTGAATACAACGAACGCGCCATCTGTAATTCAAAGTGCTTCCTTCATAGGCCAAAATCTTCGGCAGGGAAATGATTACAACTGCCGATTCACCTTCGCATAATCGGTTGCCGATGACTTCGAATTCCCGTCAGCATATTTTTGTTTCGGTACGTGCATATGCGCTCAATTATACACTGTTTTGATTTATATCACAACAAAAACTCGGTTTGTTAAGCCAGACCACTATTTACAACCGTTCGCTGTAGTTTTGAAAACTGCCTTGAGCCAATGGGCTGCACAATATTTATCTGCAGTTTTCTAACTGCAACAGGAGCTATTTTTACTCCTATTCGCGAATCGCGAAGTTCCTGTAAGTGCCTGCAAGTGCATTGCTCTGAATTGTAATCCGATACTTAGTGTGTTTTGCAAAAAATGTTATTATAATTTTATTTTAACTACGCAGTACCGGGCATAATTAGTCTTCAACATGTGACATCGCGCTCACTATTCGATTATTTGCTTGCAGCATGCTCCAGAATATTTTCCGTTAACTGTCTTCTACGAAGGTACCGGAAGCTTGCTGATCTGCCGCAGACCATGCAGAAGCAAGTTTGTGTTACACTTTTTTATCGCGATCTACTTAACTTTAGGTACTTCGTGCATCCTCTATCTGCGCCTAATATGTGTACTTTTACATCACTAATATGATTAATGGCAAAACAGCTCGATGTAATAATTAATGCCATACACCTACTCTGTAAGTGACTGATAATATAAATAATGGAACTTCCTTCGAAATACTTTGCTTGTTGAATCTTTGAGAAATTACCGCGGGTATGAGCCATGATTATGTTATTATGAAGAAAAAATTTGATGGCCGGTAGGACCAAGGTATGATTATGACTGACATCAGTATGAGTATAAGTTTCCGATTATTAGTAAGGTTATGAGTATGTGGACGAGTAAGATTGTATCATTCTAAGCATGTTTTCTAATTATGAGTAGGATAAGGATTATTAAGGTACTTCGGAAGTACATAAATTTAACGTACACTTGCTTCTATAGTATTTGTGGAATACAATGTGTCCGTCGAGGTAAATCATCAAACGCATCATAGCAGGTAAACAAAAGCTTAGATCTATATTAATATTAGACGTCTACAGCAAAAGTTCTGCCTAAATATATATCTGTGGTACTTGTAAATGATTTTTGATGCGGTGTATAAGTTTGTAACGTGCTTTCAGTACAAGATCAGCCTTGACGGCACCACTTGCTCAAAACAGAACCAGCCGCAAACACAACAGAAATACGAGTAAAAGTAAGCAGTTCTTTAGATATAACGGAATATATATGTAGCATCCAACTTCGGGTTAAAATGTTTCCGTGGCTGATGAACACAAGTTATTCCAATCTAAAGTTTGTGTTGTTGCAGGTCATTCGCGAAAATTTGCACCGGCTTCAGATCAAACCCGGGTATCACAGGTTTCCCACAGACATAACACCTACAAACCTAAAGTTAATGCAACGGTGTGCTACATGATCGGAAACAAATGTGTCCTCAAGCCTCCCATCAATCCAGCTGTCGCTACCGGAGCAGGTGTGGGTTAGCGCATGATCGAGCTGTTGTGCAGAATGCGGCCGGGGCCCGGGTTGAAGAATGCGGCCGATGTGCTGCAAGACTGGGCTAACCATTTTAGAAGAAAATACGGAGTATGATTATGGAAAGATCCGAGTACAATTTTAGCCCGGAGGCTGCCGGATTCATTAAGCCGATACGATTGTGATTAGCCATAAGTCCATTGAATAGGTTTGATATCAATAAATACAACGCCGATAATCTATGCGCAAGCGTGGTTAAACTGTTAAAGTTCCTGTGGTTCCGCAGTCCAGAATAAAAAATAGATTTAGAATAGGGTACGCGGTGCAATACGGATTGACTTGATCGTTGACAGTTTAATTAACTGAAAAATCTTTCGCAATAAAATTACTGTACGTAATACAACAAGATAAATTCGTTCAGTCAATTTCTGATTCTGTATAGTTTGGTGTGATGTTTATTGTCTTTGCACAATTCGTTGTAGTAATTAATGATTTAGAAGTAAGCACCAAAAATAAAAGATCCAGGGATGAATTAATAATCAGGTGGTTTTTCCAAAGTTGCCGCAGGCCAATGTAAAGTAACAAATTCCGTAATTCCAGAATGTTTGTTATGTTTTCACGGCTGCAACTGGTTTGACTCACAAGCACATTTCAAATTTGATACAGCTAGAGAATGCCAGGTGGGTTATTTTTCTGGATTTTTTGCGCGACATGCCTCTGTATTTAACCGCATTCGATGTCATGCTGTTCTGTATTGGTAAAATATGATTAGAAACATGGGTAGAAATATTTTAAGCCGTTCACAATTGCTGTACCTCGACGCTACGCTTTTGGCGTAGCACTCTACAGGAAATTAACTTGGATCCAACTTGGTGATCTATAACGTTTAGCTATCCGGAAAACTGAAAAAGCAAGAATCTTTGAGTTCGCCCGGTAGAGCCGACTGGTACGTATACAGGCAGGTACACATGAAGTGTGTCCGCCATACTGCAACAGGATTACAGATATATCCATCTTTTGCATTAGCAATATTTATACTTTTTTTATTGCAGATACTTTATCTGCTTACCATGCAGGAACATCATTTCAGAGCAGCCCTTGTTATCTTCGTTATAATATTGGTATGTGCAATACTACAAAAGCTTATATTATACTGTGACAGATTCCCAGTTTTCCTTTTCCACTAACATTAAACAAACCGATAACATTTACATGGGTAGTTACTAAGTATGTTTTTTAAGTGGGACTAGCAATCAACTTTTTATTTTTGCAGCTTTCCTAGCGTGCAGTAGAAGCGAGCCTAATAATAAAGACGGCAAGAAAAAACAACACGTCGGGTACGCACGACGAATTCAGCACTGTACTGCGTGCGTGCTTTGGCTTCTGGTCCATATCACATTGCAATACAGTATCTTAAGCTTCTAACACTATTTTTTATAATATCCCACCGTAAAGCGCGGACGCCAAATTAGGATCGGAAAAAGAAAAACACCTGTCCAAGGGTAACAGCACGACCGGTAAGAGATCTTATTTTTTCGTTTTCATATACGGGAACAAGAATTTTTGCATTTGTTTTAAAATTTAAATTTGTAGTTCAGCCTAAAACTACTGCACCTGCTGGAAGCAAGAGACACAAGTCATACACTACACCAAAGTCGACGACAGGAGCTCCTCTGTGCTCGGAATGCAATAACTGTCGCGGATGTAACCCTGGCGCACCAAGCGGGGGCGGACCCGGCTGATCTTTTAGTAGGCTGAATACTGGGCTGCTATGGCACGGTAAATTTACAAATAAGTGCAGACAATTCCTGTGTTTTATAGGCTGCTGACTAGAATATTAAAAGATGTCATAACCGTCTGATAATTTAGCGAAGTTGGTCATAATCTGTGATGTATGTAGCGGCGGTGCTCGCTATCGAGCCAACCAGCCAACTGATCGCTAAACAAGGCGACAACAATGGACAATAGGTACGCCGTTGCTACGGCACATTAGCCATAGCCACAGGACAACAATTCACGAGATACTTTGCACTCGTACGTCACTGTACCAATACGTACAGTCATACACTACATAATCATACAAACATCTGTACGGAAGGATGGCGAACAAATTAAATGGCTACAGAGATCTCATCGCACAAGCACGCTGCTTGAAATTTTGTAAGCCAACTGTTATTATTTGATTTTAACATTGTAGTTGAGCAGCGCAGCAGCGCAATTCAGATAAGATATGATCACTTTCTTAAGCGCTGGACAGCCCCGAATAACGCTAAATTAAAGGTCATCACAGCATCATTGTGTCGTATTATCTGTATAAATAGTAAGTAACTAATAACCAATTAGCCACTTCCGACGTACGCGATAGAGTACGGCACGCCATTCCTTGTACGGTATAAAACGGCCCTTTCACTCTTTGTCTGCAAAATGGGAATTATCTGGTCTCACTCGCCAACCTGAACCTGTTGCTCGAAAATCGAAAAATTTCGGTCCAAATCAATTTAGAAGGTGGGTAATCATTAAACAGCACATTTGTTGCACCGAATACAACGTATATGCTGAAAAATTATTGATGTTATTAAAGCAGGTACCGGCGATAGCCGGAAAACACAACTGCTGTGCCGTAGACTGAACAACCAAATAGCTTTCAAAAATTATTAATTCTTAGAAACGTGGACTGAGAGCGTACTTCCAGCACACATACCCAGCAGGCAGCAGCACGAAATGCGCAAACATGCACATGTATGAAGTCGCGAGTATCCGTTTACTCTGCCACAATGCATGATTTTACCGAATGAATTCCAAAGGTCAACGTGGGAAAGTGAACCGAAACGGTTACAACACCACAAGCGCATCGATATTGAAAATCTGCTGCAGAAGTACTAGTTGTGAGTGAAATGAAAACAGGTAAAGCATTTCAAGACGGTTTGCTTTAGAATAAGAACATTCTATCCACGTTAAAGGATAACGTTGGTGTGCCAAATTCATACATCCATTATGCGAGCTCTGTGTACAGCTTTGTACTGCATTCTATGGATTCTCTGTGGTAAGCTTTAGCAGAGTAATTATATGGCACAGGAAAGGCAAACATCTTGTTAATTTATGACATTCATTTTGCAATTAATATTAAACTACCGTAATTGCAGTTGCAAAAACCTGTTCGACTTATTCTTCTTATGAGGACGACGAAAGAAAGTAAGTACTGTACTTGCTGCTTCAGCTTGTTTTCAATAAAACACTAAAATTGATATTAAAATAATACAAACTGGTACCGTATTTTACACCGCCCGATACAGATGCATTTATTGTATGATACGATTGATACCACGGCATGTGTGTATGGTGATACTGCAGTATTAGCATCATTGTTCAACTGGAGAGGTTAACTGGAACTGAACTTAACTGAAAAGATTATAGGAATATTATGCTGAAATATCTGCCAATAAAGGTCAGCGGCGCTTTGGGAAACGGAGCAGACGGAGTTACGATCGTAAGTACTCCTGCGTGATTCTCATATTTTATTTTTCTGAGTTTGACCTCGGGGTTATACTTATACGAACAAAGTATGCGCGTACAAGACGAGAATCATATGGTTACAGCCGAATCCCGCAATTTTCCTGCAGTGAACCGGGAACGCCGATCCCACCGCACTGACACTCCAGCAAGCACTCACCACAGCGGATCCATGCCCCGGAGGCGGTTGTCCGGCGCTCCTGACGGTGCCGGTCCCGGTTAACTTTGCAGACAGTTGCGGCAAACTTTCTTTCAGCAGAAAATTTTCACGGTTCCACGGTTTTATATTATGGGAAAGACGCAGATCAATTTTTCTCGCTGTGCAGATACATGTTGCAAATTCAGTGTTAATGCAAAGACAGTACGTTAGGTGCTAAAAGGTAAGCACCGTTGTCGGTTTCGCTAGAATGGTGCCAACAAAAAGCCGACGCTGATTTTCCGTACCTTACGCACTGTTCGCTAATTCTTTGTAAGGATTTTTCTATGCTTACCCAGTCTGTAGTCGATACTCGGAAATAATCAAAATTATTCGCGGTACAAGTTGTAGTGCGCTTAATTCCGGTTATCCCATAACTTGGCTTACCATGATATTACAGTTCGTTGTTGAGCTTTTTTTCAGCTTTTGTAGTTAACCTAAATCATCCACTATTCTAGTAAATCTTATGTATTAATCGTTACGATTAGCACTGTATCATGTATGCACAATGTTTACCTAACTCTGTCGCGTTCTGGTTAAACA